TTAAGTATATTTTATTTTGATTAAGATTTATATGGGTTTCGAGACTGTCTCAAAATGTGTAAGTTTTAGTAAATAATTTAGTCATTCGCCTTGATTTAGGTATTTGTAGCATATTTATGTGAATTTATATTTAAAGAAATCTCAAGTCTTAATATTCAGATCTACTAATTAGCATCCCATTTAAGCAAGAGCGAAAAGATCATAATTAAAACATTTATTTGATAACGGAGATAAGAAAAGATTTAAAATTCAGATTTTACTTGGCAGTTATATGAGCATTGCTGTCATTTTACAGACTTAGCAGCTGCTGGGCATTGGTGTCACTTGCCACATGAGGCACACAGTTGTTATGCTGCGGATGCCGCTGCGGCTGATGCTGCCGTTGACGCTGCTGTTGACTCAGCTGCTGATGTCGTACACAAGTGCGGACCAGGACCAGAAACCTGTGGGATATGCTGACAGCAAGCCGCCCACTCATGAGTTACCTCGCCCATTAACAATACCGGCAGAGCTGACACACGGACAAGGGCAACGGAAACCTCGCTCCCGCCGACCAACGCTGATGGATGTGGCGCTGCAGCAGAGCGTGCAACAAGGACTCAATGCCATGGCCGAGCTCTACGGCCGAATTCAGCCACAAATGCTGCTTAATGGTGTGCGATATGCTACTTTTATTGCTGCAACCACATTTGCAACTATTCCTTGCGTTTTTTCTTTGCTTTTTTGCTCTCAAGGTCAAATGCTGCAGGACAATCATCCAGCCGCGCTGCTCTCCCGTTTCAATGCGCCCAACGCAGAGTCCGAGCAACGGGAGATGGCCGCCTATGCAACCATCGAAGCCACCAAAGCCTTTCGTCAAAAGTAAGTTCAAGTGGTTGAGTGGGTGAGTGGTCACATCAGCCGCAAATATGTCATATTGCTTTGCCACATGAACAAAGCTGTTGCCCATGACGCATCAGTGCAAAAAGTTGATATCCAAATCTCTTGTGGGTGGCACGAGAAAGTTTCATTTGCAACTACTCACAATTAGAAAAGCAACAAAATCATTAAAAAGAATCGATAAGAAGGGCATGATATATATATATATATATATATATATATATATATATATATATATATATATATGTAAATTTGTTTTAGATTTGCTTGAATTTCGTATGCTCTGCATGAAGTGAAAAAAGAGTAAATATAATTATATATAATATATATAAGTATATACAATATATATATAATATATTTAAATAATATACACTTATATATAATATATATTATTATATATACATTTCAGTTGAGTTTAATTACTAAGTTTTTCATTTGGATTACTGCTGACCACCACTGAAAGAGTGGATTAAGCTCAACTGCAATGTGCCTCTTTGTTTAGCTTAAGATTAATCTGAATCGATATATGATTAAAATTCACATAAAGAGGATTTCTGTTCAAGCCTTAAACAGTAGTTCGTAGTCCTGAGTCACAGTTAAGCTCTTCGATATACAGATGAAACCTCTATATTAAAGCATATTCCCTGCAAAACTGGGCAAATGTCCTGCATGAAATGCATAAGAAATAAATTAATTGGCTTTAAGCTTTTTAATGTATTTGCTTCATATTCGTTTATTATGAATACTTGAACTCATTTGGCGAGTCTCGCATGTGGCAAAAGTTGCGCCTGGGGGCAATCGAATGCAAGAGGGGAAGTAAAGCAATATGTCAATAATCTGGGCATTTGAGTTGTGGGGGGTGCCCCACCCTGTAGCCATAGAGCGGTAACTTTCTCGCTTGATTAACGAGTTCTACGACTCCATGGCACCCGTGGCTAATGAGTCGAAGTTGAAGTGCGCTGACAAAAGTGCTCCAAAAGGTGACCAGTAGCTGTGGGGGCAGAGGGAGAAGGACGGCGAGCGGGAGTGGAACGGCAGAGATACCCGTAAAATGGTATCTAAATTGACATTCAACGACAACGACAACGACAACGACTGTTGCCGTGACTGCTGAGAGCCAACTTTCACTTTGACATTGAAATGCCACATAATTGCAAGCCAGCATCGCCGTCGTCACGGTCTGGACCCGGCCTGGCCACTTTAGAGTTAAGCCAAATTGTGCGATAGCTAAAGGTAAATTAAAGGTGGGCTGGGCTTGCTCTGAAGCTCAGCTAAGCTGGCCAGTGCAAAAGCAAATGACCTCTTTGGTCAGGCGACGGAAATGGCGGTCGCTGCTGTAGTTTTTCCAGTTTGCACGTTTTCACTTTTCACAACGGGTTCAGGTGCGCGCCAGCTTGGCCTGACTGTACAACAACAACAAGAGCAGCAAAAAAAATTAAAAATAAAATCCGTACAATTTTCCACACATAAACCGCATTGAAGTGAAGCTACAACAGAACTTTCACTCAGAGACAGATACAATTACAAAATACAAATGCTCACAGAAACACACGCAGTTTCAGGTGCAATGAGCCAAAGCTGCCCAAATAGTTTTATGTAATTGCAAATCACCTACGCTACCCAATGATCTGGCAACAATAGCATCCATGTCGAGCAGGCCAACACTGGCCGTTAAAGTAAAGATGCCCCGGCTACTGCCTTTGCCTTACCGAATACTTTTAGCTCTTTTTGCTGTTAAGCTTGAATCTTAAACAAAGCAATACAAATATGCAGCCTAAATGAAGTGAACTTAGGGGGTATCTATCTTCGAGCATTGCCCAAAATCAAATTACGAAATATGCGATACGTTTACTTTAATTAAAAATCAGCTGGCTTCATTGATGATGCTGCGACCGAGAGTCCGCGGGCTCATTAATATTGCCAAAAGCAGATGTTTAGCCAAATTAGAAGAAAGCGAGTGAATGTAAGCACTGCAATCATAAAGGTGTATATGTATAGTGTATAGTGTATATATGGTCAAAAGCTGGAAAAATATGGAGAAAAACGCATGACGCTTTCCTACACAACTCAGTCTCTCTGTCGCCTCATAATAAGTCTCAGTTACAGTCACAGTCGCTGTCGCTGCCGCTGTCGCTGCCGCAGTCGCTGTACCAGTATCCGTCTCAGCATTCGCAATTTGATTACATCAAATGGCGACGACAACATCAGCAGCAGCAATAACAACAAAAGGTTCGCCGGCAACTTTTATGCCAAAGAAAGATACAAACACAAATAAATAAAAAATACAAATACAATCTACAGACGCGACTTTCGATTTCTACAAGCCTCACGAATTCGGCCTCAAGCACCCAAGCCGTACGAAAGCAAATACATATATACACATATAAAGGCATACACATACATACGCATATCAGCTATATATATAATCACATATATATATAAATACATTCGTTTGTTTTGTTGCAAAGCTGCTGAGGTCATTGAACGCGACTTCGACTGCGACTTCGACTGCGACTGCGACTGCGGCTGTGACTGCGGCTGCGACTGCGCTTTACATTTCTGCTTAAATAAATGTGTATCTATAGAAAGATTGCGTATACGCCTCGTTGTCTAAGGTAAAGGGCGATGAGCGCTTTTTTGGATAATCAAATAAATGAGTTTGATGAAAAACGAGAAAAATGTGATACGCTAAGCATTAGAGCAGGTATTTTTCACTTTCACCTAACAGAGCGCTCATAATATAACGACCTACCAATACCCTTAAACAGTCAAATTTCTTGGAATGCATATTGAATAGCAGAATTTTCATTAATTTAAAACAAATTTAGTTTAATTATTCAAAATTTTCAGATTTTTATAGAATGATGCTCAATAAAAACAAAAAAAAAAAACAATATTTCAATAAATAGAAACCATAAAAATGTAATAATTCAATTTTTATTGTTTTCATATTTTTAAAAATTTAATATTGCAATTTTTTTGTTTTTATTTATTTACTAATTTAAATTAAAATTTTTTTGTTTGTGTTTATTGAACTTAATTCTGAACTTCTATTGCAATCTATTTTAAATATGATTTTATCGCCGCCATTTTTTATTTTTTATTTTTATTTTATATATTGATTCTTATATAACATCACTTCTTGACATTAACATAAAATCTACTTTTGAAAGTTGAAGTGATGCTCCTTGAACATCAATTGCAATTTGGAAAAAAAGTTGAAAAATATTAATCTAATCTCATTTAATCCATTATCTATTATTTTTAACATCTAAGACTTAGTTCTATTTTGAATAAGCAGCTTTTACCAGGAAAGCGAAAGTTTTTGTAAAAACATTTTAAAAATCTTTTAAAAAATTTACATTTAAAAAAAAAATATTAGAGGCAGATAACGGATTTAATTAAATTAGGAATTTAAAAAAAATATTTGAGAATTTTTATTTTAATTTTCTATCTAATTATTGCTAATTTAATAATTATTTCTAAACTTAGAACGCATAAAGAAATTATTTTTGCATATTTAAGTTTATCATTTATTTGATTTAAATGTTATTTAAAATCTTTAACATTCTTTTCATTAATACTCTTAATAAGAACTGCATGAACTATTAGGAGTCTTTTGTTAAGCAACAAATTGTTCATGATTAACTAATTATACCCCAGAGAAAGAGTAGAAACCTTGCTGTAAATGGAAAGCCAAAGCGGCTAAATTAAAGTCAGCAGCTGGCGTTTTGATTTCGTATGCGTTTTCCCACAAAGCGACACACACACACACACACTCACACACATTCACGACGCACACCATGAAAACGCAACATGGTTTAATTTGTTAGTGGATCCCTCATCTTGCGACGAACTCGTTTGGGTCTGTGTTGGCTCCCAACTTCGTGCGAGTTGAGCGTTTTATAAATAGATGCCGCTAACGTTTGTAGTGAGCACTTGAAAACTAAGCTTGAACGTAGTTATGTCGGAGACATCGACACGGCGAGGATTAGGATGAGCTAACCAGAAGTATTGTCTCCTCCTCTAGCTTCCAGCATATCGATGAGCTAGCGCGGCAATCGCATGCCCACAAAATCTCGTTGCGCCGCACAGCATTAGAGGGCTTATGTCCGGTTCGAGATCCTCCACCATGTATGCCGGCATCGGAACGCTATCGGACGCACGATGGCACATGCAACAACAAGCGCAGGCCGCGCTGGGGCGCTGCCCAGATGCCCTTCAATCGTTTTCTGCCGCCCGAATACGGCGATGGAGTGGACAGCGTACGCAGCTCTACAGATGGCAACACTTTGTCCTCGTCCCGCTTTGTCAGCCTGCTGGTGCATGGAGCCCGCGAAGGCGAAGCGCCTTTGACGCTCATGATAGCGCAGTGGGGCCAGATGCTGGATCACGACATGACGTCCACGGCACAGCCGCGGTAAGAACAGCGATTGTAAGTAACTATGCTAAGCTCAGCTTCACTTTTGGTTTTTCGTGCAGCTCAATTAATGGCTCCATACCCAGCTGTTGTGGCGGCAAGGACTTTCATCCGTCGTGCTTTCCCATCAAGGTGCCACTGGATGATCCATGGCTGTCGCCGCTTAAAGTTCGCTGTCTGGAGTTCCTACGTTCCGCACCAGCTCAACGACGCGATTGTGTTCTATCCTGGCGGGAGCAAACCAACCAGGCCACATCCTACATCGACGCCTCACCCATATACTCAAACAGTGCCAAGTCCTCGGACAATGCGCGCATTTTCCGAAATGGCTTGCTGATATACGGCCGCGGCAATCCAGCCGAAGACGTGTGCCAACGCGGCGCTATTGCCACGCAATGCATCAGATCGGGCGACGGACGTAGCGGCGAGCAGCCCGGTCTCCTGGCCATGCACCATGTGTGGGTTGGCGAACACAATCGCATTGCCATGGAGATCAGTGAGCTGAACCCACACTGGAGCGACGAGAAGATCTACCAGGAGACGCGACGAATTATCGGCGCCATGTTTCAGCATATTACCTATCGAGAGTTTCTGCCGGTCGTCCTAGGCCAAGAGGTGTGCAAGTTGTTTGACTTGGAGCTCATGAGCACCGGTTACTATGAGGGCTATGATCCAAAGGTCAATCCGACAGTAGCCAATGCCTTCTCCTCAGCCGCATTTCGGTTTGGCCACTCGCTGGTCCAGAACTCCTACATGCGATGTGATCGCCATCACAATATAATCAACAACAGTGAGTCTTAACGATCCGGAACTATGCATATTCCTAATCGATCGATCAATCTGCAGACGTTAGTTTGCATGAGGAGTTTCAAAACGGGGACATTGGAACTGCGGGTTCACTGCATCGTCTGCTACGCGGACTGGCATCCCAACGAGCGCTGAAGCGAGACGAGTTTATTACGCCAGAGCTGACCAATCACTTATTCCAAACCCCAGGATTTCCCTTTGGCCTCGACCTGGCCGCCATCAATATTCAACGCGGACGCGATCACGGCTTAGCGCCATACACTGCGTGGCGAGTGCCTTGTGGTCTCAGTCCGATTCAAAGCTGGGATGAATTCGGTAATGTTGTGCCTCACTGTGTCGTTCAGCCTATTTACACTAGTTTTCTTTTCCCCATCTCTGTCATAGCTAATGTGGTGGGACCAGAGTCAGCGAAGCGAATAGGACACGCTTATCGCAGCGTTCACGACATCGATCTCTTTGTCGGCGGCATTGCGGAAAGACCTGTAGTAGGTGGGCTGGTAGGTCCAACTTTTGCATGCATCATAGCCCAGCAGTTTAGTAATTCGCGACGTGGCGATCGTTTCTGGTATGAAAATGGCGGTTTCGAGAGCTCCTTCACGCCGGCTCAGCTCCACTCTCTCAGAAGAGTCTCTCTCGCCCAAGTTCTATGTCGAGCAGTGGGCGGCGGCACGTTTCAACCTCATATTTTCATTCCTGCTGAGTTTACAGACAACGAACGACAGAACTGCGGCACTGGCATACTGGGATTCATTGATTTAAGCCCTTGGCTAGAGCAGGATCCATTCTTGCCGGCCAAGTCACAGCCCGAACATGTTTTTAACATTGTGCAATCGGAGTTGTCCCAAGATGAAATAGGTGTCGTACCTGTTGTCAAGGAAGACAAGGCGGGCTTTTCTAACCGTGTGAAGCCTATGCAGCCCCATGTTAGCTTTAGCCCCAACTCAGCTACAGGCTTCCTCCGACCGACGAACGCAAATATAAGCAAAATAAACGACAAGCTCGACCTTAAACGTAAGACGTTGACCGTGACCAAGACGAAGACAAGCAACAATAGCAACAGAAATGTGACACCAACTCGAGGCGTTAACAATAAGCTAGATAAGTCGCCTAAAATAACTATTAATATCAAGAACGTAAGCATTAGAAAACCCGGACTTACAAGTCCTAAGCGCACAGTGATTATAAACAACGTACCTATTGAACTACGTAGTGCCGGGGATGATAATATAACTTCTTCGACAAAGAGAGACCACGACTTAGCCTTAAATACAGAAACAGAACTGCAACTTAATGATACGGAACTGCCAGAATTACGACATGTCGACAGTGTACAGGGAACGGACTTACATTCCGACTCGACAATGCTTACTGACAGATCAGAAACTACAACTGAAACATCCCTAGGATCACATTTACAAGACGACGCTCTTGACCCACTCAGACAAAATTCTGCAGATCTTAGCAATATTAAACGCGTGCAGCGTGAAGTGGCAAAGCCGAACATAACGGACGTAGTGACCGAAACTAAACTTTTGCACGGACAACGAAATCGGACAACAACCCATACTACAACGACCAAGGAAATATCGAAAACCACGGCAGGCATTGCCCGTAGTCGTACCACTAAGTCTTCCAAAATATCTAAGACAACAAAACGTGGCGTGGAACTGCGTAGCCACTACCAAAGTAGACCTGTCTACCCCCAAAAGGTAGTTGTAAACGGACCCAACTCAAATGACCAGTACGAAATAGAGATTAATATACGGCAGACAAACAAAAGTCCAGTAACAAGACCCCTTACCGCAGAGTATACCGACTACACGACATCGACCATTTACAGACCCTACAGCAACTACGAAAACAGCTACGCACCTCAGTTCATGGACTATGGCAGCACAACGCCCAGTTACGGTTATTACCCAACGCATAGGGACAGCATACCACAGTTACAGAAAACGAAGCCGCCGACTATCATCTACCTGAACGATAACGATGACAGACGTACCACAACACGGGCACCGAATATTTTTCAAAACTTTTTAAGTTTTGCGACCAATACCTTTAATCCGAACGCCAACAGACGACCTACCCAAGCGCCTAGTCCACTTTCATCGATCCACCAAGAGCGACCTTATCAAGAGACTCATGTAATAAATAGTCCGATCAGCAGCTCTCACAGCATAACAAGCTCAGCTCAATATGCTCCACGTCCACCTCAATCCCATTCAATTTCGAGCAGTTCCCAGATTGGCGGAAACCCGCAAAGTAATTATTTACATGCATCTAGTTCGGCCGTTAGTTCTGGAAACTATGGAAGTATTTCTGGTGTGGCCAGTGCGAATGGTGCCGACAGCATATTCAGCTTCAATATACGTCCACGTCCTGATAACAATCCTGTTTTTAGTTCCTACCCACGTCCGCAAAACTTAGGTGGAAGCTACGGTCTGGTCTCACAGTCGCCGTACAAACCCGACTACCAACAAAGCCAAAGCGAACTGTATTACGATCGGGAACTAAACCAAAATCCCAGTCCTTTTTCCACTGGTTCTCTCGTGGGTCATAGACCACTGACACAGACGCAAACATACTACGCCCGTACGCCGGAACTGAAGCAGTTAGGGAGTAACATTAACGAGATTTCGAATACCGATCACAAATTGGACAATTTTAAAGACTACGATTTTTTAAGTCGCACGTTAAGCAATGTGACTGCAGATGACCTTACGCCGGACAGCACTGACGATTACACTTACGACGATGACGAACAAAGCAAAAACATTGACTTTACGAAAGTAGGCAAGCCGATAGATAACCGGACAGCATCACATGACAATACACATATTAACTTACTCGTGGACAACAAGATACTGAAAAACTCAACTACGACCGCTTCGAACACGACTTACCTGAACGATAATTTTGTATTGCCCATGTTGGAGAACACGACACAGACATCGTACGTGACAGAAATGCCCAAGCCAATGCTGAGCACCTCCAGCCGTAGCATAACCAATAGCAAAATTACAGTTTTTTCGGACAGCGTGGGCAAGCAGTTGGGTAGTAACATCTTAGCCGATGCCGATGACTATGACGAACGATCAGCAGTTGCTAGTGCAGCTGTTCAACAGTTGACCAATGTGGCCTTTGCCCCGATTAACGTGCTGACAAAACCGGACAGGTAAGTCCATCCTGGCTTGTAGAAGTCACGCAGATAAAATTCGTAATATATTTACAGACCGGACAACTGGGTAATATATAATAAGACAAATGAGGAACCGCCCCTACCACAGCCGCCAGCAGTGAGCTCCGGCATGGGCGTTGAACCCGCTGCAGAGATCCCAAAGCCGTTTCATATTGTGCGACAAAAACAGAATATGCGGGAGGCAGAAACATCAGATGCAAATCTAAAACCACTAAAAGATGCAATCAGAAAGAACACTACAAATTAGAAATACCAAATTAGACGTATGTTATTTATTTTATTTTATTAAACATCAATTGATACTGTTCATTTAAGTTTGTGTTAATTATCATTATGTTTTGAATATTGATTTCTTGGCGGCTAAATAGTGTTGCCAGATATCAAAACGAAATTGCTTGTAATATTATCGATAAGTGAACAAACGGCGGTCATAATTATCGGCTGGCCGCCACTCTATTATCCACAAACTGCATAAACTGAATAAACGAAAAAATTTTCGCTTCCAATGTAAAAGTTTATTTAAAAAAGACTGTGCAAGAAAAGCAAACGGGACTCGATGCGAGTGGCGGCGCGTCACAGCCGTCGCTAAAGCCTGTGCTTAAATTGCTTTTCGAGTTTTATGTTGTCAGCCCGTTGTTCCCGTTGTTGCCGTTGTCGGTAAAAATATATTAAGTCTGATTTTCGAGTCTGTGAGGCAATGGAGACTGATTACCAAAATTACGTGGAGTCATTGTCGGGAGTATCTTCAGATGACGATGACATATCTACGGTGGATAGTTCTGATGAGGCTGAAGAGCCGACCAATACGCACAACCATCCATTGCAGCCGCAATCGCGAACGCGAAACTTGGTGCAAATGTTGTATGACAGAGAGGTTTGTGATTGAAAGCTCCATATATGCGGGTCGAATAATGTAATTCCTACTAATAAAAATATTATTGAATAGCGCACAGGATTTTTCTCAGGTCAATCTCGAGCGGGCCAAAAACAGAAACTTCCATATGACCAGGTGCCAAATAGGTTAAAACTATATCTCAAGGACGTCTTGGCCAGCAATGCGTTAGAGGGGTAAGCACCCTCAAAGAGGGAGGAAAGGAGGTCAGTCACAAGACTCGCTCTAAGATCATTTCTTCCAGGCACATATTCATGGGCCTGACTGCTTGTGGACAGTACATGATCAGCCATCGAGTTGTGTGCAACGACAACACATCGCTCAACCATTACTCCTTTAATGTAGGCTACAAATACACGTAAGTTATGCGAATTGTATGTATGTGAACAGCCACACAGCCATTTACTATATTTTTTTCCTACCATACAGTCTTTACTTTTGGCTCTTCCAACCACACAAAAAACTGCGATATTTTTTCTCGCGCCGCTTATTCGACGATCATGTGGTCGATAACCTGAAGTCGGTCACAATGACGCAGTGGAAGAATGCGGACAAGCAAATTCTGGTTGTGCATGGCGCTGCAACGGAAGAGAGTGAAGAAAGCTATATAACTTATGTCAAAGTTCCTAAACTGGGTTGTTTGGAGTGTAAAAAGCTTTGCGATGACGGTCCATGTAATTAGCATACTTACATACAATTTCTGGAATTATCCAAATAACCAGCTTCATATATTTTCAGATTCCTTTTACAACGCCCACTGTCTCAGTTGTCATTTGACAGTGCACACAAAGTATTCCTCGACCGAAACGGATCCCCGTTTTGATCCGACAGTAAATCTGCTCTGCCCCGAACGCATTCTCATCATCTCGAATGGCTTCATGCACATGCTGCGCATCGATGTGGACACGCCGGTCGTACCCAACAGCAATAGCTTGCCACAGCAAAACTTTAACCTGCCCTGCACACAGCAAACCTTGTTTCTGCCACGTACTCCACTTCCCAATGAAGAAGATCGCTGCTCTGTCCCCTTTACTGGCTCTGAGGCGGACAGTGAGCACAGCGTTGTGGCACGTATTATTGCGGATTTCAGTGATATTGAAACTGATCATACTCAGCGCAGCAATAATGCCATTAGCAATAACAACAACGAAACTCAACAGCGGACCAACACAGAACAAAATAGTAGTGTCAGCTATGAAAAGTTAATTTTCTCATCAAACTGTGTCAACACGTTATCCACATCCAGCATGACCCTGCTGGAAACCAGCTTGCCAGTTGTAATGCAAAATGCAGTTGGGTCCAATGATTCGAGCCAATCGAGAAAACGCAATCAACGCATTGTCACTAAATCTTACCGCAACGGAATAACAACTATTGATATGCAAGTAAGATGAAGAAAATACGAATGCTGCAATCTAAATATTATTAATTACTATATAATCAACAGCACACATCGACTTCAAGTACAATGACGGATAAATCGAATGCATACGAATTCTCCGAAGATAATGAAAAGTGTGAAAAGATTTCCACATTTCGCAAACGCCGTCTGGCTGACAAAAAGTACGAATTCTCAGAGGATAACTCTGAAAATATCATACCGTTCACTAAGATACGTTCAGCTGGACGAACAACGTTTAGTCCATCGACTGCCAGTTCAACCGCTCAACGTAGTCTGCATCGATTTTCGCCAACAGCCCATTATTTTCACAACTCTCCCTGTGCTTCACCCTCATCCTCTCCGCACCCTGCACAGCCTTCCCATACACCGCCACCGCCGTTGCATTTGGGATTTCGTTCGCCGCCTTCTAGCTCGAATTTAATGCGGTCGCCCAGCCGTAATGCAAATGCAGCCTCGGTAGCTGCACAAATTTACAATCAAAAGTCTCCACCTTTGTCCCAGGCGACACAGCAGATGCTCAGTTATAAGCCTGTTGGACCTTTGGGTGCATTATCGCCATTGCAGGTATCTATGGCCAAACGATTCGAAATTGGAGGATCAATGTCGCCTAACGCAGGCTTATCATTTTTATCGCCACGACGTGATGAGCAACGCATTGTCGAAATGCCAGTTCAAGGTGGAGTTATGCCGGAGAAACCGGTCTGCACCAAGAAGTTGCGACGTCGCTATGTAGATGAAGACGATGCCACGTCTGTAATTACTAGTGAAGAGGGTAAGTCCATAATTTATTATAAAATATATTGTATTATAGAAATAAAAAAATATACAAACTGATTCATACACAGACGACTGCATCTCGCCGGGCTATCACACCTCACTTCCCATGGAGGTGCATGGATCTTGCTACTCGGAAATGCAAATGATTTCACAAGCATCGTATCAACGCTTACGATGCAGCAGCGTGGTTATAACGCAACACTCCTTTGATCTTGAAACTTTCACATATTATGTTATAAGCATGATCTGTCAAAAGCATCAGAAGATCTACAATGTATTTTACGACTGGGCATACGAGTTCATCAATGTGTGCCCGCTCAGCCAGACTATTAGCTGTATGCTAATGGCCCAATTCTCGGCGCGAGATCAAATGCCAACAACTCCAACAAATTGCATGTACTGCACAGGTCGCATGGGATGTGTTTTCCACAATCGGCAGTACGAGTGTCGCATTCTTTTCACCTGGAATATGGAGAGTGGACAATGGCAGGTGTTGGACTATGGCGAGCTCAAAGAAATGCATGAACTGTTCAGTCCACTAAAACGACTGGGAAAATCTCGTTTAACCTTTGCTCAGGTGGCCAGGCAGATGGCTCAGGAAATGGCAGCCAGTTTGAACCGACTGCCTGATTATACCTCTAATTTGCGAATTCTCAATGCGGACATAAAGAAGTCGAAATCATCCATTTGCGATTTGGACAACATGGTGGAGTTTCATCTGAAGCGTATGAATAATAACGAAGAGTTCTGATCATCTTAAACCTGTGCATAGCTACGACTAAAGTAGATAGTGTTCAGTTTTGCCGCAATCCTCGCCACGTGCAAGTGCATCTAGTTCAGTTTTAAAAACTTTATAATTGTGCTGTATTTAATTTTAAAATAGTTTTAGTTTTATTAGTGCAACGAAACGCTTTTATAAAATGTTATAACGCGTCCTAGTTTTGACTGAAGTCATTTAATTAAACTACAAATAGTAGTTAGTTATTTGACATACTTACAATTACGCCTATGTATATATTAATATACTTTTGATATTTCATATAATACTACATTCTATATAAAAATTAGTTAGGAACACATGAAAACGGTTCTAGTTAGTTGCGCATCTCCTAAAGGACGGCGTCAATATACAAATTAAAATAAAAATAATTAAAAATTATCTTATAAAAATCTTATAATTAAAACTTGAGTGAGTAATATTTGCTAAGTTCATGACAAACAATATTCAAAAATAAACTATATTTCCTTTGAAAATATCTGCAAATTGTTTTATTGAAAGTAAAATAATATAATTATATAGTATATGTTATATGCTCCGACTAGTATCGAAAATCCTTATTTTGAAGATGTCATCGACGTCTTTGGCACCAGTGAAACTTCAGTCATTGCAAGTTGTGTGGAATTCGATCTTGTGGAATCAGTTTGTATCTTTTGATGTCTAAATCTAAATTTGTAAAGTTTAGCAATAGAAAAGGATTCATATATTAAAGACTCACCGGTCAAATAGATTGGTCAGCACGTCCTTCTTTAAAACAGTTACTATGAACAAGATGACACCTTGTCCAGAAGTAATTGTATCGAAAACTGTGATCCACATAGCATTTATGGACGTAAATTGGAAAATATAAGATGAGATCTCAAGAATCCAGATCACGCCCGTAATTATGAATAGTCGAAAAAACATTTTGTAGCTAAAAAGAAAATTAATTACGTTTGTATTCCTCATAAGATAAAACAGTAAATGAACCTTACTTAGTCAGATTTCTTAAAGTACGCTGACACTCCATCAATTTTAGTTGACGTCGATTCTTCCTGTTTTGCACAAGTATTCTCTTTGTCGTTTTAACAAAAAGTGTAATATTGCATAGCAGTAAAAAGAGCATCGGTCCAAAGTAATAGAACATCGCCGCCCAGGTAAATGCTACGAAATGTATTCAGAGCAACAGAGCAATGAATGTAAAAATATTATAATGTTCTTACTATTCATCCAGCACTCGTAAAGACCAATTCCTGGTGTAAGATCCATCGGAATTCCCAAAAATGGATTAAGAAGATCAATTAAAAATGCAACTAGAACCAAGCCTGCAGTACCACTCCAAACTACGATATTGTAACGCAGAAAGCGGGATTTGCGACCGACGCCAATGTTGTTAAACGTTTTCCACAGATTGTAGTTTATTATCGAGAGCCAACTGAAAGTTGCCATCACGATATAGTATCCGATATAACCTGACATATAGAATTTAAAATCTGAATAAGAAAAAAGTGCAAAATGCAAAGTGCGAATTTTCAAACATACCAAACCATTTGCAACCGATGCCATAACTTGTATCTATCCATTCAAAAACTACAATATTTACCAGCACAAAAGTCACCGTAAGGCAAGTGAAGTAACAGGTGCAACATTTGCCATGCACAGAATTAAAGTTCGGTAACAACAGGTGGATAATAATTATCAAGACCATGAAGACTATCGACACTACTTTGACTGCAAGTAAGTCAAATTAATCAGATGTTTCAGTATGACAAATGAACTGGACTAAACTCAACAAGAAGTTTACTCTATTCATTAATAATTTTATATCTATATACACTGCGAGTCATCAGGATAGCGCAGCCATCATGTACTCAGTTATTGCTGAATATTTTCTATATCATTCGAGCTATGGTCTTACCACTTTATTTTATTATACTTTGTTTTATTCTTCTTAAATAAAATAAAAATAAGTTTCAAATCCTTTCTAAAAAATTTTTTAAAAAAATTTTAAAAATAAGCTTATAAAAAAGGGCATCAAGATAGCGCACCCCAATTTAATTGTGAATATCTCGCTCAATTCGGCCCCTACAGTTAAAAAATTTGTTGTGTAAGCCACAAAATTGATTTTCTCTATGAAAAAATTACTATAAAAAATTATGGTATTCAATCTACGAAGGAAAAATAAAAAAAGATCGAATGATATAGAAAATATTTAGCATTAAAGTAAAGGGTGCACTATCGTAATGACGCACAGTGTAATTATATATATAATTATGTATGTATTTATATATTTATATTCATCATTTTAAATATTTAAAACACAATCTGAATGCAATGAAAGTATGGCAAATGCGATGAAGCTTACTGTAGGCGTTGGTTCTGTCAATTGGGTTCATACAATAATTAGGCAGTAAGGCGATCTGATTATCCGGTAGCTTGGTTGGCTGGAAGCAGTAATAGCGCTTGGATAATCTGGCGCCATCGAGGCGACGGTATAGCGTCTCGTTCTAATCAATCAAATAGTTGTAGTCATTGAAGGAAGTATGTGTCAAAAGCTTTTACCTCAAACAAAGTCCAGGCGTTATTTTTATCGGAGGGATCAAGGGCTATATGGGCACTGCAAGGCACAGGAAGATGCCTTTGAACGACAAATTCCGATATATTTTTCTCTATCTCCAGTCCGTCGTTCGTTGTTATTTTCAAAACTGAGTTATAGCTTAAATTGCTAATGACGTCTCCACAGCGTTGTTCCTTATATATGAGCAACTTTTGGGGATGACAACAAAAGCGAACACATGACTTAATTTGACAGGCACATCCCCTTGTGTGCTCGAGCACTGGCTCTCGTTCACCATCATATGAAATCTGGTAGTTGTATTGCCCGACTTTTTCTTTTGGTATTATAATATCCTCGTATCGATATGATCCATTTGTAAATTTCAGACTATTTGTTAGATTGACAGTATCAAAATAATCGCAATTGAGAATATCGCCGGCCATTTCAGCAATGATGGCACATAGTATGCCAAAGACACCAAAGGCTGTACTCCTCATTTTCTAAATGATGCGAAGAAATTGTTAACGAAACTCTCTTGAATTCCATTTTAGAGTCTGTACAATGCCATTCACACCTACTTAGCAAAAAAACTTTAAGTTATCCGCTTTGATGTATAAGCTTTGAACCACGGACTTGAACTGAAAATGTTTCACTTACTTCACGTTTCTGAAGCTGATTAATCAGTAAATCATTTGCGTTTTTCTCTCTTTCTTTATATCCCTATTGGGATCGCAGCGTTGGGTCCGATAAGAAATTAAAAAATAAATATATATGTATAATGGATCGATGTACTGCACTCCGAAATCCATATTAGGACTTTTAAATCAAAAAGCACTTTTACTAATCTGCAATTTAATGCTGGCAAACATCAAATAGTATGAATGAGGGATTAGTTAATTTGATATTGATATGTTTATTTAAATTTAGAGTATATTTTGTTGCATATTTGTGGTTACCGATCCTTAACTCGAGTTCTCACTGCTATGTATTTAAAGTTCATGCCTATACATACATGGTATTTAGGTTATATACTTATTTATATGTTATCAGCATCAATATCTACAATGCCTGCATTTTATTTCGTTCCAATTTGTTTACTATATAAATGTAAAGTGGCTTTTATCACATTTCCGTGTTGCTTTTAGGCATTGATTGGCATAGCAAATCTTGAGTATAGTTTCTGTATAAATAGTTTTGAGTACTACCCGCTATACCCAGAATAGCAAGTTTACAGTTATAATTGATCAGTATTATTGCTCAAGAAAACGAGCCTAGTCGTTCTAAAGCATATCCGTCTGTCTGCTCCCTTCTCGCTCCATGTAAAACCTGCGATCTCGTAAGCTACAAGATTTAGAAATTTTAAATACAAATAGACATTCTATTTATAGTTTGCAAGATCTATTTCGTTATCTGAGCACACAAAAATCGATATTGTAACTTGGTTGTTAAAGCTCAACATGGAAATTGTAAAATTTAATAATTATACTAGTTTAATAAATGAACATTTTATGCATAATTATTAGGCTCTGAATTCATCAAGATCGCTTTCTATAATCTATGTTATTCCATGATTGATTTCCCATATCGTAGTTGAACACTTCACACTGCCAGCACCCGTACAGCTTAGAGATTCCAGGTAATGAAACGATTCTCCCTCAAATAAATTATGTATAGATATATAGATATATATTATATCTGCATATGATTTATCTTAATTTTTTAAATATTCAATCTAAACGTCATATTTCCATTAGACTTATTAACTTCTAAGGGAATCAGATTCCCGTCGTTGTAGTTTCGGTTTTATCACTAGCAGTCGAATTCTGTTGAATATAAAATAAGATAGTTGCCATCAATAATATTTAAAATGTTAATTTAATCACTGTTCACAGCTCGCTTTGAGCACGTCCTTTTTCAAGACTGTCACAAAGAAGATTACGATACCCTGCGCGGAAGTGGGTAACTCGATCCATGTCATTTCCCATTGCGAATTAAGGCGAAATGACAGATACGAAATTACTTCAAGTAGCCAAACGACGCCGGCAATGACGAAAAGTCGAAGAAACACTTTAAAACTGGAAAAATAATCAATGGAATATATGAAGTGAAGCTGCGTTTCACTTACCTCGCACGATTCTTTAATTTTTGAATGCTTTCGGATCGCTTCCACATGGCTCGGTTCGACTTGTTCTCCTTATATATTTTCCAAGCCGTCAGAAGAAATAGACTTACATTAACAAGAAGGATAACTAGCATAGGTCCATGATAGTATATCATTGCAGACCAATCCACCGCTAAAATAAGAAATTGAGTTGATCTCCATAAGAAAACTTAATGAAATTAAGTGAACTTGATTTCTAGGCTGCTGCTTAGTATGCTTAAAGGATATTATTATATCATACTATTAATCCAACAGGAGTATACGGTAAAGCCAGGTCTCCATTGGACGAGTCTATCCTCGTCCACGTTCTTCATGATAAAGTCTATCGAAATTGTAATTAGAAGCAACAGAGCAGCAGTAACCCAGACAAAGAGATGACGTTTCTTCACGTTCACTGCTTTCCTGCCAAGTCCCTTCATGGATTGCCACAAATTGTGGTTAATAATTAGAAGCCATAAGAACGTGCACATGACCGCGTAGTAGCTAATGCAAGCTGGAAGGAATATTTGAATTTGTGAGCACTCAATAGATCAAGAATATGAAGCTTACCAAATAAGTAACAGACCTCCACTCTCATAAGTTTTCGAAAAATATTTTCAATGCGCAGCAGGGAGAAGCTCAGTGTTAGACTGATGAAGAAACATATGCAGAATTGCTTTTGGGCAGAACGAAAGTCCGGCATGCAGAAGTGGGCAGCAATTGTCAGGAGCATGAAAACTACAGATACTATCTGAACTGAAATGAGTTACAATTGAATCAATATTACTAGTTGAAATCAAGCTCAGTTGTCTTACCATACGCTACGGTATTGTCTTGTGGCTCGTTGCATTGATGGGGAATTATTTTATATTGACCATCCGCCGATTTCTGTGGCTGCATGCAATACTGTTGCTTACCAAAATTCTTACCATCATACACGCGGTACAGCTGTCCATTCTGAGTAGTGGAAAGGCAAATTAAGACAGAACACTCGGTCAGTAAGGATCTGATATGTCAAACCTCATATAATGTCCACTTAAAGTTAGCATCAAAGTCCGGGTCGAGACTAAAATGATTTTCACAGGGTATCCCGAAAAGTTGTATTGCAAACTCTTTTACAACATCTATCTCTGCCTCAGTCCCGTTGAGTAGTGTGATATTTATAAGAGTGTTGTAGTCCGTAATATTACCATCACATTGCTGCCTTTCGTTGACAAGTGTCTTTCGGGGATCACAGCAAAATCGCACACACGGCATCATCTGGCATACGCAGCCCCGTGTGTGTTTGGCAATTGGTTGAGTAATACCATCAAACAACATCTGGAAGTCATATTCTCCGGTTTTTTCACTTGGTATAATAATGTCCTTGAACACATACGACCCGTCAGCTAGCTGTGTGCTGTTTGATAGATCGACTGTATCAAAATAATCGCAACCGGGAATATCGCCTGATATTTCAGCGATAAAAACGCTGAGCATGAGAGAGACAAATCTCATTCTGAAAAACGCAATCAAGTGGAAATGAAAATCAAATTTGAAATGAAAAACTCTACCTAGAAAAAGTAAGGAAATAGTAGACTTCGAATGATAGTATCGAAGGAATATTAATTACTTCACTTGTTATGTAAGTTAACAGTAATATATTATATATGTTTTTTTTTTTCATTTTATAGTTTTTCATATTGTGAACAAAATTGCCAATTATATACAAAAATATTTATATATTTACGAACTGAGCTCCATATAAAGGCTTATCAAGATTGTTTGAAACAAACTGTGGTTTAAGTTTTTTATCGTTACACACATATATATATATATAACAAAACTTGAATTCTTAAAATTCTGTGAAGGCTCGACTGGGAGAAAACAATTCAAAATGGTTTTATTATAGTCAGACACATGCTGAGTCGAACATAACTGTGACTAAGTATTCAGTTTGTATATCATGTTTCCTATTTTCACTTAGTTCGTCATTTCAAAGCAGCATAACTATAAAACAGAGTCTCCACACAATCTGCTGAAAGCTGTAGCACTAGAATTCTCAACTGGTTAAAGCTTAGCAAGAGCAGCAAGCTAAAGTGCAACTCCGAGTCCATAGCGAAAATTGCTAAAAATAGAATCAGGAGATTCTTGTAATAGCAGTAAATATTTTTATTTATATATATATATTTGTGTATATAAATATTATATACATATATATATATATATATATATGTATAAATTTATTTATGTATGTATGTATATAAGTCTATACTGCTGCTCAGAAAGTATAAGGAGGCACTACATAAACAATTTTAAGACTATATTTACTGACTTTGTAGTTTTATCGAGTTACGTAACCAACAAATTTACTTTGCGCTTTCCCAATAGCAATCGAAGCTCAAGTGATTTCAACAATTTAAAATAAACTGAACGATTCAAGTCGAAGCATTTAAATAAATAGTGACTTGAATTTATTAAACGTATTAATAACCTTATCGAGCGAAGTGTGTATGAATAAGATTTTTAAAAAACATTCATTTCACTGGATGACTGATACAGTCGAGACTTCAAATGAAGTCCACAGTCAAGAGTGACTATCGAAATAAATACCAAACTATTAAAAGATACTATACTGTTGATTTACTTCTATGAACTCCCCTTTCTTGAAATTATGATTAAAGTGTATCAAATAATTACTAGTTTACAATACTTTCAGATTAATCGCTTCTGGTTTAACAAAATATATATAAATATAAGCAAGGAATCAAGATACACGATTTTAAAAGTTCTCTAATCTGACTTTAACATCTTTGAGCCTTGGCCCATGCCTATTATCAATTGCATTTGTCAAGGACAGCCTAATCTGCTAGATAGTCAAAAATATGTTTACAATAATCTTATTAGACTATCTAAATATCTTACTTTTGTGCACGCTGGCATGCAATTATTGCAGACCTTAAGCTTTGACAGTGTGTATAGACATCAATGTAGCTTATCTGAATACAAAGTGATTTCTTGTATCATTGATTTCACATTCTAACAAAATTATGTGTAATAACATCGAACTATTCTTATTCGTAATAATATACTGATCTGACCAAGCGGAGAACTCTGCTATTTCTGTTGTTTCTATAACTCTAATAGATCTTTATCAAATAAGATATCAGAATTTTAAAAGTTAATCAGTTAAATTACTTTGGACCTCCTCTATTGAATTACCAAACATTTGTATATATGTGGCTCTTGAGAATGTGCCGAATCGAAACGAAAGTTTAAAGCTGGCAGCTTACACCGTAATGAGTATTGTTGGTAACACGCGACTGTGAAGTTCTTATTGGTCTTTTATATTTCTCTTATTATTATTTTTATATTTTTCAGTATTTTTTTTTTTTTTTCTTTTATAAATGTATTTTGTTTTTTATTCGTGTGCAAAAGAAAAAAGCAGAAAGGATATAAATTGTTTCAACTTTATTACATAAGTATACATACATATATAAAATATATTAAACGGTAACGTAGTTGTATTATATTAATTGTACTGTAGTAAACGTAATAATCATATTATTAAAATCCCTAAAACATGAATATATATTGTGCATAAACTTCAAGTTTATAAGCAGCAAACATTTTTAGAAAATAATTTGTTTTTATTTGATTTTTTTTTTTTTTTTGTTTAATTTTGTTACTTCTTTACATTGATGTTAAAATTTGAAGGTAATTTAACATGTCACAACGTTGAAAACTTATAATACTAAAACTAATGACGACAACAGCGATGAACCCAATATTTACATGTTCATCTACGTAAACCCCATTTCGAAAATGAAATTTGGTATAACCTTTAACAAAAATTAACTGCTTTTCTAGCTTTGCCCAAGAGTTTTGGAAAAAAAATCACTTAAATATGATCTTTAAACTAATTCATCCAACTTAAAAGAAACTGTCTATAATTTGTAAGACATCAATATGTACACGTCAACTCTTTTCCATTCTGTTTTGTTTTTTTTTGTTGCTTAAATGTTGATTTGACTAGTGGTTTATGAATATTTATCTATTTAAAAAACGCACTTGGAGCCCGATTTGAAACCACAACACTTATTATAGTTGCAAAAATGTTACACATCTAAAAATACATTTAATTCACAATTAATTATAGTTTTAATCCAATAGATTAGATTTTAACGTGGGCTGCTTCTTGGCATCAAACATGCACATTTCAATATCTGTGCATGTGTCTATGTATTTATAGAGTTCCTTCCCTTACAATGGTTTGTATTGAACTGTCACTAAGCACAGATACAGATACATTTTTTCTTTTGATTGGTAAATAACAGTTGCATTTGGATGTAGACTTTGTTCATGGGACCAATAGGTAGCGCCCAGTTTCGAACTGGGTGGGCTAATGTCCTTGAGTTGAATCGTCTATTTGTACAGCAAAATAATTTTGTATATATGTGTGTGTGTGTGTTTGTGTGTAGAGTGTGTGTGTAGTGTGTTTATACTGTTGTTTCCAAGTCGACTCCCAACAGTTTGAATTTCGCACAATATAGGAATCAATCATTTGATGATTATTCACAGAAGTAGTGAGGTAGACTTGTTCTCTTCCGCCGGTACAGCTTACCAGCTGTTGCTCATAGCCTGCTCGAGCTTGGCTTTTGCCACAGCGGCAGCAGCTGCTGCCGAGCTGGCGCTCAGCGATCCAGCGGCTGTGGTAACCACGTTCTGTTGCTTGCCAGCAGCAACGGCTGCAGCAGCAGCAGCTGCCGCTGCAGCCGCTAACAGCGATGTCGACGATGAGCTGGGCATAAAGTTGACATTGATGTTAATGGGGTGCACCACGGGCATGCTTGTGTAGCTCTTCTCGAGCAGATCCACACCGTTGAGGTACGGCACCAGAGCATTGTAGTCTACATTAAGTGGCACATAGTAATTGCCCTGACCGTGCAACGCAAAGATGGGTACAGTAAACGAGTGTCGGGACGGCAGTGGAGCCGTTGTGCTACTTGGCGTGCTTAGCTGCGCGCCGGCAGCAGCGCTGAGCTTGGCCAGCAGCGGACTAGAATTGGAATTTGTATTGTGCAGCTCCGACTTGATATCCTTAATATCACTGAAGCTAAAGGAGGGCTTATCGTCACGCACCAGACCCATGGGGCGTACCGGATTCATGTTGCTCGTCTCGCTGTGCACGTCCAACGGCAGGTCCCCATTGCAGGCTGCCGCTGCGGCTGCTGCTGCCTCAGCCAATTTACGCTTTTTGGCCATTATGGGAGCTATCTCTGGCTCGGTGCCGTCCTTGGAGTGCTCGGACAGTGCATGCAAATGTGAATGATCGTTCTGCAGGTGCGGCGTGTGTTCGCTGCTCGTCTCCTCGTCGTGCAGCTCGTGCACAAAGCGCTCCTTGATGTGATTCTTATACTTGTAATTGTTGTTGTGTTCAACTTCATGCGAGGACTCCGAGTAGTTGCGCATTCTCGCTGACAGCTGGCTGTCCGTTGTGTGATGATTATGCACCAGATGCGCATGCTGCTGCAGCAGTGCGTCCCGCGGCGGAGGCGAATGCATGTTAGAGGTGTCCGTATGGAGCATCGGCTCATGCGAAGACTCAAAATCGTGCTGGCTACTGTCCGTGTGATGATGAGGTGCCGTCGATGTAATCACTGCCGCCTGATGCGGCTGCTGGTGCGCAGCAATTGCAGCAGCCCCGACGGGCGTCTTGGTCAGCGTGTGGCACGTGGACGTAGATGTGGTCGAGCTAGCCGCATTGCTGCTGGCTGTATTGGAGCCCGTGGAGTTGGTGGGTATATTGTCAGCAGCAATGCCATTGCCCGCAGCAAGCTTATTCCCGCTTTGACCCTCCATGCTGGCGCTTGATGCGCTGGCATTGGTCACCGCGGCAGCAGCAACGGCCGCCGCAGTCGCTTGATGACTGCGATGCAGCTGATTGAGATGGTTGCGAAAGCTTAGATCCTTGACATCATTATGATCGTTGCTATGCTCCACATCCGAGGCACCCAGCATGTCGCGCAGATGGCACAGCGGCGGATGGTAGGCCTGGTGGGGGCTACCACTGGAAGCGCTAACATTATCCGGCACATGGCAGCTGCGGGTGGACTTGTAACAGTCGGCTGGCAAAAATAAACAGGAATTAATATATAAATGAGATTCGACTACAAAGGGCAGGCTGTACTTACCTTTGAACACCTCGTCGATGTGCTCCTGCAAGCGGGCCAACAGTCGATAGCAAAAGTCCTGCATTTGACTATCGTAAAGGAATTTGGCCGCCTCCTTCATGCAGTCCATGTATCCGCTGCGATACTCGCTCTCCTTTTGGAGGATCTCGCTCTGCAGATGCTTCAGATGTCGGATGGCCATCTCGATGATTTCGGTCTTCTCAATGCGGCCACGTCCCTTGCGTTGATACTGTGGCGGTATGAGGCGAGACAGATCGGCCAGGCAGGAGTTCATGCGATCGCGACGACGCTTCTCAATGATGCGATGCGACAGTGGATCTTGCTGTAGATGCAGACAAAGTGGAAAACAATTAGAGTGAGCTTAACAAGGGTCTAAGCGACAAGTAAGTAAAAGATCATGGAGTTTCGGGAGCATTATACTAAATAATGATTCCATCCACTATTTTGTACTATTTTTATTTTTTTTCGTCATGTTTATTCAAATTCATTTTATTTTCATCATGTTTACTAATTTGGAAATTGTTTTTTTTTGTTTTAATTTTTATTATCTTCATGCTCTTGAGTACAATAAAAAAGGGTCAAAAGCGGCGGCCAACTTCTAGGGATGACGTGCGTGTGCGTTCTGGGTGAGTTGTAGGCGTGCGAAATTGGGCGTGGTCATCGACATCACCGGCATTGCCATAAACCAACCAATCATCAGTCATCGGTCATCAGTCACCAGGAATCAGTTACATAATGAGTACGAGCAATGAACTTGTTACTCGGGCGCTTTATCTTTTGATCCTTTGATCTTGTTTTCGAATTTGATTAGTGTCGCGATTTGTCGCTCTGAAATTGTAATATTTACCCTCGATGTTTTGTTACGTCTTCCGGTGGCATATTCAGCATCATCCTCGCTGTATGCTGTTGCCGATGTTGAAAAATTTAAGCTAGATTCTGTGCAATAAGGAAAACTGGAGACTGCTGCTTCGCTATAATTCGTATGCGTTTTGTATCATATGCAAAAAGAGTGGGAAGGATAAGAAACACAAATAAGTCCAAATCTTATTCAAAAGTTTGTCAAATTTTTGTTTTTGATTTTTTTAATTGTTTTCATTGTTTTAGTAATGCATTTATTAGGCGCATAACTTAAACTGACTTAGAAATATAGAGCGTAAGACTAATTAATCTAAATATTATTATGTAGTTAAATTATGAGTTCTTTTTATTTCATGGCAATTCTTTATTTGTTTCGAAAAGAAGTAAAACTAAAAGATAAACTAAGGCTGCAATTTGAGAAAAATAAGGAAAATTGATATGTTATTCGAATTGTGAATACTCTCAGTCTGTCGCGCGTCCCTCTCCCTCTGCCTCTTATACTCTCTTACAGATATCCCAATATCATTTTGTCTTATTATGTTCCACAGTTGGTAGTCAACCAGCAGCTAATCCGAGAGTCCCCGATTTTGCACCCCACGAAGTCGCTTGGCTAAAATCAAACGAGGCGATTTGGTTGTTGTGTGTTGTAGTAAAAAGGATAAAAGTTCTTTAAAGTACAATTAGCAAACTATAAATACATATGTAACATAATAAAACATACCCAGCTGTATATCAAAATCGACACACTCGCACTCACACAACGGTACTTACACTTACACGAAACTAAAAACACAACTTTATTCAACACTTTATCGGAGGATCTTTCGTGTGCTATTTCTGTGACAGTTGAGCTCGTCGTCCAATCACAATATAGTCAAATAATTCAACTAGATTTACCAAACATGTCATAGGTTTAATACTCTAAGAGTAAAGAGATTAAATGCATGTGTCAGAAAGTAAAAACAGAAAAAAGAAAACACATTTGAAATAAACAAAATTGACAAGCAAATTTTATTGTATTAAAATTAGAAGCCACTGCGGAAAGCATTCTGCGAAAACTATCAAAAACAGTTGCCAAGTGCGGCAAAAAGTAAATAAATGAGTGATTCAAAAGAAAGCAAAAAATGCAAACATTTCATTATTAACAACTAGCACCAATTGTGGCCCAAACAAACAAAGCGACAGGAAACGAAGAGGCAAACGAAAGCAAAACAGAATCACACAAAAGAAATACAAATTGTTTATTTCGAAGCTGAAATACCCTTAAGACATCTAAAGTTGATAGATAAATATCAGCCAATTGTTCTACGAATGGCATATAGAATAATAAAAGATCGCTTTAATATACCTTTCGGCTTGTGTTTCAATAAAATCGAATAACTCGAACTCATCTTTTTATCTAGATTGTTTACGATATAGTTCTTCGATGCTAATAAGCTATTGTTCATTTATGAGTAGCTTAGAATAGCAAATGTCAAGTCTTCAAAGCGTTCTAAGTAGCTATAAACTGTATCTTCCACTTGGGTATACAAACACACACGGAAAAAACCGAATCAGAAAACACTAGAAGACTTGCGACGACTTTCGAGCAGTGCTCGCGATAAGCAGCAACACGCAACGATTCGTCGAATATGTAAACAATATTTAAACACGCACACATTTGCCTAAGCATGTATATACGTACGTACATGCTCGCATACACACGCAGTGAATACCAGTTCTCGCCAGTGTCTGGCGCTTAAGGCTTGTTTGTTTATCCCCAGCGCAGTAAACGCTTGTGAAATCTAGAAACTGAGACATCTACTTAGTGCAACTTCGACTCTGACTCTCTACTTGCCATAGGATAAAACCTGCAAGCTGGACAACGCTGCAAATGTCACGCACACTTCTTGGTCCACAGGGCGTATGAGTAATGCGCACTCCGAGTTCAATTAAAGGCTTTTATCTTGTTCACTGTATTTGCATGTTGACATACACTTGGCAAAGGGGTCAGTCCGGGATTTCAGTTAGCCGATGGGAAGAGTCCCGTGTGCAGGGCGTGTTCCTATTTTACTGCATTCTCAAGTAACAATCGACCCTTGTACTTGGGAGACGGCGTCATTGCCAAATCACTCGCTTGATTCATGAAATAACGACGCGATGCCCTGAACGTTACACAGTGAACATTGATCCCAATGGACACGCCCCCATGGGTCCGCCCCAACTGGCAAGCATTCTTGTTGGCGTTTTCTAACTTGGGGGCCATTGGGCCAAAAACATTGTCGACGACGATTTCGTAGCCATCGTCGCACTTTTGAGCTATTAAGTAATTGGCAAACATCGGCGCTCGTTTAAATTTAGAGATGAGCCAGCCAGCCAAAGATGCAGAAGTGCAATCAAAAATTCGTCTACGCGACAGGTAGTTCGCGAGCTAAATGACGCCAACTGTTGATCAGCCACACGTTGTTTGCCAACAGCATGAACGGACATCGGACGCATGCTTCAAAAAACGCATTAGTTGAAATGTTTTGAATATCAAACATCAAGAAGCTTACCCAATTACCCTTAAAGTGGACATGCGGTCAGGGGCAAGCGAAAGACTGAAGCGCTAAATGGCTTAAGACATCCCTCAATTCATCACATAGTTCGTGACAAAACAATTTCATACCTGTATACCTGTATACTTTAACCTTATACTGCATACTGCAAACCTGTATACCCTAATTAGAATGTTTTGCACACGCCCTCAAAAGTTGCTTTGCGATATCGTGCGTTAACCTAAAAATAATGGAATTATATTCCATTGATGGTGAGCTTTATGGCTTGCAGTTGATATTTGTTATTTGTTATTTGTAGCCGTAGATAAGATATCTTTACAGCTGCACGTGATATGGAAGCGCCTTAAACGAGTGCACATATATGTATATATTCACGTATTTTCAAAACTGATTCACATGACTTTCAGACAGTGTTTTATGTTCGCCCAAGCACCACTCAATAGATTGTAAGTATTTACAGAGCAGCAAAGAAATATATCAATATATAATATAGTTAATAAATATATAAATTCATGCGATCACAGATCGAATTGAGTGCGCATGTTTCTTAACATCAGATGAGTCATAAAGTGACTAAGTGGAAAATTTGTTTCATATACATACAGACATACAGAAGTCTAAGCTAATTTCTGTCAATTTCCATCAACTGTATAATCAATTATGTAAACGAGGCCCAAGAAACCAATGTCAAGCATTTCCGATACAAAATGTGTGTCAAATGAGAGGGACCTTCGTATCACATTAGAGAATTTTCATATTTCCACACTTCGGTTGTCAGTTGTCTTTTGTCAATGGCAATTGTGAAATACGACAAAAAAGTAAAATAAAATAAAATAAAAGAGCGAAAAACACCAAAACGATGACGCACTTCGAAGGGGGAAACAACAAAAAGTAAACACAAATATAAATATAGTAAATTATTTTCTTTGCTTTGGTGAATTAGCGTCTAAATAATAAAAAACACAAATGAAAAACAAAAGTTGTTCGCACTGAGAACCTGCACGACATGGAGACTAGCCTCAGACCGATCATTGGCCGCTATAACCTTGACTGCACCTGCAGCAGTCTTCGACGCTGCTGATAAGATAAATATACCATATAAACAAACGCTCGTGCAGGGCAACCGCCAGGCAACAGTCGTCAACAATTGCCAGGTATTATTAGACCCGCAGACAAGTGCTGGATTTGTTGTTGCTATTCAAGCTAGTCGAATAGCAACTTTAGCAATGATCACGTGAGATTGTTTTGTTATGCTTGAAAAAACTGGAAATCACACGCAAACCGGTTGCAGTTGCCCACTTGAAAGATTTTTAATTAACATTATGTATAGACAGAGCCATGGCTGACTGTACACGTGATATAATGACCAAAGCACTAGCTCAATGGAGTGTGGAGCAGTGCAGCAGTGCAGATTGCTTATTCAACAACAAATTAATTGCAACACTGCAAAACGTGTCCACGTGTCGAGCCAAGTGCATAGCAACAGCAGCGAAAGGCAAACGCCACCGCAGCCAGCCATCTATTTTTATTCCTATTCCCATTCCCCATGCTCCGTAAACAATAAGCTGGCGTGCGGCTGTCTAAGCAACAGCAATTCAATAAACATAAACAACAAGAATTTACAAAAGCAACTAGCTCAATTGAGCACAGGCGCTGAGTGCTGTACGCCTTACACAGCTGCATTACTTATACGCCACATGTGACGCCCACACACGCACACATACATGCACATAAGTACATATATTTCTATGTGTATTTGTGTTTTTAACGTTTGCAAAATGACGATGCAGCGGAAATGAGCTTTGCTTGACCCGATGTTCATCAGAAAACAAACAAATTCTTTCAGAGAACGTCACAAGATTCGAGATTCGATATTTCAAAAATTCCTACAAAGTAATATGAACAAATCCTGATAATTATTAGTAAGAAATAAGGCTTTACGCATTGTTATTGTTTTAAATATCGATACTTTGCTATTTGATGTAAGCACAATATTCAGAAATTTGACCAAGATACATATATGCGGGCACTTAATTTATTTGTCAGAGTATACAAAAGTTACACGCACATACACACACACTCACGCATCAAATACTTTTGATAACTAGGTCAAAAGACATAAAAATATATCTATTTGAATCATTTAGAGGCAATCAAATGCAATGTGGGCCCAACTGATGGTCGCCGCTGAGTCACCTGCCCCGCCACAGGCCCCAGTCAATGCTGAGTGCATTAATCACAGCGCGGAAAAGTCAGAAATACATTTACACACAAATACACACACACATAAATTATGATTGTTTTGTAAATTTCTCAATATTTGCGGCACGTTTGTCAAACGGCACGAGGGATCGCCAGCTCAAATATAAACATGCACTGTGGAACGTATGTAGCTAGATATATGCATATGTATATGTGTGCGTGTGCGCGTGTGTGTGAGTGTGCAAAGAACTGCATGGAAGTGATCGTGTGTACGTGCCCGTGTCGGGGATGGCAATGGCCGAACGATGACGATAAGCCGACGCGAATCCGAATGGCGTTTTGGAATCCAATTCGAAATTGGAATCAGTGTGCGCTCTATTCCAAATTTAAAAATTTGCTCGAATGCTACGTTTGTACTTATTAATGTGTCTATGTGCGTGTATATAAAATTGTATTTGGTATTTATAGAGCGAAAGCATGTGTTTGTTGTTGTTTGTTTTGTTTTACTTCGCTATTGATATATTCGAAATAGATCACTAAAGTGTATGTACATATATATACATATATTATATATATATTGATATGTGTGTATATATTTATATATATTCGATTATTTGCGGCTAGCTTTGACGTGTTGTCTTGCTGAACATTTGTGCGTTGCTTAATCTACATGACGAACCTGCAGAGCTGAGAGGATTTCGTCATGTAACACAAACGTAGCCAGCAAACAAACACACTTTCTTAGAATTGTCTCGTTGCAGTCACATCGATAGTCACTAAATTGCAGATCACTAATCATAGACCATAAATCGCAAAACACAAATCACAAATCACAAATCACAGAACACTAATCACTTGTTGCTTATCACTGGGTCACGGAAATGGAATGGTTGGGGTCACGTTGTCGTAAAGATCCCGAAATCGAAAACAACGAGAGACAGCTGCATATGGGTTTGGTTTTGGAGCAGCTGCCTCGTCGTGCAACAAACCCGAGATCTCACAAATTTACACACAACCAGCACTCCTTCTTCAGGAACATTATCTATATACTATATACTCTTTATATTTGTATGTGCAGCTCAGTTATCCGGTAAGTACATACAACTATGTGCGTCAGCAGAAATTCGCTTTTATCGCGTGCTTGTTTATCTCTTTTATGGATGACATGATTGTAGTTGAGTTGTTGTTTGTTGATTAAAGCATCGCTAGAGTAAATTATAAACGTTGTAAATATATGACGGCTACGCAGACGTGTGTTAGGTCTCAAGTGCCAAGTGACGACTTAAATGAACTGGCACGACTAAGATTGCGATTACCGTCAGGGCGATAATGATAGTGATAAGATGAACAAATGGAAACTCCTTCAATTTTCTTATGCATTTCATTTCAAGTTATCTTTCCAATTTCCTGGCATATTATTTCCATAAATATAATTTAATAATAATATATGTATACACAAACATATACGTAAAACCAACAGATAAACCCTTGAACTGACAAATAGTTTGGCTAATTGCCTCAACTTGTCATGTCTAGACTTAATTTTTTCTTCACGTGATGAAAAGTAATATAATTTAATAGTCTTTAGTGTCTTAATAATTGATGTCACATATATGTGTCACACTGGTATACACATATATATAATTATGTACTCATCATCAATTTAAAAAACAAGACCGAAATAGCATCTGTGTCTATTGGTAAATGGAATTGTGAATTTGTATTTATCACTCAATTAATCAAGTTAACATGAGTGTTGTATATTTGATGAGTGACTATTTGGAATGGGTGCATTTAATATAAGTGAATAAATAGAACATATTTATAGAAAATCACTTAAAGGCGTCATTCCAGTGGACACAGTCCACACAAAAATAGACAACACAAGACAATCAACAACAGTTGCTGACCTTCAAAAGGACACCGACTAGTTAACACGCACACACAGCCATGTCAATACAGACGCGTACATATGTGCGTGAGTGTTTGGTTGTGTGAGAGCAACACGCCCACAAAAGCTACTCAAACGAGCGGTCCTATTGGCTATTTATAGCCCTGAAGCATTTTGGCCGTTGACATTTAATGGGAATATAAGCTGGCTTTATAAAAACCAATCAGTCCGGTCTCCCAAGCTCTTAGTTAGTTATTCACGTAAACTTGCTGCATGTGTGTAACAAGAATATGCATATATATTATATGCATATATTGTTTTGAACACTGCCCAGAATAAAAACAAAAATTCCAAAAGAATTCAAGTTCAAAATATATATTGAAACGAAGAGAGAAAGAAGAGGTAAGCCCCCAAAACTGAGCGTCACGTTTGCCCAATCGTGTGTGCTGTATTTTGCTTGTGTTTTGGCAAAATGTTTGCATAAATAAATACATAAACTAAAATCCATTTTAAAAATAGAGTCAAAGGCGTCAAGCAAACGCGAGTCTGTCTACCCACGTTTTCATTCGTTTTTCACATCATTTTTTTCTTTCTTCATTTCGCTCAACTGCCAAAAATAGCCTCACGATCCACGCCCAACCGCAAACTGACAACCACACTCACATGCACACTTTGGCACAAGCACACACACATATTACTATGTGTACCGTTACAACGACGTCTGCAAACTTAGCCTACAGCTTAGACATGATTTAATATTAAACTAACAGTAATTTATGCATAAACTTAAGCGCGGGCAGGTGAAAGTGAGTGTGTTTATTGTTGTAGTCCTACTTATTGTTCTTGTGGTGGTGGAGTGCTCAGGCAATACCTTCCGTAAATATACCTACCTCTCATACTTAACCGGATGTGCCGCATGTCCATTAGCTTCGCTCCAGTAGGGCTCCATGCTGCTGCTGCTGTGATTCCTGCGGCTGCTGCTAGAGGTGACGATCCTGGGCAAACTTGCGATTGCTGCTTTGCGTGGCTCTGGCCTCTGCTGCTGCTGCTGCGTCGACGTTACTTGCTGTTGTGGTGGAATGGTGGAAGGTAACGCTCTCTACGTCAATGCAGGAAAGACAAGATAAAATACCGGCGAGTGAGCGCACGAATTCGTATGACAGCAAACAGGTTGTCGGCCACGGCGAATTTATTGCGGCGAATTACAAATTGTTGCTCTGTTCAATTGTGTGGTGGGTTCACTTTGAATTTCACACAACACAACTTGCTTAGCAACTTATTTGAATATTCTAATAATTTGAATTTTTAAAGTTTGGCTTTGGACTGTAAATATTTACTACAAATCGTATCACGCTTGAATATCCAATATTCTTTGCACACGTCTGGCACGCTCAACCGTTTCACATGTAGCATAACATTCCGAATTTAGCTTCAGTTTATTTAAAAATAGTTAAAGGAGTGAACGACTTTTGATATGTGGTGTCAACTATCTGCCAACAGTTAAGGGATGACTGTTCTCCTTATCAGCAGTGGCGGCCTTTTGTTTTTGTTACTCTGCCGATAACAAAGACAGCAACGGGTGAGATAAGGCTTATTTATATACACAAAATGCTCACACTTATGTACACATTAGCTACATACACGTTTAAATGCAGTATATGCATATGCGGCTTAACTTTTATTGGGAGATGACAGTTTTCGAGACGTTTATCTATGTGGAATTTAACCGCACTTGTTGGACCAAAGTAAGCCTTGGTCTCGATACCTAAATGTCTTTGACCAGCCTCTGCCGCGCCCGTGCTTGCTTGAGGCCCACGCGTTTTCTGCAGCTGATGCTTTTACGTTGGAAACCTTGAAATTTCTTTGCACTCACGTCTCGTTTTTGGTCGCAGGACTTGCTCTCTACCACACACACACACACATCCACCTGCTTCGCACCGCACAGCTCCAAAAGCGAACGATTGTCGAAAAACGTGATTCCTTTTTGTCACACGGCACCGATAGACACGTTTTATACTTTGAATTATTTTGTATTTGTTTTATTAATACACAACTTCCTTCGTTTCACAATGGAATTTTACCAGCAGCCGAGTACACGCACCGTTTGCGTGTATTTGTATATTTTACTACACAGCACTTTATATATATATATATATATGAATATGTGTGTATGCGTATAATTTGTTGTTGCTGCTGCTATAACTTTGTATTTCTTTTCTTATTTTTTTTTTTTTTTTGTTAAAAAACTTGCGCTGTCCGAAACGCTACAAACATCAACTGCTCACTACGAACGGTCGAATTGAAATGAATGAAAAATACACGGCGAACGGGCTAAAATTAAAACCAAGCGGTAAAAACAAATTCACGCATCGAGAATTAAATACCCTACATAATCTACAATCTTGGCAGATTTCAAAATCAATGAATATGTTCCAAATACAAAAGAATTTTCTAAAAATATCAGTTATAATTTAATGTAATCTATGCTATCGTCTTAAAAACTAAATATTTCACCTTAAGCTTTGTAGCTTTTTGGCGCAGTTGTATCTCTGTTTCAAACTAAATAAAATTTCATCTATACTTTTTGTAAAGAGTGCACATATACACAACACGAGACCAAATACTGTGAGCAGTTCGAGAGAGATGACGTGCCTCGGGTATCAGAGAATAAAAATGGCAAAAGAGCTAGAAAACGTGAGAGAAACGAGAGAGAAACCGCCCCGCTGACACTGAGCGAAGCACTTTGTCAAGTCATGTTGGACTGCGGCTGACACTGTTGTGAGTAAATGTGTATGTGTGTAAGTGAGTTTGATAGTATGTGCATATGTTTGTGCTGGTATGCGTTGGCTTTCAGATCTATTTGAATGTGTGCGTGCATGCGTTGAAGTTATCGCATTTCGTGCGCGGCGAACGTGATTGCCACAGTGGGTCTGAACATAACATATTCGTCCAAATTTGAATTGTATATTTTCAACTAATCAATTGATTTCCAAGACTGTAGATTAAATAATCTCATATACTTGCTTTTATATGAAGCTCAACACTTGCTACGGGAATTCTAAAAGTAAATAGCAATCCTCTGTTGAATTAATGGCCTATAACAATATAATGGTGATATAGTTTGAGGTTAATCAGGTCTACAGTACATGTTTTCATGACTACGTCTCAATTTACAGACGTCTCAATTTTAAAGAATTATACACTAACAATAATCCAGAATTGTGGAACATTGCCCTATTTGAATAATACGAAAGAATATGCATCCCACATTCATATGCGTATATGGAAGCGTGCCTGTGTACGTAATAAATGTATTCACATTTCTATGTATGTACACATGCGCATGTATCCATATTACTGCAATAAAAATTATGTTAATGCTTATTATGAGAAGAATGAGAAGCACAACCATAGTTAGTTGTGTGTGAATTACTTGAATATACATACACATATGCATGGAAATATGAGTGTATGTACATGTGCCTGGGTATGTATTGGTTTTATTAATAAGCTTTACTAGAGTGACTATAGTACTTATTGTTGACTGAGTGATTGTTAAAAATAAATATGTACAAACGTAGTGCAGACATTCGGCTAAAAAAACTTTTTCGATTATTTTATTGATAATAAACGTTCACCCACACGTATGCATATAAAGATTACCGTTATAGAGCTCAATGGTCATTGAGGCGTGCGTTGCGTGCTTTTTTGCCTTTACAGTTGTTGTTTCTGTTTATGTTTGTCTGACAGCTTTCAAGTTGAAAGGCAGACACAAACAAAAAAACAACGTAGAAACCCAAGGCAAATTAAGCAAAACAACAACAATCTTAAAGTCAAAGGCAGCAGCAGCAGCGGCACATAATAAAACACGTGAACGTGACAAATTCCAAAGCGATTCGCAGCTGTTACATTGGGCGGCGACAGCAGCGACGGCGACGGCGACGTTTGACGGCGAATTGCGACGGAGCGAGGATTGCCTGGCAACAAAGCGATTGTCTCACAGACACATATTCATGCAAAGCACAAGCTCCCGTAGTCGGCTGACATTTTGTTTTTATAATATTTAGTCACTCGACGCCTTTACATATGTATGTATGTCTGTATATATGTAGATACACACATGCACAAGTATTATTATTAATCGAAATAATAATCATACGCTGAGTTGGCTGCTCATCAACAACACGATGAGCGAAGCGGGAGCAACACATATTTCTATCTCACTTAAACTCACTTTCTGTGTTGCTCGCTCTCCCTCTCTCTATCTATCTTTCACAATGCTCTCTCTCTTTGCTGTACGCGTGAGCAGCTTTTTAATCAAGACACGTTGAAAGCGGCCACAGCCAACGAAAAAAATTCATAGCGCATGACGTAATATCTCACGCGAGGCGAGCGTGTCAGCCATTTTACATACACAAATACGTTTGGAAATACCGATATATGTACGTATGTACATATATATAAATATATATGCATGTGTGCACCCATACGCCTTACACAAACACACATCGCACACACATGCCAGTTTGTTGTTGGTCACGTGTTGTGCAAATGTTTTAGCTGCTTGTGAGTGTGTTTATTAGCAGCACAGCACTTTGTTTACACATACACATACATACGTATATGAGCGTACATAATTTTGTTTATTTCGTTTTATTTTCCAGCACTTTAATTAAATTTAAATGCCAGCGGTCACCAGTCACAAAGGCATGCAATCTATTTATAGCTCTGCCAAAGGTCAAGCCAAATCAAAGCAACAAGTCACTGCCCAGCACGATCAACAAATGTCACAAACGTGTCCAAGTCCAATGCGCAATGAAAATGGGCGCTGTCTGAAACGGCTTGCATAAGTTGCATTCCTTGCTGCTGTTGCTGCTGATCTCACAGTCAGAGCTGGACATATATGTAACTGCGTATAGTCATGTACACCTATTGATATGTACATACATATGGGCATGCATGCATCTATGTTTATTTCGTGGCACGTGCAACACCCCTTAGCAAATGGCTCATCACATGCTATTACGTATACGAAGCCTACTCACACATTACACATACGCCCCGTACGCGCACGTGCGCGTTTATAAAATTTTTGAAAATGACTACAACTATTCACGCGCTTTGCTCCACACCACGATTCGCAGCCTTATCGCAACTTCAACGTGTTTCAATTGCATTGGAAAAACAAATATTTTTCTTTCTATTTTTGTCTAAATAGTTGGTTTTTGTTATGGTCACGTGTCGATAATCCAAATGCGTTACGTGGCCTGTGAATTTCCATAGAAATAAAATGCAATCAAGCGACACAAAGCTGAGCAACTAAAGCAACTATATACAAGGTTGTTGTTGTTGCTGCTGTTTTTACTTATAAACGAGGCAAGCGGCGTGATAAAAAAACAAACACTTGTGGATTGTTTGTGTGGACATAGTTCCAAGCGCTGTCTGAGCTAACTTATGGACACATGCACACACGACAATATGTTTGTATAGGTAAGTTTGCATGCGATTATCTGGCTGTAGCTGTATCGGTGTCGTTTTCAGTATCTTTATAATTGTGTGTGTGTGCTTACTTAGCTTACATATATAGCACAGAGGTGTGTACAATTAACCCATAAGCTGCTTGTTATTCGAAAATATTGTGAAGCTGCTGAGCACATGTACGAATTGAAGCCGTCTACAGTCTCAATTGTCTAAATAATCATGAATAGGTAACCCAGTTTGGTTTTTTTTTATTAAATTTCACACAAGTTCGTGTTAATAAATTAGAAATTAATAAAAACTATCAGCTATTACAGATTTCACTCTTTTCCTGTCGACTATTGTGCCGAATTAGAAACTGAGATGGTAATTAGCGAAAGAAATCTCTATGATATGAAATTTCTTTTTATTCTAAAAGCGTTTTTCCTTAAGAGATATCGCAACAATCATGGGTATTGATATTCCAGACCATAATAAAAATGAAGTGAAACAGAATATGCTTTACTTTATAATAGAATGTCAAGAATAGAACAAGAATAGAATAGAACTACGAAAATATATATGTCTTTTCGGTTCAAATTCGTTTATTTTTGACTATTTAGAACCTTAGAAATAGTAGGGCTAGTTCAAAAACACTAATAGCAATAATACATTTAAGAAACAACGAATCCACAGGAAGTGTAATTAATTAAGTTATATTTTACTGATAGCCATTTATTAAAATTTAAAGCTTTTTTAATTCTAGCAAAATGGCAAAACTTATAAAGAAATACAAATGTTGTTGAATCCACATCTCCCATGATATTTAACGCAATTGAGAAGTAGCTTGAAACATATGATAGACGAATTGAGCGATATGCTAGAATTAATCCAGCTGCATTAAATGATATTAAAGTGAAAATTTAACTGCCGATTACTAATCGGTAACAGTTCGTCTTTGAGCTAAGAAGCGCTTCAACCCAAAAAGTACCTTAATGAGGGAAAACACTTAACATCATCCGAACTACGCTCTGAAGACGGTTGACGGTTGGTGTTGGTTCAATCCAAGTGATAAATGCAAAACAAAGCATGTGACTGCTTTTAATGGTCTTCGAAATATTGGGTTTAATGGTGAATTGTACAGTCCAACTATGGTTAGTCGAACTGCATTTTAATATTTTATATTTTATACTTAAACTCTGACAGCTACATTGTAATATTGAAGATTGATTAGTTTCCTAATCAGATCGCAAAAGGTATTTACATATATTTTACTTTAAATAATATACATATTCTTCAACTCTATTCAATTGAATCTGTGTTTAAGCTTTACTCTACATTGTAAATCATCTGATCTTTTCTATACTATTATTTATAGACACAATTTCTCAGTAAAAACGGAAGGTTAATAGTTTGTAACTGCTATATATTATACCTGTAAAGTAAATAATAATATGCTTCGTAGAATATTGAATTATTTAACTACAGTGAAACACTTCCCAGTCCCCATTCGAAAAGCTCTCAGCGTAACTATTTTTCATATGCTATAGGTAGGAGTTTGTATGTTGAAGAATGTATTTGTGTATCTGCATCATTTGTACAATTTACACTTGAAATTAGCATAAGCTAATCAAATTGCTCAGCCGAGGGGCGGGGCAGTAGCTTCGACTAAGGCCAGGCCCCGAAACAGTCGATTGAAAGAAAGGCCCCGAAACGGGACAAATAAAATGGGTGTGTGTGCTAAACAACTTGCTTCGTAAATTTACTATATTCGATTAGCATCACATTTTATATAGGATTTGTATGTACACTCAAATGTATTCGTAGAGTAATCTGAAATTTATAACGCTCAGTTGTGCACGCTTTTGGATTCTATAAATGAACTGAGATAACGAAAGCAAAAAACATATTTTCTTATCGCTTTGCCAAACTTTTAATTTCAAAGTCGAGGTAAATCTAATTAAAATGTATATGTGTATGTCATTGTACATTGATATGTGTTCACTGATAAAAAATGTATATATTTTTATAGTCCGTGATCGGACATATACTTGGGTACACTTGTTGTAGTCCTGACTAAGCTAGTAAATTGTAACGACAATTGATCAGAAGCTTTTGAAGTTTAAGATTTTATTTTCATCTTTTTATACACATTGAAACTTTCCTAACTTTATAAATGCAAATTTAATCGTAGTTCATAATTAACGTTAAGACTCAACGTGACTAAAAATAGTTGGGAAATAATAATATTTGAAGAGCCGGGTAATTCTTGTTTGTAAACAAATAGTTTTCAGCAGGGAAGTCTAGAAAAATATTTAAATAAAAAAATATATATATAAATGGCTGTGGTCTACCCACGACACGTGTTACCGCAGCTGAACAAATAAAAATACAAAATCCGTATACACTTACCCACTCACACACACACACAATCCGTAAGTGGAAGATGTCTGGCAAAAACAAAATTGCTGCATTAAGCGTAGATAAAAAGTAGTACATGTACTACATACTCGGACATCTGTCTATCTGTATGAGTGTATTGACACGTTTGCCTCGTGCAGCGACAAGCGGTAGCTACAATCGGGTATATTGGTAGGGCAATTGATTGAGAGATGGTTGCCAGGTATTTTGGACCTTGCTAAAAAGTCTCATTCCTACTAAAATGTAGACTGAACTGTTAAGCTCTGTATCTATCTCCCTCCTTGTCTTCATCTGTCCTTCGTTTTACAGCATTTTCAGACATTACTAAAATTAGTTAAACAATGAGAATCGAAGAATGTGTGGATTATGTTTGTTAAGCTGTACAGATTATTATTATTATATAGTTGTATATATATATTTTTATATAATATAGATGCCAAATGTTGCAATTCCTCCAATTTTACTTGGGTGGCTTCTAGTCGATCAGCCTCAGCACACACAGTCAATTGTTTTTTATTATTTGCATTTCGTTTGATGTCGCAGCATTTAGTATTTGTTTACGGTCTCGAGTTCTATTTTCGCTTCGCGCCCAACTTATGTAAAAGTTACAAGCTGTGTAACACGTTTTGCATTTAAATGCTGCTGCTGTTTGATAAATCAGACAAAGCGGGTTTTGAATTTCATATTAGGCTGCTACTCTGGCGACAAGGTGACGCCAAAGCTTTGGACTTTTGTTTTGATGTTGACTGTAAACATGTATCAATACATATATCTTTACACACACACACACACACCCTGATCAGAGCAGTAGTTCGATTGTTCAAATGAGATGCATACATTTTTGAGTAATGGCATTTAGGGCCAAGCTACCCTGACCGTGGCCAGCTTAAGTATATAAAAGGTAGATTAGAGAATTGTTCAAGAAATGACAGCAGTCCGTCTGTTCTATCGTGGTCTATCGATCCACGTTATGTCAAGCCAAAGCCGAGACCGAGAAGCACTGGCAATGTGATAGCACTGGCGCTACCAATATTTCTCGTGTTAGTTATATCGGCCCAGTTACCAGTTACCCAGTTACGATTCATAGCTAAGAACATACATACGTATATACCTCAATACACTTATATATATATATATATATATATATATATATATATATACATACTCTGACGCACTTTTCATATGGTAACGGAAATTGAAGCAAACGTGCTGTGCAACTGGCACCATTCGTGAGGGTGTGCCCCGGCGGTTGCCAACAGCAGAACTGAGCAAAATACCAGAAAATGCGTCACACAAAGTGCAGAGCTGTAAGTAAAAATAAAAATATCGAAAAATGTGTAACAAATCCAGCAAAATGATATAAAATTCATAAAAAGCGGCTTTCGTAGAAACCACAAAATTGAAAACAATTGTTATTAATAATTAAATTGTGCATGTAGAATACAAATTACCATATATGCATACATTCTCGCACACAGTCATACGTACATACACACATATATGCCACTAAAGTTCAGACGTACTTGCGAACGCGAACTAGCGAACGCGCAAGCTAATGTGCAACACGTGTGCGAGTGTTGAGAGACTTGCCGGCTGCCTAATTGAGCAAAACTAGACGAACAGCATTGAACAAAAATGAATATAAATATGTAAATAAAAAGATATGTCTATATACAGTCGGGTCAATGGGAATGTGCATACAGCAATGCAGTGGGGAGACATTGCCTTATTTGAACGTTAATTGGTTTTCCTGTTATGCCAGCCAAGCGTTAAAATTGTGACTCGCAACAAATCAATTAACAGGTATGTAATGTGCAGTGAATTGATCACGTTTTTTGCGCGTTAACAGGAGAACAATTACAAAAAAACAGAAGTTCATCATAACAATAACAATTTTGTATTTATATTATTGCATATTCCTCCCTTTCTTTCGTAATTTAACTTTATTGAAATAAAGCTATTTTCTTTTTTAGAAGTAATTATTTTGCTTGCTTCTAGCTTTACCGCCAAATTCAAGCATCGGCGAAGACATGTGAATGGCGAAAATAGCACTTGCCATGCTGAGCGTTGCCAGACAGTAGAAATACAATTGGGTTTGCAGCTGCGAATTGGTCGCTTACCAACACTTCAAAATGCCGAGTCAGCTGCTCTCAATTTAGTCAAGTAATTTTACCTACATTTTTGTAAATTTTATTAAATACGTGCAATAGTTTTAAGAAATGAATTTGTAATTCGAACGTGCAGTACTGATCAACTCCTAACAATAGGTGTTGAGCCGATAATCGTTTTAATTTTAAATGCAACGCGGCCTTTTGGCCAATAAAATGCCATCACTTTGTTTGTTGTTGTCCCCTGTTGTTGCCAAGGAAACGAAAAACGCAAACACAACAAGTTACGTCGCAGCACGGTCGATCTTTTGTATGTGTGTGTGTATGTGTGTATGTGTGTGGGCTCCACACTTCCTTCCGGTCTAATTTTGGTACCAAATGAAGGATATCGCACACAAAATAAACGCTAACTTCAATATTTATTATTTCACAAAAAATTAAAATAAAATAAAATGACCAAAAAAGTGCAACAAATTTTATCTTAAAATGCAATTTACTGTCCAGGATACCGACAAGTGTGCGGGATGATATTACGCATTTGATATGGTGAGTACTAGAAAAATCTATTCAGCTAATTTAAGTGACCGACGCTTCGCCCCGTCCCACAGGACAGCAAATGTCACAATTATATATACAAAATGAAAAAACTTTCAGACACTAAAAGATCAAAAAGCATATAACTTTTTCCATTTTTCTAAGCATTACGACGATTTGCAAATGAGTTTTCATTGAACGGGAAAATGAGAAAATTACGCTTCACACACTTCTGGCTCGACTTTTCCTACTTTAAACTTTTCCAGCGCAAGCCATTTTTGTAGCGCTTCATATTTAGAGGCAATTAAGACGAGTCCTAGCCGCGGTTGCACAAACCAACAAACCAGCAAACCAACAACCGACCGACCAACCCCCAATTATCCATATCCAGGTAACATTTTGTGGCAGCACGGCGCATATATACTACGTGCGGCACAGCCACCCGCGTGCACCTTCGCAGCCAAGTGCCGTGTGCGATACTCTTACGGCTGCCATGGCCGGTTGCACAGCCGAACGACCACCAGGTGCATGTGGAACAAGTATCTTAGTGCATATTTCCGCTTTACTGCCTCGCACCGCTTGTTATTTGTCTGCCTGGACACTGGCAGCGGCGGGGCTGGAGCGGGGTCAGCACATGCCAGACGAACGCTCGCATAATAACTGTCAGAGCATTTGATGATTCGAAGCCTATTGTGATGGCTGTCAGTAACTAGTATTATGCTCATCGTTGGCGACATTCGAGCCGAAGTGCTCTGAGCTGGCATAATTGCAACCCGCAAATATCATTGAGCAACATTCAATTTTGCTATTGCAATTAATGTGCAACATATTTGATTAAGTAATCATCGCAACAATAGCCAACTGTTGTATGTTATGGCCGCAGCCAGAATGCTGATTGCATTTCAATTTTCTCACCTGAACGCATTTGCAGTTCCTTTTGCCACCAAGTTGTAATTAATTTTCTCAAGACGTTCTTTAAAGCAGGTGACATTGTTTATATTTTAAGTACATTTTAGCATATTAATGCTTGAAATGGAATTTTCATTTTAGTCTGAATTTTGTACAAAGATTTAATGATAACCAAAATATCCTGTTTTTAACATATTCAAATCAAAATGAGTTTAATATGTCTAAAATAATATTTTTTGATTTTGGTTTTTTTTTATCAATTAAATTTGCAGCTCGCATTGACTGATTTCTTATAGCTTCTGTCAATTTTTGCCCTGTGCCAATCTGTTAGATCTATCTCAATAGATACGCTTTTAAAGTCTTGATCCATGGCCTGGGGTGGAATCTCCATTTATTCATTTTGTGACAGAAACCTGAAGCTGGATTAATCCAGGCCAGCAACAATATATAACAATACTGATATAGATATATCTAAGGTTATAAAATCTAGGAGTTCAAAGTTGGTTCCCAGCTAAGTCTCGAGCAAAATATATGTTGTATTAAATAGATAGGAAATGATTTTCTTAGATATTCTCACAAATTTTTGTTAGCCCTTATTGTACTAAACTGTTTTGATATTCACTTTTGTCTATTGCTCCACTTGAATTTAATTGCCTCAAGTGGCATCTGTCTATGACCAAACATTTTTGTGAGTTATGTGCCTGTATATATATGTATATATTTAAATATGCATCTAAGCTTGTCTTGTGCCATGCACTCGCCGTGCAGCCCTGCCGAGCCGTAACTGAAATAAACAAATGTTTGCCTTTCTGGTAACAGCGTCACGCTGACTGCGTCACCAACTGACTGTAGCTACAGCTGCCCATATACCAGGTATATGGCATCCAGATGCAAATGCATTCGCGAGGGGGTGTTAGAGGCTTAGGGGCAGAAAGAGTCCTGCGACTGCAACTGCAGTGCTCGTTTGGGCCAATGCCTAAAATGCATTTCTGTCTCGCTCGTGCAGCTGATTGAATGTGATGTGTGCTAGACACCAGCGGCAGCAATGGAAGTGTGTAGAGGAGTGTATTGACCAACTCTATTACCAATTAACTACCCCTACGCCCTGTCGGTGGCACTTGAGCACTCGAGCCACCGGCCACCACCTGCCCCGACAACAATAGCAGCCTGAAAAAGTTTCGTGTTGTAGTTGCACATTCACGCTCGCACAGCAAGCACAGTAAGCGGCCGCAGCAACAACATCACTGGAAGAAGAACATCATCGAGTAGTGAAAGATCCCTCGCATCGGTCTTTAATCAAACTATGCCTTTTTATCGCGTTGCAAGTAAGCGAAATAAACCAACAGAAACGAAAAAGGACGCCAAACTTATTTGATCAATAATTTGCCGTGGCGCGTCCTTAGTGATTCCTGTCAGTGTTAGTGTATGTGTGTGTGTGAGGGCGTGAATGTATTTGCGTGTGTGGGTTTTTCAAGTTGCATTTCTCACACGTCAAATTTATGAAGTTGTCCGCGTGGTTTTTCCATTTGATTTGTGAACTAATGCAAAAGCACCTTGCACTTCCGCTGGGGCAAAGCATTAACCCTCCATTTGCTGCCAAGCGAGCCGCCCCTGCACGTTAAACGACGCGCAATCGCCGCTGGCTTCGTTTATTGTTTATAAACAACAACTTGGACGACAAGTCCGACTATGTGACGTATGCCGGGTCGTCGTGTTCCCTCAACTACATCTCGTTTGCTTGACTACTCAGTGCCAGTCCCAGTCCCATTCCCAGTGCCATCTCCTGTCTGGAGACTTTATAGGGACTGTGCTGGGTTGGTCGGTTGCCAGCGGGCTTTCGGCAAATATTATTTACATTGAACCGGTTGCCCAGTGAACAGTTGCGGGCCAAGGAGAAAGCATTAAGATATCCTAAAGAGCTTGACTTCAGAATTCATAAGTGCAGTTTGCGGAGTGTGTGCAATAATAGAGTTAGAGATGTTAAAATTCAATAAAATTAAATCAGTTTAAGGTATTTAAAATTAATAAGCTTGCAGCATTACATTTGCATCTTAAGCACCATGCAGTGAATGTGAATAGCTGATGGAAGTGCTTATAGTAATAGTAATAAAAGTTATTTGATACATGGGATAATTTAAGTGAAAAGTCTGAAATGTAAACTGGTTTATATGCAAATTTTTTATTAATAACAAATCAATTCATAAACCTATTAAAATATTTGAACTCTTACACGAACCTCAAACATCTCTAATATTTATAAAATATTTAAATATTCATTTGAATTGTTTTAAAAGGTATATAATATTTAAAGGTAAAAGTGCCTTATACCCAGTTTTTTCTCTTCGTCAAGTCGAGTATTAATAATAAATTCAGTGAAAATCTTGAGAGCTATTGAAGCACTTTTTAATTAGCTCATGCCACACACCTGCTTCATATGTATGCTACAATTTGTATTAAGCGCCTAAATGATGCCACAAAAAAAATACATTGAAAAAATAAAACAAAATGGCGTCTTGCTAGAATTCAACAAAAGCTTGGGCTGCTGCTGCTGCTGCTGCTGCTGCGGCATAGAACAAAGCGACGAGCGAATCAAAGTATGAAGAAAATACCTGTGAAATGTTTAATTTCATAGCAACGCCCCATCGGAAGCAGCCAACCCCAAAAAGCGTGTAGGCTAGCAACAAAGACATCAAGTGGGAATATCAACAACAACAACAACAACAACAAAAACAAAAACAAATCGAAACGCATGTAGCTCTCGCATAGCGTACAGTAGGAGGCATTTGTATGGCTCTAGGCTGTGGAAGGCATCAGATTGAGTTTCTAAATTTAGCGAATATATTTTTAAATTTCGCAGCCTTAGAAATGATACAATAAACTTTCACTTTTACTTTCATTGCAGCTGTTAGGAACGTAAGCAACTAAATACATTTATACACCGCAATTGCCTTAAACCGATTGAGAGAGAGAGAGAGAGAGGAGATCAACTGCTGACTAGTCAACGAATTTCGCATCGAAAGTGCAACTAACTGGCCTTTTAACTTAACCAAGCGACTTGTAGAGAGCTACACCTGGCACCTAAACCCACTTAAAGCTTAGATTGTAGAGCAATTAGCAAATGAAATGAGCACACGCCTGGCCACCCAGCGTCAATTCATCATCACGACGAGCGCTGCCATCGAGGCAGCCACAATTGATGCCAACCAAACGGATCCCAAGGACCAGCAGCAGCATCAACAGCAGCAGCAACATCAACAGCTTGCGACCAAAGCCACTGGTGATGTCCTAACAATTGAGCCAAGAACGCCCGTGACACCCACAACTCATGCTGAGGAGTTTGAGTTCTGCACCGAGGATGGCGTTGTTGTGGCTGCCACCTTGGAGGATGTCATGACACAGGTTGCCATCAATTTTACTGTGCCTCTGCAAGGATTGCAGCCTTTTATTGATTCTGTTATTTTTGCAGAACTGTCAGCTCTTGCAAAAGAAACTGAGAGACGGCATTGAGGATGATGCCACAACGACCACTGATCAGCTGGAGGTCATACGCGTTGTGCTGCCCATGGATACGAGCGACTCGAGCCAGGAGGCGCACCTGCATGCCCATGTCCATGCCGTGAACAGCGTCAGCAGCAGCGAAGCCAACGCAACGGACCCAACCAACAGCACAACGACCATACACACTCTTCCCGGTCTGAGTACCATCAAGAGTGGCGTCGACCTGGCCCAGCAAGTGGCCAACGGGCAGTTGACCGTGGTGCAGGCCACCGAGGATGATGAGGGCACACCGTTCATTACGGTGACCGGTGAGTCCAAGTAAAATTTTTAATTTCACTAAATGTAATTGTAACGTAACAATGTAAAAATGTATAACACTCAAGGGATTTTCTAATGTTGTGCATTCAACAATTTAGTATTCTGGATCAAAACTTTATCTCATTTTAATCAGTTCTACACATATTTGGCATATGTATATTTAGCTTTATGTCCCATTCGGGCTCGGGTTTTTGTAATTGTATGCAATAGGCAGAGGGAGGCGTGGCAGACCTCATAAAATATGTATATTCCTGATCAGGATAACAAGCTAAGTCGATCTAGCCATGTGCCCGTCCTTCTGCTCAGCTCTCAATCCACGTGAACGCAGCGATCTCACAAAGCACAAAGATAGAGACTTGAAATTTTAAATATATAAATATATATATTCCTTATGATCGAAGACAGAGATTTATTATGTATAAAAGAAGCGAGTAATGAGTGCAATATGAACGCCGTGTTCAGGGTATCTCCTAGTCGGGCAGTCCTGAGAAGAGCACTCTTGTTAAATGTTTGGATGCAGGCTGTCGTAGTTAGAATAATTCTTAATTCGATTGGAAGAAGGCTTTACATATCACATAATCGGTTCTACTTCAATCATTTTTCAAATTAGTAGATGATTGCTATTAAGGCCAAAAATATGGAATCGAATACCAGTCAGATCTTGTGTTGCTGCCTTAGTCGAGGGCCATAAGCTATTTGCAAATAACAAGAGTTCTTAACTATATCCTACACCAAATATATAAATAAATACTAGATTTAATAATTATTTGAAAGGTCTTTCTTGGTGCCCAAATGATAACATATATTAATCTCATTCCTGTATTTCCTTATCTATAATAAAATGCTTGGCTCTTTAAGTAATCCGATTTGTGCATTTCAAGAAAAAGTTTTTAAAGCAAACTATTTAAATAGTGTTTATGCACTTCGCAAATCTGGAGAAGTCTATGAAATAACTTATAAAAAAACTTTATTTAACCATTATAAATTCTAAAGAGAATGTAATATATGATATATATAATACAGGTTTCTATTTGAGAGTTATTTGAGTTATATTTATAAGAATTTTCGGTATAAGAAATTTCTCTTTAAATTTAGCTAAAAAGTACTGAATGGAATCAAGAAATTTGTGTACAAATCAGAAAATTATGGATACAATTTTCAAATAAGATCAAATAATATTTCATATGTTTTAGTAATAAACAAAATATTCTGCTTTCAACGCAATTTAAGGAAATTTTAAAGTTGTATTTTCAACTTTTCCATCTTTTTTTCACCGCATGCAAAAGTCACTAATTATCGCATTATTCAAAGTTGTCATGAAAAAATTGCTTCAATATGATATGTACATAAAGAGGAGCTCAGTTTATTTTACGCCAATCGGGGGGCTTATATTGGAGGAGCAAAAACGCGTTGCCATCGCTGGAGGTTTTCACGCGTTCGCTCGCACTTGCCGAGTTGCGGGAAATCAAAGCGAAAAGCAGCAAACAAACAGCAAACAGCAAACGGCAAAAGTCGCGCCTTTGTAAACAAACATAATCACAGGATCAGCATGCCGCCCCCGGGGAGCGGAACGGGGCGGGGCGGGGCAGGGACCAGCTAAGTCCCTGTGCATTTTAAACGTTTGCTTGATATCACAATTAAAGCGACTTAATTTGAAAACTGAAACGCGCAGAGATGAGCGGGTAATAAGAGGAAACACAGCCAGGCAGATAGGAAGACAGACAGACGGACGGATGGATTCACCCCGTTGCGGATGGTAGTCCTACCTGTGCAGAAGCAGTCTTGGCAACAGGACTCACAGCACCAGTTGCGGCACGTGCAACACAAAATGTAACAAAAAGTGTGGCAAAGTGCAGCTGTGTGCTTTACAAAGGGAGTGCTTTGGGAGTGATACCCTACAGACGGACACACGTACACACATAATTATTATATTCCACTTCAGCGCTACACAATGAATTAATCGAGATTACACTTGGTGAGCATTATCTATAGGGCAGGATCACACGACTGCGACTGGAGAGGGGCGCACTACGAACTGCAAACTAGAACTGTTTGTCCATGATACTTGATTTTATTAGCACAAATTACCACCACCAGCGGATCTGACAGCAAACACGGCAAGTAATCACAACAAATTGAGGTGGGATGAAAATCGGAAAGGGAATGGGAATGGGAATGGGAATGGGACAACAGGACAGCAGGACAGAAGCGAACGGAACCCTCACGCGGCAAATCATTAATAACCGCCCGCTGTGTATTAAGGCTAGCCCACTACTTATGCCCTCTAGATGGGTGTGTTGACTGTGTCATATCGGCAGATTGTCAACATATATCTATATATGCTGCAGGCATAGAGTTCCATATTTGTAGATTACCCTATTGATATGAACAGAGGTGTATTAACTTTATCATTTATACTAAAGCCCGCTCAAGCTATATATGATGTATATCGTGTAGGTCTATCTATATATCATAAATATATATAATAACTATATTAATCAGTTATAAATGAAAACAGATTTGAAGTTCTCCAATTTCTGTGTTTGATATTTATCAATGCGATGTATCTAGAAAGAGTATCAAGAATTCTACTATTGCCTCTATCATCTAACTATATATTTATATATATAAAGTATGAATTAAATTATTTCATTTAATATTTGGTAGATAGTAAATGATATAATGAACTAAATGATCTATCAGAGAACTGTGTTAAATGAAATTAGAGAGTATATAGAGTTCGAGTTCACTTTGTTGCACTCTGTGCACTGCTTGACAAATTAAGGTATACTCCAGGTCCAGGCCTCAACATAATGCTGAAAGGCTTTACATAGCGCGTGCACTGCCTGCCGCCCCCGCTCGGTTCAGCTCTGCTTCATGTTTGCCTCTCGCATAATGGGAATGTTTCAATTGATTCGGTTTAGTGTAGTGCTCATCAAATCGACGATGCAGAAAAGCTTAACATTTAATAAAGGCAACAACTAATAAAAATGGAATCCAGGAAAGTTCAATCCATACCAGCCGACTATACAGAGTAGCTTAGTCCAAGCACCCAAGCAGCTGAGCAGTTGGCTAACAGTGAGGGAAAATCAGCATATGCTGGGCTTCCCTTAATTGGGTAAACAGCCAAGTTTTCCTGATCACAATCACTTTGAAAGGCAAGTCGCAGTCCAGAATGAATCGTTTGCTATCTGGAAGAGCAAATCATTCATTTGAAGCGTTCCAGATTCAAAGTATTTTGACCCTTGCTCTGGCAAGGTGCAGTCTGTTTGCAAAAGGTTAATTGATAGTTGTTGTTGTTGATGCTTTGACTGCAGCTGATGCACTGATAAGCTGAGAGTCTAGCCAGACATGCTGCACTTGTCGGTTATCCAGGCAATTTATTTTTGATTTTGATAAAATCCACACACAAAACAGCTCGCAATTGGCAGTGTGTGTGACTCGCAGTGTGTTTGCTGTCAGCTTCTCATTGGACATTGGACGTCGCAAAAATGCCATTGACGAATCTAGTGCTATTAATGGGAAAGATAATCGAATTAATTTTCTGTTTTGTTTGCAGTTCTATTGTTTTTCAATCATTGTTACTAATAATTGCATATTTTACATGAATAGTTTACAATGAACAATCAAATTATTGCTGTGATTTTATTCAGCAATGCGCACAAAAAAAAAAAATATATATATATATATATATACATATGTGTAATTGACATATGAAAATTTTAAATTTTACAAATGCTTTAAGCTAGTCATAAAGCCCCATCTCTGATAGTACTTTTGTATATTATTTTAGTGTAAAAAAGTATACACAAAAAGCTCTGAATCTCTGAAATATACACTAAAGAAGCAACTCAAGTTAGCTATTGTCTCTAACAGGTGAATCCTATGCTCTTAATCGAAACTATAGTGATGTCGTTAACATGATCTTTTATATTATATATTTATAAATGTATATATACATTTGATTTTATTTTGAGTATTATTCCAACAAAATCAAATTTGGTTTTATAATATATAAACATTATTTTTGGTAAATTTGATTTATAATATATAAACATTATTTTTGGTATAAACAACATTATTTTTGGTATAAATATTATTTTTGGTATAAACAATATTTTCAAACCAAAATATTCAATCAAAAACTGGTAAATCCAGCTTGGAACGCCTCATACAGCTTCTTTATATATATATTCCAAATGTTAAGTCTAGCCCCAATAGTTTTTAATTATAACAGAATTTACTGTGGAAAATATAGATATAATATGGGAGTAGCTATACGCACTCTATATTTTTGATAATCTCTAGCACTTTAACCATTAACGATTCTTATACGCCAAATATAGTATTTACCGACTTGCCACTCCCTATAGTCATAACGGGAACATCTTAATACTTGATAAGATATCCCAAATCTAGCTTAATTAGCAGCGAAATGTTTTGGGTTCATGTGGCAGACCTTGAACAAAACCAAAATACTCTTTCACGTCGTCAAAGGGTATACATTTAATCAAACGACAACGAAAAGCCCAATAAATAAATAAATTTAAATTCAGTTTACAACAAACTATGTCAGGAATGGCTTTGAATGCTACTACCATATGCTGCATTGAATGCTTTATTTACTGACTCGTCTGAATGAAAATAATGCTAAAAAATATTCAGCCTTATTGAAAGTTGACTGTTCGACCACAAAGTCATGCTGTTCTTGCCTGTGCATGCCCACCGCAAGAATGTTTAATAAGCTTGCGAGACTTACAGGCGAAAGCGGACTCAAATCATCTTAGTGCTCACACATAAAGCTTATGCATACGAATGCTGTTGTTCACAGCTCTAGAGACGCAAGCCAATGAAATAGACACGCATAGCATGGACGACTGGACGCATGTGCATTTCATGCAGCAGCAAAATTAATATCTGAAATATTTTCTAATACAGGAAAAATTGTATGAATGGTACGTTGCGGATGCTAAAATTGATGGGAAAATTCCGCGAGAGTACGCGGTGGCAAAGTGGCAGGCACATGTGTCATCAACGGCAGCCCAACAGCCCACCTGATGCCCCTCACCAGGTATAAGAAAAGCGCGTGCCGGCAGCAGCCGTTTTGGTTGGCCAGCAGCATCCGCTGGGGGTTGCTGAGAAAGTGTCTAACTCTGAGCGTCTGTGTGAGAGAGAGAGAACGAGAGAGAGAGAGTGAGGAAAAAGGACAGAGAGTGAGAGAGATTGAGCGAGAGAGAGTGGTTGATGCCCTAGCAACCACCAGGCTGTGCGGCTGCCATAGGGTAGGCGCATGGTGGCAGCAGTGCGTCAGAATGATTGGCTGCGTTGCCTTGACGCCGACTGCCTGTCAGCATTTGCTATCTCTCTCGCACCAGGCACATCTTCGGGTGCTGCCGACACTTATTCAGATCCCAGAAAATGCGACTTTGAGCCCGGAATTAGCTGGCGCCGCTTGAAAAATAAAACGCTGCTACGGCCAGCTCCAGCTCCAATCCCGATGCCAGAGGGTTTGGGTTGGATTATTTGCTACGCGACTACGGCAGCGGTGAGGCTGCTGCTCTGCAGGTTGCCAACTGCCAGGGGTGGTTGGGTGCGAGTGGGCACAAATCATAACAACCCAGCAACAGAGCAGCCACCCATCCACCCACATTGCCAACAACAACTGCAACGCCAACAGCAACACCAACACCACTGGCAATGCCACCACCACAGCCACTGCCGCCACCACCGCTGTAATTTAATTCGTTGCTGCGCCGCCGCCGTCATCGCCATCGCATCATTATTTTTCGGAGGCATATTGCTAGGATAACATTTGATTTTGAGTTCAGTTGTAATTCTACCGTGCATACGTTCTGGTTGCTCTTGCTCCGTTGCTACGTCACAACGTTGCCACGTCCTATTACCTCCATTACATCGCCAGGGGCCACCCACCGCATATTGTTAATAGCAGCAGCAGCAGCAGCAACAGCAGCGGCGGCCTCTTCCGAATTTCACTTTCAGTTTTCGCTGTCTCTGTGAAACAGTTGCCCAAAGCAACCGGTCGACGACATCTCGGCTTACAATCAGCGGTCTGCTTACGCTTCCGGACATGTGACTGCTGCAGCAGCTGTTTCCACGCGTCCCCCTTTGGCACCACAGTTTACTCATTTGCGAGCTGCCCACTCGAATTAAAACTAAACGAATGCATTCGCGATTCGGCTTCGACTGCCAGACGCGTCACCAACAGCAACAACACCTGCACCATCAGCACCAACACCAGAACCAGAACCAGAACCAGAACCAGAACCAGAACCAGCCACAACATCAGCACCAGCATCAGCAGCAGCAGCTCCACCATCAGCATCACCATCTGCCCGAATTGGATATCACGACTCCACCGCCGATCACTGCCGCCGCCTATACGAATCTGTTGGAGAAGTGTCGCTGCAAACTGCAATCACAGCCCCAACACCATCAATATCAGCATCAGCAGCAGCAGCAGCAACAGCAGCAGCAGCAGCAGCCACTAGTGCAACATCACCACCAGTTGCTGCCACAGCACCAGCAACAGTTGCCAGTGGCGGCGCCGCTGCCAGCCGCACAGCTGCAGCTGCAACTGCACCACCATCACCATCATCACCACCACCAGACGTTCGTGGCCACCGCCAGCGCCGTTAACTACAGCAGCTGCACGGCAATAGGTGCCGCCGCCGCTGTCGCTGCCGCCTCCTCCTCCACGGCATCCAACTCAACAGCAACCACTGCCATGTATCACCATCACCATCATCGACGTCACAACAACTTGTCCTATTGCGGTGGTAAATATTTTGCATGGCCAACAATTTCAGTTCGAATCCTATCAATGGCTTTTAATTGATGTTCTGTCTACACACTCGTCTAACTATGTGTGTGTGAGAGTGTGTGTGCTTGCTTGTGCTTTTCTGTGCCAAAGAACTTGGGCAATCGAACAAAGGTGTCAAGTGTCTTGCTCATGCATCATTGTCCCTGTTGAAAACTTGAAACTAAATGAAAAGCTGCCTCTGCTGTCGAGACACGTGCGGGCAGTGAGATAGTCTGATTGTTAGTGGAAGAAAGAAATCTATCATATTTGTGAAGTGCTTAAATTTTAATTATGAAAATCGGGTTGAAGACACATCAAATAACTCACAACAAACTAAAGACGATCAAGTGCATCAAAAATATTAAACACCAAGTAAAAACAATTTTTTTGCCAGCAATTTTAATTAATTTTCTGCTAAGACAATCAAAATTTAAATTAAATTATTTGACAATTTTACAATAATATTTAAAGCTCTTCCGCTTACAATTGGTAGCAGTTGCGTTCGGTCTCTGCGTCTATTTCGACAAATCAGAAACAAACAAAATGGTTTTCAGTTTCAGATCTCAGATCCTCTTGCATTTGTGTTTAATTTTAATTTTAAGTTTGTAATATCAGATATATCCATTCATGCCTATATTTGGATGTATGTATGGATGTGTTCAGATCTGTGAGAAATTAGTCTTCTTGTATTTGAAACCAAACTATTGTTAAATAAGTTCTCTAGAATTTATTTAAATATTTAAATACTTTTTATTGAAAATCAAGTTTTTAGTACCTTTTTCTGGTCATTGGAATTTTGTTTTGAAGACTTAATTAAAAAGGGATTTAATTATTTATTTTATTATAAATTTCAATGCAGTCGAGTCATGGAAATGTAAAAAAGAAATATAAATTCTGCTGATGAATTTCATACATTAAATACATATGTATTTCTATAAATCTTTCGGACGAACTTGACTAAAAATATTTGTATTTAAAGTGGATTAAAAATTTAAAAAATATGATAAAAATATCTGTAATTAAAGTGGATTACAAATGATATTTATGCATTAATTTTGAAGCTAGATCATGAAATCGATCGCAATGCAATCGCAGTTATTTATGCAATCCCTTTATTTGTGATCGAAAATTTATAATTTTGTGGTTCGGAAATGCTTTTTCTATACTTGATCTCAACGTTTACTGAGCATCAAACAATTTAAGACAGAAGTGTTGATGCCAAAAATAGATTTAAGCGAAGTTTGGCTGCAAAATGATTGTTTTTCTAGGCGGATCTCTATAGATCGCTAAAGAAGGATTTTTTGGACGTTGGGTAATTCCGAATGTGGCGTTTTCTCTACTCCAGAAAATTGACTGCAAATTTCTGAAGCCGTCAAGTGGACGACCATCGAAAACGTTAACATGATCATACGGAAAAACACTTGTGACCTGTGCTCAAATAATACGCCTTGAGAAATCATGGCAATAGACATAAGTTGCCACTTAAAAATATTAAATAAAAGGCGTCGGTCTTTGGAGTGTTGCTCAGTGCATCATCAGATATTGTGCCTCACACAGTGGAGTTCAGCATAAAGTTTTGTATCTGCATCAGCTGAGTTGAAGCAGAATGTTTTGTATCTCAAGCATAATGCACTTAGATGCTCCAGCTGTCAGTTATCAGAGTACGGCCAATGTCCTGTTTCCGAAATGAGCGTAAAGCGGAATTTAAGCTCCATTATATTTAAAGTAAATGTTAATGCTAAGGCCCGTTTAACTTTTAATTCCTTAAATTTGGTAAAGTTCATTTTTGTAATTTCTTTTATCACTTTCAGTTTCCGGTCAGGAACAAAATTATCAAGTGCAATATGTTGACTCGGAGCTGTACCACAGCAATTCCAGCCAGACTCAAATGTAAGTGCATCATCCTAATTCCGCATGTTTTTCGATCCGGCTAACGTTTCGCCTGCACACAGGACATACCCGTTCTGCCCGGTGGGCGATTATCAGGGCAATGGCCAGACCTATTATTCCACCACGGCAGCGACGGGCAATTATACGACTGCGACGGCGGGCAGCACAGGCAACGCGCACTCGACGTCACTGCCGTACTTGGTGCCCGTGGACGATAGCCTCCTGTTGAATGGGTCTTCGCAGTCGCACAGCCGGGACTCGCCGCACAGCCTGACGGTGAGTACAAAAGTGAAAAATCAAAGCAAAACAAAACAAATAAAAGAGCGTGTGACATTGACTATCAATTGGGCCTGCCTGCAGCATGAGGTTGCCTACATACAGGAGGCGCAGAGCACACCACAGACGCCCACCTCTACAACAACTACGAACTCGGCCAGCGGCGGCAGCATCGGCAACGGCGTCGATGGGGCGTCGCCTGACAGTGACCAGAGCGCAATGGGCACCAGCAATAAAATTGCCTCGGCAACGGTGAGTATGGGTCTGTTTTTGCTCCGCCTGCCACCAGCAATAGCAGCAGCAGCAGCAGCAGCAGCAGCAGCAGTAGCAGCAACGCAGCGTTGCTAACATCTCTCTCGCACAATTGCAGATTAAGTGGCTGTCGCGCAACTACGAGACAGCCGACGGAGTCAGTCTGCCACGCTCCACACTGTACAACCACTACATGCAGCACTGCAACGAGCAGAAGCTGGAGCCAGTGAATGCAGCCAGCTTCGGCAAGCTAATACGCTCTGTGTTCTCCGGCCTGCGCACACGTCGCTTGGGCACACGCGGCAACTCTAAGTACCATTATTATGGTATTCGCATTAAGCCGGGCTCGCTGCTAATCCATCAATCCATGGAGGACAAATCTATGCAGGGATATGGCACCTCGCCTGGCAATGGCGCCATCGCCAATGTCAGCAGCAGCAATGCAGGCCAGCTGGGCAGCTCCAATGGCAGCAATGGCATGTCGACATCTGCTGGCCAGCGCACAGCTGGCGTCAAGAAGCACAATTTCAAGCCGGAAACCTACGAGGCTTGTATACAGGTAAGTCCCGCATGAGTTGCCAAATTTTCTTCATTCTGTATGTTCACTTCTGCTCTAGTATATTGGCGACGGTGCCGGCGCTATGCCCGTATTTCCGCCCATCGAACTGAGCCACAGCTTTCACAGTGAACTCACCCTGGACGACGTGGACACGTTCCGAGCGCTGTACCGTGAGCACTGCGAATCATTTTTGGATGCTGTACTCAATCTTGAGTTTGGCACTGTCGAATTTTTGCTTCGCGACTTCTGGCGCACCTCAGACAACAATAATCTGGACGAGTGCGAAGAGGAAAAGTACTTGAGCAAGACGAAGCTGTATCTGTTGTGCCACTGCGCAGAAGTGCAAAAGTTTGTTCGCGAGGTGAGTACAATAGACAATAGGCCATGACAACTGAATGCTTGGGCAGATAGGCAGACTAATTGGATATCTAATGTATACCTATATCCAAGAGAAGGTCTAATTTAATATGGACACAGCAATAGAAAGGGCAAAGATTGTATAAAATGTGGCTTGAGTGGAGAAAGCTAAACTAAACTGTGTTGTCAGAGGCGGTGTGCGGTCTAAACTGTACCAAGAGCTTGTTTAAACGATCTGCTGTGTAGTCAAATGTGCCAAGGACGAAGGGTAAATCAAGTTAGATATATCATAGGCGAGGATCCGTGGTCTGGAGTATATCATGTGCTGAGGTGCATGAGCGGGCAAACTTAGTCTAGAGTGCTTCCATATAATTGTTCTAAAATAAATTGTATTCTGTCTTGAACCAGGTGGACTATCAATTCTATCAGAACACAGTCGACGTTATAATACCGGATGTACTGCGCTCGATACCCAACGCGCTGACTCAGGCGATTCGCAACTTTGCCAAGAATCTAGAGTTGTGGCTGTGTGAGAGCATGCTGGGCGTGCCGGAACAGCTCTCACAGATCAAGACTAGCGCAGTTTCCGCATTTTGCCAGACGCTGCGTCGCTACACATCGCTCAATCATCTGGCTCAAGCGGCACGCGCCGTGCTCCAGAATGGTGCACAGATATCCCAAATGCTCAATGATCTGAATCGCGTCGACTTTCACAATGTACAGGTATGCCATCTCACTTGACCCTTTAAGATTGTAATTTAACTGGTTTTGATTGGCAGGAACAAGCCGCCTGGGTGAGTCAATGTGCACCAGCTGTGGTGCAGCGTCTGGAGAATGACTTCAAGGCAGCACTGCAGCAGCAAAGCTCATTGGAACAGTGGGCCAGTTGGCTGCAGCTGGTCGTCGAGTCCGCAATGGAGGAGTATACAGGGAAGCCGAGTTACGCACGTGCCGCTCGTCAGTTTCTGCTTAAGTGGAGCTTCTATAGCTCAATGATCATACGAGACTTGACACTGCGTTCTGCGTCGAGCTTCGGCAGCTTTCACCTGATACGGCTGTTGTTCGACGAGTATATGTTCTATCTGGTGGAGCACAAAATAGCCGAAGCACAACAGAAGACAGCCATTGCGGTTATTTGCGAGCGCATGGTAAGCAGCTAAGCACCCACTAACGAGAGTGCCATCTATTAACTGTCCACCTTTGATCAGAAGAAGGAAATGGACTTTGAGTTCGAGTGCCAGTTCGCCTACATAACTAGCGATGGGGAACAGCAGACGGCGGCTAGCTCGGCCAGCGGTCCAGCGGCAGGGGCAGCAGGGGCAGCAGCTGCTGCAGGTACCCCCAGTGCAGGCAACGAAGCCAAGCGCCTGAAGCAGGAATGAGTGGGTGCTGCAGAAGTGCATCGTCCTGGCCTGACCAGCGTATTTGTATTTGTAGAATTCCTGTTAACATAAATTATTCGGCTATACCTATTCGATGTGCACCACTCCCATCCAAGCTCACTTCACCTCTGCATTTAATAGTCATCAAGATGTTTGTATGTATTTGTGTATTGTGAGGTTGTAGCTTAAGTTCTTCTCAACTGTTAACATAATCAGTTAAAGTATATATATATATATACAGGCACATACATATGTAAGCAAAGGCAGAAACGAAAGAATTGCCCCCGCATTCAAGTGAAGAACCGTCCAAGCAGCAAGCAAGTCATGCCCCTGCAGCGTTGACCTTGTCTGATGATCTGTTTATGTATTCACAGAAGATACATTTTAGATTTTAAGTACATGTGCATTAGTATTTGTGAACTTAGCGTCTAACTAAACTATTATACTTGTGTTTAGCTATTAAGGAAAGGCGTATTGTCACAACAGTTTTGTCTGGTTTCAAAGAAAATTTGTACAGCATAGCGCTCGGCGCATACATGCAAGACGAACATACACACACACACACACACACCGAAACACACACAAAGTAGACGTATATATTCATGTATACTGATGTAGGTACGCACAGGTAAACATCCACCATATGCACTAATTGCAAAACTGTATAGATAAGTTAAGGAATGATAAGCTCATGCTGAAACGGCTTGCTCAATGCTTAAAAACCTAATTTAATTAAGTGAACAACAGGCCTTAAATGTGCAAATATCAACACTCAATTTTGAAAACGAAGATGAAACAATACATTTTACTATCTACCTACGTACGTACATATGTATGTGTGTCCGCATAACTGCACACATTTATTCATATACATATAAAGATATATATTTAAAGTGCAACTGAACATTTGTATGGTAATTCCTGACGCATATACAAAGAGATATATATATCTATCTATATATATATAAATTGATATATTTTGACAGAGGCACCCAACAAAGTATTTTATGCCATTTTAGGTATTTATTGTAGCAAGAAAACCTTTTGTAAGCCATTCAACTAGATTAGTTCAACGCAGGAGAGCTAAAATAAGATGTGCAAGAAGTCTAGTCTTTAAACGAAAGCAAATAGAGGAGATCACAAGAACATGTTACTTTCGGCCAGATGCGAGTTGTAGTCGATATCGGCAGTCATAAGCAACATATAATACTCTCGGTATATAATTCGAAAACCACTCATGTATATTCATATTATTCCTTTTGTGCTAATGCCCTCTAAAATCGAAAATCTATATGTTTCCCAATATTGTGTTGTGTGACCTATCTTTAAGCAGTGACATTTATGATAACCCCGCGCAATGAGAAGCTCAATGTCATTCAGTTTACCCACAAGCTGTAACTCTGTCCGAATTTGTGGCTCAGCTTTTATAGACTAAAAATCAGGCCAGAAACCTTTTCGATTGCTCCATCAAGCTAAATTTATAATAACGAAATAATATAACAAAATTCATTGCTCAATTTGCAAATACTAGCTGAAATCTTGAGCTTTATTGGTTGTAAAACATGAAACAAAATATAAAGAAAACAATTGAAATATCAATTCAAATCGAATCTACCTATTTATAAATGTGAAATAAAGATGTCTAAAAACAAAACGAAAGAAGTGAACGACTACTTATTTATTTGTGTGCAGCTGAGTGCTGTCAACAATTACCGGGTATATTTAAGGGCTAGCTGCTTGGTATATATTACAGAAATCGACGAATTTTTAACACTTCATGCTAAGGACAAGCCTAAAAATCTTAGCACAATCCTAATCCATAGTACCAAATAACCGGCTTTTGAAGGACATTTCTACATGCACATACTTTGATGTAAATAGGTTATCGTTTGTTTTAACCTGAACCCATTGAAAAAGCCTTGTTCTGGAGGTATACATATTCTGGCATATATATTCTTGTTTAGGCCGACGAGCTGAGTCGATGTTGTGATAGCCTTCTGTATATCCATCCGTCTATATGAACGCAGCGTAATCCACAAAAGGTAGAGAGCTGTGAATACACTTGACTGGGTTGGCGTTCAGTTATATAATGATCTTTATTCGTCTGAGCTAGAGTTCTTATACCCGTACTCAAGCGTATTTCAACCCTTAAATCTATGTTGAATCTAAGCATGTAATTTGATCTATTCCTATTGCACTCCCTGAAAGTGGTTGAGGGCGTAGACGGCATGTTTAGAATTCTTGAATATGCTGTATGTTCATGACTGAACAGAGCTCTTAAATGTACACTCGTATACCATACGCAGGAGGAGCTTATTATTATTTTTTGATACCTCACCCCATTTCGTTATCGATAAAAATCGATCATTTGACTTCGTTTTTAAGCATTGACATCTTATTTACTGTGGGGTATTTTGGATTTGGACACCTCCCCGCACTTCCTCCCGGCAGTTCGTATAAAATGTAATCCAAATGCACACATTTCTGCATTATCACGCTCAGGGTAATCTCTCTTCGAGCCATTTAGACTAAAGCACTGTTGTTTCCCTTTTCAATGCATTCCAATGTATTCCAAATGTTGATTTCCAAAATATATATCAGTTTCAAATATTTTCATAACAATCAATTTTCATACACATGGATCGAATGAGGCTTTAGTTGTGTAAGTTTACAAGTTTAGTGGCTCGAAACAATATATTAAGCTCCAAAAACGATAACAAAAAAACACGAGTAATTTATTTTCTTTTTTTTTTTTTTTTTGGTTTCAATTGTGTTGTACATATTGATTTTCTAACAACTCTATACAAAAATTGTTTATTTTTCTTAAAAAGATTTGATATATATAATACACATATTTATTCTCTTATATAAAATATCTTAAATTCTATTAAATCATGAATATTACAACAAAAATGTATGCATGAATATTGTATTTGTGAAGTGGCTATGAGGAAAGAATATTAATGTGGAATAGAGAGCATTATTGTTGACTGATAATTATTTATTTTAGTTAATTGACATTTTTGTATTTAATCTTATTTCAGGTAACTTAAAAACTGTTTGTACTTTGTATTTAAAATCTGAGGTTCTGTTTACGCCCGTGTAAACTGATTCCTGAATATTCGGCTGTTGATTTGCGGTGATTTCAAGTCTTTTCGTTTGGAGAATTTTGACAATTCGTTTGGAATTTTTACAATGTTGCGCAGTTTTGGTTGATGTATCATATTTTAATTAACATACATTTTATTTACATCTAAAATAGTATACATATACAGTATTTACATACATATACATATGTAATGAAGAAATATTTTAAAAATTTAATTGACTCTACTGTTTTGTTTAATAAGAGAATTCAAATTCTAATAATTTGTAAGGTATATATATAACATTTATAATCGGTACTATAGTTCTACCAATATCTGTCACATGAATACTGGACCGGCAAGTTTTGGATGGTTGTTTTCAACATTTCAACATTACCTACACAAATGGTTAAATAGAAAATTCGCTGAAAAATGCTTATAAATGCCACTTTTATGTACAGTTAACAAATGTGGAAATACCAAAGAGTGATATTTCGTTGTCTGAAATTTAGTTTAGTTTAGTTAAGTTTAGTTGACCTTAAATATAAATCCAATTCGATATTTTTCCTGTTTCTTTTTTCACAATTTTGCTTATAATTTTTGTAGCCAAAGGCTTCAATTTATAAAAAAAAACAATCGTCAATAGTTATAACACATTGATTATTAAATAATTTTCTTCTTCTTTTGGAGATCAATTTTAAAGACGCTCGTTATAGTCAAGATTTTGGAAAACAATTCACATAGTTGATGTTTCGTCATTGTTGGATTATGGGAATTGATACAATTACAAATACTATCAAACTATTACAATCGTTTCTTGAGTTTTCGCTCAAGCGTCAAATTCATCTTAACAAAACTTTCTAATTATGTGTCATATTTGATGTGAAGTCGGAGAGCTTATTAATTATTGCTTGCAACATATACATTTATTTGAAAGCCCCTTTCAATGTACATAGAATTAATTCATTTCGACACAGTTGCTAAAAGCGACTACACAGAGCGCAGCCAAATTGAATAACAAACCCGTTTGGGATCAATCAGCATCGACCTATATATCTATATATATGTATATATCTATATAAAGATCGAAACTGCACAGTGCACATACAAAAATTAACTTAAAATTAAAGTTTTAAGCGTAGTTGATGGGTATTTCTTAATTGTAAACCTAACACTTAGCGTGCATGTTCTTTATATACACATTATGTATGAATATAGGAATGACTGCTTAGGCCATTTATTTAAATAATGCGATTAACCAGCGGCATTTTCCGACGATTGTAGGTGGGCGGCTGCTGCTGCTGCAAAACTTGATGCACCTGTTGCACTTTAACTTTCTGGCCATACTGCTGTTCAAGCTCACCGGCAGGACCGATGGCGTAGTTGATATCCAGACGTGCACGTTTAGGCGACCGATAGCCATCATTTGCATTTAGATCGGCCGGGTTGAGCTCAATGATGTTTGCTGTCTGCCCATTGACTATTGCGTGACGCACGGTCTGCTTCTCATTATCGATATCGATCTCATCGTACAGTTCGTCAACCTGTTGTTAGGACAAGTTACAAATTTCAATTAGTAAACTATGCAAACATACAAATTTACAGCAATCTTACCACAATATCGAATTCACCGTTCTTCTGTGAAACGATCAGCTGATGGTCAGTTGGCAGGTGATTGGCAGTTTGATTGCTTGGCTCATACTCATGAAGCACATGCTCCTCTTCATCCTCGCTGTTGGCCCAGCTGAGAATTGAAATCAAATATGTTATGTATATTTGAGGATTGGCATTGCTTTGACTTACTCAACGTTATCATTGTCTTCCTCTTCGACGAGCATCGCATCAATCATGGTGTCATCAAAGTCGTGCTCCTCCAAATCAGAGGACTCCTCAATCTCAGATTGCGAGTCCAACTCCACATCTGAGTCAGCCGATCCGTGCTTCATTTCGCCTCGCTCCAGGGCCTCCAAATGCTCTGGATAGACCATGGCACCGCGTATAGCCCCTGGATCTTTACGCGACCACTTCTGCACCTCCTCATCCATCTTGCAGATCCGTTCTGGATTCATAGCCCAGCGGCAACCTTTTCGTTGATTTCCATTCGTTGCCGGTCGCTCAATTTTCTCGAAGCACTTGTTCAACGACAAATTGTGGCGCACACTGTTCTTCCATCCGCTGGGCGCATTCTCGAAGTAGGGAAAATGCTGGCACAGAAAGCTGTAAATTTCGGACACAGGTAAGGAGCCGGCACGTGAATTCTTCAGTGCCAGCGCAATGAGGCAGGAATATGAGTAGGCCGGCTTTGGAAATGCGCTGCTCATGGCTGCCGGCAACTTAATCTTCTGCTGTAGAGGCTTAACGATGTGGCTGCTATTGCTGTTGCTGATGCTGTTGACATTGGTGTTGATGTTATTACTGTTGCCGTTGTTAAAGCTGGTGTTGCTCAATGGTGCAAATGACAATGGCGAGGATGAAGTCGTGGGCCGTCCAGCTGTTGAGGAAGTAGAGGATGGCGAGCCAATGCTGCTTTGCCCATGCACCTGATGATGTGGCGAATGGGCCGACGAGGCGATACTCTTTGGTGCATTGCCACGCTTTTGAACGCCATTCGCGTGCAGCGTAGTTATATTGTGCAGCGGACTCGCTTCCCGATCACGCTTCAGCACAATGTTGCCATTGGAGGTAATTGGCGCCCCGTTGGGAGACTTCGCAGACGTTTGCTGCTTCAACTTGTTGTAGGTTGCGCTGTTGGCAAACGTCAGGCCACCAATGCCGGGACCCAGCTTAATAGTGTTGGTGGTGATACCACCAGTCGTCAGCAGACTGGTGCTTTTAGTTGTGCCCTTTGCCTCTTCCATGCCGGACGATTGCACCTTGCGCAATTCTGTTCCAAGATCCTTGCGCACAGCATCTACTGCCGATGAGTTACGGCGCTGCAATGCAGCATTCGTTGCCATGGTGGGCGGTGCTGCACCACTACCACCGCTGTTTACGGCTGACGTTGCCGATGAAATGGGCAATGTTGAAATCTGCTTGGGTATATGGGCCATTACCTGCTCCCTGCGCATCGAGCCGGCGCTGACCTTCATCTGTGCCGGGGAGAAAGTCAAATGCGATTTGTGCTGATCACAGGGAGAAGCGGGTGGCGCCTGTCCAGCGCCTGATCCCGATCTGCTCTGCGTTGACGTCGCACCGCGCGACTTTTGCGGGGATCCCGAGCCCAGCAATGAATTCGAGCCTGAATTCGAATTGATCAGCGGCATCACGGAAATGGGGTTGACACAGGCACCAACATCCGCATAGTAATCGGCTGTCGACCAGAAATTAGCGCAAGATCCCATCCACTTCGCTGTGGGCGAAGCGTGCAACGCGCTGCTGGCCAAAAGATTGGCATTGGCGTTATGTGTTGACAATGCGGCACTGCTGCTGCTGTTGTTGCTATTATTAATGGCCGAAATGGCTTCCAGTGCATGATCGAGCGAGGAGGTCAAGTCACTGGAGCTACCGACCACATTTGCGATCTCCGCGCGTATGTCCACATCCAACATATCCTGCATGGAATCGGACACATAGAAGTCCAACGAAGGCCCCGTCGCATCCTGTTGGCAAATATACATTATAAATAGTTAGTAAATTTTTTCAACGTCGTTTCTCAGCGACTCAAGTGTCAACGCGCCGAAATAAAAATGCAGTGTTGCGTAATTCTCAATTTCTTCTGGCATATATTAGGACGTTACAAAACTCGGCAATATTTATTTAATAATTTTAAATATATTTTAACAGATAAATCAAAGCGGAGTAAGGTGACCAAACTCTCTAATTGTTGTGTAACAGTGTTTGAAAACGCTAACCAAAACTACGATCAGCTGTTGCTCTGCTCATAATGTAATTTATTTAATAAGATATTTTATGCAACATTTAAATAATTGTAATAACATTGCATTATGGTTTTTATAGGTCTTCACTTTTCGCATACCTTCCCAGCTAGAAACTTGTTGGCATTTTTAAAAGCAATATAAGAAACTTGCATTCCTGTGTACATTCTTCCATCAGCTTACATATGTACATGTACATACATGTACACCCAAACATATTAACAGATGCATTCATACATCAACATTGTTTCCATATACATGCACATATGCAGATGAATCACAAATAGTATATTATGCCATCAATGTTATCATTATCAGCATTATAGATATCATCATCCTGTATTTGTTATACATATGTACATAGAATACACAAGTAGGTATATACTTTTCCTTTTTTTTATGTGCACCAACAACAAGAACTGACAGGAGCAGTGTCCAAACCAGTTTAGAGTTCCAAGGCAGGCAACGAAAGCAGGCATAGGCTGCATATGGCACACAGCATACCATCGTATTCATACTTACATGCATGTGTATGTATGTGTGTCTGCACACATATGTATATGTATGTGTGTACATATCGGCGCCAATGTCCAGCAACAACAAAAATGAATTACAACACATGCATTTCAGTCACATCCAAACAGACATGTATGTACATACCCATGGATAGCAGCGCCTGAACCTGAACTATGTACCTACGTATGTATGTATGGCTTTGTATGTGTATCAATGTATTCATGCAAGTATGAACCAAAGGCCATCTTAAGCCGGATACCAATAAAATTGAAAGTTTTATGCAAACAGACCCTGTTGCGGCTACTGGACGCGAACCAGACATAAACAAGCCAAGCATTGGTACTGTACATCACAGAAGCATAAATATTGCATATGCTTACAGATGACCGCCAATACTTATTCATCTGTACATAATTAGTTGTGGGTCTAGCTCAAAGAGCAAATCTATAGTGGTTACACTACATAATACAGCTACAAGCTAATTGTATACATATGCATATAAGTAAAAGTATGTACATACATACTTATATTGTGCTGCATAAACATATTTTCATATTTTCTGCATGAGTATCGCAGACAGCGGGCCTGAGCTAAAAACAACCACCGGTGGAAATGTTGCCAAACTAAAATGTTGCAGCAACATTTAACAGCGAATATACGATAAAAGGGGAACAAATATATATGTACATATCCACAGCATACGTAGGTATGTGCGCCTGTTTATATGTATGTATGTAGGTACCGTCCATTGAAAAAACAGAAAAATAAAGGAATAAAGCCGTATATAAACAACTGCCAGCAGCGGCAACATCACGAGCAGGGCGGCAACACAAGCACACATCAATTGCGTGCATGTGTGTGTCTGTGTATTGTGTATATGCACAACAGCAGGCAGCGACGTTGACGACTGTTTCATGTTAAAAGCGAGTGGAAGAGAAACCACACAGAAAAAACTCTGCTACTCTTTATGTTGAAAACATAGAACATCGACCGCACAACAGAGTTCTCTGTTGAGCGCACAAGCAGTACAGTTGGCAACAAAACATTCTGCAAAATGAAACACCAACAGAGTAGCAGAGCTAAAACTGAGCGCTTGTCTGAGTACTTTTTGTGATGTTGCGATAGCTTGAATTCTGCTACGAAAAAGGGTAGTAGGCGCCAGTTTAACAGTAAGCCGGTCGACGTGCCGCACATGTTAAGACCTGCTCATCATGAACGTTTTGTTTTTATTTTTATTTCTTTATGCTTTCAGTATTAGGCGCAACTTTACATTAAGGCGGCACTTTACAAAAAGAGAGGCAAGCGCCTGTTACTTGCTCTTTGGGGTGGGTGGCTGTAGGTGTGTTTGGTTTAGATGGCAATGAGAGCGTGTCCTTGGAAACATTCCAACTCATTGACCCGACCCTGGCGTCTGCTCCTGGTGAAAAAATCGATAGATGAGGCATACACACACATCGACGCATGCCGCATGCCGCATGCTCCACGAATGATGATAAGTTGCATAATTTAGCAGGATACCATAAATTTATACAGGCCTTCCATGTTGGCGGCGCGCGTTCTTTTATCAGTTCCCAAAATGTGATGGGATGCACACAATCACACAGCTCTTGTGTCTGGCGGGTGTCTGGGCAGCTTTAATGCAAAATGAAAGCATGTGTTGAGTGTGAAATCCTTTGCAGCTTGAGAACTACAGATTGGTGTTTTCTTCCCGCTTTCTGTGTCCATAGGACCAGAAACAGTGCGTGCAACAATTGGGGCACAGCAGGTGTTGCACATTGAAAGCGCGGCAGCTGCCTCATCAGCAACAGTCGTTTCGCTGTTTGACTTGTAATGCAACATGGTGCACGAACAGAGTGTACGTACATATATTTATATGAATAGTCATGTAATTATAAGTACATAGATTTATATGCATATATATATATATATATATATATATATATATATATATTTATAGTAATCACAGAGAGAAGTTCTAATATTGTTATAATAATTATGAACTTTATATAAAGTCAGGCCTAATTTGTACTTTTGCATATAAAATGCTCGCTTAATTTTATGAAGTTACATTGCGCAAAAACTAGTTCAATAACGAATAAATAAAAGGTTTTCCTCTGTTTCATTCAAATAAACTTCATTCTATTATTGATATGCATTACTATGGCCTGTGTGTGTGTGCGTGTGCGTGTATTGGTGATCCGATAACCTTTTGTCAAGCAGGCTGACAGACAGAGCAGGCAGATAGACCAGACGGCAGGCAGCTGCAATTTGAGCACTCAGGGGTTGTCCCTGTATTCGTATGGAGCTGCACGCACACATGAGTAAATATATTCGTTCGTCTGTATGTGTTGGTAAATAGCTGTTACTCTGTAAGTTGTGAACTGCACATTTTCAAACGGAAAGGAGACTTCCTGCTTCTAATTGGGTTTACTTATTATTTTTCTTGGCTGGTAACTCATACCACCTGCATAGATGCAGTCCATACATACGCTATAATTGTAAGTTATAGTTCTTTCTATCTCTCTCTCACTCTATATAAAAAAGTGCTTTCCAAAAAATGTGCCGAAATAAAAATGCATCGAACAGGCGATCAAAATTTGCAGCAGGCAAACGAAAAGCAAAAAGGGAAAACTTTTCAAGACTTTTGCAAGAAGCAGCTGCCGCCTTCTACTGACCTTTCAAGCGGCGCAACGTTGGCAGGAAAAACAAACATGCAAAAGGCATACCGGCATACACACATAATTTCATATTACACATTTGTATGATTGTGTGCGTGTATGTATGTAAGCGATTGAGCAGACAGCATGCACAGAGCTCAGTGTCGCACCCTTGGCTCAATTCGTGGCCTAGACAACGGGCATGGGGTGCAGTATTTCCTACACCGCCTTTTAGTTGATTTTTATGTGTGTGCCTGTGTATATATATATATATATATATATATATATATATATATATATATGTATGTGTGTGTGTTATCGGTTATTCCTTTTTGGTACCTTCGCCATCCTTTGCATCTGCTGTGCATCTTTTGTTCACCGCTTTCACCTTAAAATTTTAATGGTTCGACACTCTGGCACACAAATCCAAATCCAAAGCTAAATTCGAATGCAGGACCAGGTAAGCGAAGAAGCAACATGATGCAGTCCACATTACAGCAAACTCATACCTTATCCGCAATTATGAGCGCCTATTTGTAAATTACTTTATGGTCCGGGAAAAGCGATGTTATAAATCAGTTTATAATCGGTATTTGCGATATCTTTTTGGGTAATATGTTAAAAAATTTGAATAAAAATGTTATAGCTGCTGCAGCGCCAAAGGGTTCCCATGGGGGTGGGCGTGTATCAGTGTATGTGTGCGGGCCGTGAGAAAATCTATGCGGCATACAGCTGGGCGCTCATATTCAAGCAACAAACAAACGCGCATAGCCAAACGGCAGCGAGCAGCGACATGTTGCCTCACACGAGTTTGAGTTTGAGTCTGAGTTTTTTTGTCGTTGGTGTAGGGGGTTTCGCATTAGTTTACTCACTCAAACTCAATTTGCCGGCCGGCCCGCACGTTGAACTTTATGTGTGCCTTTACTTTTTTATTTTAATTTCTTTAGAGCGAGAGAAAGCTTTTGATGTGTGACCGTTGAGCGATTTGGCTCTCTTCCCCTCATCACTTGTGGCGTTTGAAAACGGCATGTAAGATAAAAGCGTTTTGCTGTGTTTGCTTTTCTTTGTTTCTCCTCACATACACATAAACACACACACACACACATTAATCACACTTGTAGCTCTCATGCAAGTTTTCTGTGTGTGGGTATGTGCGAATTGGTTCATGTTAAATTTGACTTTAACAGGCGCCCATATTTGAAAGATCTGTGGCGATTATCAAAAACCTTGTAGGAGGTCAGGACTAATATAAGTATTGTCTAATTAATACATATCTTTGTGATTAAATACCTAGGTATATATTTTAATTTAATTTTAAGCATCCCAAATGTTTGCTACGGAAAACAAAAGCAACCGCCAGCTAACGAGGTGAACGTTTGGCCTTCAAAAAGTTTAAAACGCAAAAAAAATTAAAAAAAAAAAAAAAACAGAAGATATAGCTTGAAGCAGCTCGCATAACACAGACAAAACATATTCGCGTTTATGTATGTACATATATACAGCGGATAGATACGTATATTTGCACATGTATTGTTTAGCAATAAATAAAGTTAAATAAATTACGCATGAGTCTTTAGATATCTCAGATAAAGAGAGAAGCAACTTATAATTTTTTGTCGCTTTAAATAAATGAAGGTCATCCAACCGATTCCCCATCTCAAGCTCCAACTCCAACTCAAAGTTCGCAACGAACAACAGCAATAGGAACAGAGAGCGAAGTTTTCGCCGCATTATTTTTGTTTTTGCTGCATACATTTTTAGTACACACAACAGAGCGCTGTTGAGTCAGCATTAACATTGATGATTGCTTTACATAAACTTGGTCTCCACATACGATAAAAAGCTAAGTTATTAACCAGAAAAATGACAGACAAGCATTAAACAGCCACAGCAGCAGCTAAGCTCCAGAGTTGAGGAAGTATATTTAAAAGAATTTCTGTACAATTTAATCTATTTAAACAATCGGCGAGACTGTTCCGGTTATGACCGCTCTTTGGTCCCTCGCACGCCGCCCTAATCAGCACTTCCAATGAGTGTGACTTAAGAGAAAAATGATCGCGATCACACATGTACTTACACATGTGCACATCAATGTGCGAACTGCTACTCGCTGCGGAAAGCTGGCGAATAAAAATTTAAAAAAAAACCGAACGTTAGTGCCGCGAAACTGAACAAGTCGACGAGCACAAAGCAAGCAAAACAAAATCCAACAACAATTCTTCGCTGTGTTTAACAGTGTGAGAGAGGAGAAAACTGTTCTTTTGGCGAGTGCGCAATAGACTGGGCTTGCTGTAGTGGCAAGGGGAATGCAAAAATACTAGGAAAAAATCTTCTGCAGAGAGCCGATGAGAGCAGAGCCGCCGTGTAGACTCCGGCGAATCAAACTTTAACGAATGTTACGAATTTGAAAACAACCGACAAAAGCTCATGTCATTGTATTGGTTAATGTGCTTGTGTGTGTAAGTTACCGGCAAATTTGAATTTGCTAATTTTTATTTGTCGTTGATGCTTTGTTGATTTTCGCTCAGCAAATACACAATATTCAATGTTCGTACGATTGTGCGGGAGCTAATTATATATGTATGAGTGTACTTACTGCATATTTACTGAAGAAACCCTCGTGAATACTGCTTGAATAATCCTCTAATTCGAACATATTGCAACCGTTTTATTTGCAAATTTACTCTTGCATATGCACTTTGTTTTGATCAATTTACTTTTCACTCTTTGCTTAATCCGCTTATTACAAAAACCCGTTACACGACTGGTATAAGAGAACTACCGTTTGTTGGGCCCACACTTTGTATTTTACAATTTATTTTACACTTGCACATTTATTTTTGAAATACTTAAATATTTGTAGATATTATTTCTCATGTTGGTATAATTTCATTTTTGCACCGGTTCATTTTGTAATTAGCATCTCTTTTTAGCAATAATATTTGTATGCACTAGCAAACTCTCGAACCGCAACACGTCCGTCCTGTTCGGCCTTGTTGTTGCTTTTGAGAAAACATGCTGTTTGGTTAAGCCTATCGATATGCTCATATGCACAAGATGAGAAATTTATGTTTTTATTCGATATTTTCACCACTGTGCAAATAAGGATATCGGTATTTTTACTCTCCGTTTGAAATTCAAATGTTTAATCGAATTCAATAATTTCAGTTTTTAAGTATATATTTGCATTTCACACTAGACATTATTACGGCTACCGATGTTGGTATTACTGCTAAATGTTTGAAATTCAAATTTTTAATCAATGTTACTTTATAAAAATATAACTGAAAAATATATACTGAACAAAACTGCGTTCAAAATCGTCAGATATACAAAAGCATATTTTTAAACGTTAAACGTTAAATTTGCCAAGCAAAGGTCAAATGTTTCAAGGTTTCTAACAAAATATAAGAAGAATCTAATTTTAATTTGCAAAATGACAGTACCAAATGAGTAAAATTACAGATTCATACCTAAATAGTTCTGGACTATCGATATAAATGCTTAGACTATCGGTAAAACATTGGAATTAACATCATATATTTAATCCACCTCACACAAATCGTTCGTTCAATGTCCGTTAAATTTAATTTATAGACGCTTGGACATTTATGTCAAACATATATGTATAAAATATATTAATGTCAAGCATATCAAAATAGATACTGATATTTTATAGACCGATGTATGAAATTTATTTATTAAGTATAACATTAAAGAGACAATGTGGTTTACAATTCGCACTGACACAACATTCAAATGTTTGAGTTTAACACTCATTTGCGATACTAATATCGACTCACTTAGGCACTGTTAGTTCTAAGAAAAACAATGAACTGTTCTTTCGCAAAACTGTATGAAATAAACAAGATGAAGTTGTTCAAAATAAATGAATATAGAAATCAAACAAAAGAATTAGCAAATAATGAAATATTCAAAATATGATTCCGATCAATTTTTTTATTTCAGAATATAAGATTTAATTATAAAGAAATGGCAATCAAAAATTATTTATTTATTTATACATTTCAATTAAGATATTTTGGTAATGAAATGCTGATGTATATGTATTTCAAAGAATAGACTTAAATGTTTAATTTTACAATATTAAATGAAAATAAAAAAATGAAATACACGTTTCAACATGTTTTGAATATTTAAGCTTCAATTAAGAAATTTTAATCTATAACAAATAAAAAATATAAAACTTCAATTCGCTTAGTTTACACTGAAACGATATTTCAAATTCAAACATAATTCAATTATAGAACAATTTTTAACTTAAGAACAAAACTGACGAAAGAAATATATAAATCGGATTCCGCGAACCTGCGTTTACAATTAACGAATAACTAATATATATAATATATAATAAGTGCTATTTATTTGGGGCGTCTTCCAAAAATTTCACGCTTAAAGCGCAATGCCGACTCCGTAGCTGGGTTACGAACAGACGACGCTGACGATGAAGACTTCTTTTCAGAAGTTTTCTGTGTGGTTGGTAACTCTTTGAACCCGTGGCGGGGTTTGGGTGATCGTAGAATTTCTTTAAAATACTTTGATGTTGGGGTGCAAGGTTCGACCTGAACGATGCTGGATGATGTCTTGAATGTTTCTATACGCTTTGACCCTTTGTTTGCTCTGACTGTTACGTAACCAGCGCTAGTCTTTATAAGCTTGGGCGATTGGTGATTCTCTTCGTCTGAGCTCTTAACTGGCGACACGTGAACCAATGTGGGCTTCGGATTCTTCTTTGTGGTTAGCTGTTTGGTCTTAGCGGATTTGGTGCTCTCCGTCGGTTGGGGACTTAGTTTCCGTGCCAGCGATTGGGGCTGCAGAAGCCAGAGACAGGAAGTAGAAATGGTGAAGCCATTTAAAACCTACAACTTACCTGATTGCTCGCTACGTCTGGGACAAGCAGATGCATTGCGTGTTTGATTGCCTGTCTGGTGGCTTGCAGCCGTTTCAAATCCTTTTTCATGTTAACTGGCCGAGCTGATTCTGGCTTAGACGGGCCTGTTCCAACCGTAGCGATCATGTCAGAGTTTCCTGCGGATATTGTCTTAGCCACCGGACGATCTCTTTGCTTTCTGCCCGCTGCGATGCGCTGTAAAATATTGACAATTATTTAATTATTTCAATTACGCAATTACCCTTGTTTGAGAGAGTTTACCTGTTTCTTTTGCTCCAGCTTAGCCTGGTTCGCCGCCAGAATCAGCTTGTCACAATATTCCAGATACTCGTCGCGACTCTTTTGATGTACAGTTTTCTCCTTTGTGGCAGGAGTGGGCACCTTATCCTTAATATTTTCAACAATTTCATCTACTTCGTTAACAGTATCCTTGATATTTTCTACATGTTCTTCTATTTCCGGATCCATTGGCTGATCTCGCGATTCGGGCTCCTTCTCCTCCTTAATAACTTTGACGGGTTCATCCAATTCGACGTCACTTTGTGGTAAATTAGCTTCTTCATTTGCTTCTCTCTGCATATTAGCTGATACGCTCGTGTCCAAGCCGTCGACAGTGCCACAAAAGCTCTTTGACAGACGCTTCCGCTTTGTTCGTTGTCGGCTTTCCTCGGCCAGGGTCTCGATGAACGATTGTGATGGATTGACATCGCTGTCCAATTGCTCGCTACGACGCTTTAATTTATGTTTTGGCTCCTTAAGGGTGTTGGCCTGTAGGTCCCCTACGTACAACGTTTGGCGACGGGATTTCTGGAGAGGATTGAACATTTGGCGCAGGTGTGATAAGTCACAGGAGTTCAGTTCAGACAGAAGAACGACCTCTTCTTCTCGCTTCTGGCTTGCATGGAATGTCGAGAATTTGCTGCTTTCAACAGGTTTAGGTGGCTCCTCGCTTACTGGTGATTTCTGTATTGTATGTATGGTTGAATCAGTTAAATCAACCTCCTCATATGATTCAGATACTGATAGTTTGTTCAACGTTTTCGGATCCTCATCCTCATCCTCATCCTTAACCTCTGGTGGCGTTTTAAGCACTACATTCTTTTCATCTATTTCACACGATTCCTCATCAGAATCAAACACTTCGTAAATACTCTTGGTTGTATTTTGATTATCCTTTGGTTCCTCCTCATCATTGGAACTGGAAACAATTTCCTCAACTACTGTCTCTTCTTCTTTATGGATCCTCGACTTTGTTGGCGGCTCTGTTTTGTTCAGTCGATCGCACTTATTTTCATTTGATTGGGAATTCTGGCATGCCGACAAATGCAAACGATTCCTCCTATTTTCGGTCGGCTGCTGATCAGCTGCTTCCTCAATTGTGTCGATGTCATCTTTATCATCCATACGCACTGACTCTTCGTGTGTATTTTTAGTTTCTTCGATGTCGGATGCCTTCTTTTCTTCAACTTTTTCTTGCTTCTTTTCTGTTCCTTCTATAGCGGTATCCCGTTTTTCTTCAACGCCGTCTTGCTCGTCACCATCATCATCGCTGCTTTCATGAACAACAATACGACGTCGTTTTTTTGGTACATCCAAGACATCGGCTTCTTCATCAGAACCGGACGAAAAACACAAAGATTCAATGTTGTTTTCATCATCTTCATTGTCCGATACAACGAACGACAGTTTTTCATCGGTACTATCTTCAGAACGCTCATCAGTTGTGTCCTGACTGCCAACAGATTCGCCATCGTGCGGAACTTCATTTTGCTCGATCTCATCGCGAAGAGAGCTGTCCATTGAGTCGCCAGATTGATAATTATCAACTACCTCTACTTCACTGGCAAAATATTCGCACACAGATTGATCTTGAATTCGATTTTCCTCGTTTTCATCATCTTCTTCATTTTCATCATCTTTATCTTCATGATCTTCAATCTCATCTTCGCTGTCAAGGCATAGAATAGGCTTCTCTGTAGTTATCTCAGCAAGTGGAGCTTTATCTTCCAATTCCGATAGAGGTTTTATCATATCAATTTGTAGAGGTGGCTGATTTAACTCTTTGGATGGAGCTGTCTGACTCTCTGACATCTCAAACTTAGCTAAAGGCGTTGAGCTGTTGCGTCCCTTTAAGGTACCGGACCTTAAAGGCGTTTCGCTCTTATTCTCTGCAACAGTAATAATTTCCGTCACTGGTATTTTAGTGCGTGCTGGTGTTTTGGGAAATTTGGGTTTGATATTCTCAGCTGGTTCACAGCTATTGAAGGCTACAGCTCTCACCTGCGTTGATCCCACTACCCGATTCATTATGCCAGGCGTTAGATCAGGCAAACGAATGTCTTCGGTGACTTCAGCATCGCCAACTCCCGATTTATCATCAACCGAGTCTAGGTCTTTTGGCAGAGTATCAACGGAATTGCGCCTATCAGTGCCTTCAGGAGCATCAATTATCTCAACTTCGTCGTCGATAAGTTTTGTTTTTATGGCGTCAGTGTCTTTATTTTTGACAATAGATAAATTTGGGTCATCAATGACCGTTGGCTTATCCTGCTTGCAACTTAGGATGTCTTTGAGCTTAACTTTAACTTTAGCAGTTGCCAGAGTAGGAGTCATGGGTGACTCCATCGCGGAAGCAGCATTGATTACTTCTTCAGTTGTGCCTATATCAGAGTCCAACGGTTGCAGTGTTTCGATTGGTGAATCTACAATTTCAGCATCTATTTCCAATGATTCTTTTGTTTGTTGTTTCTGTTGTTCTGATGAATTTTGTATATCAGGTTGCATCTGAGTAGTATTTTTCATTGGCGGCGTTTTCGACATGGAACGCGTCACACGCCTTTCATCTGATGGTGTTCTAAGCACTTCAGTAGCAGTTGGCGCACGTCTGGAGTCAGCAACATCAGCAGCTTTAAGCACTTCGTTGCTTACCTTGATTTTGTCATTGTCTGGCTCAGGCTGTGTCTGCGATCCCACCTTTTCGTTAACTTCTTCTCCAATTACATCTTCTGCCAACTCCAACTCTCTGACCACCGATTTTGCCGGGGTGCGCTTAGGCCGTTTAGCAGTTGACAAGGTCAGAGGTGGGCTCGCTGGCTCCGGCGTCTCTCCGCGAGCTACTGACGCACGAGTGCAACGTGTCGGAGTCCTTAAATCGGCAGTTGCTGAGTTTAAGCGCGTTCTACGCATTGGACGCGGAGATGCTACAACAACGATTCCCAGTATTTGATATGCTTGACATAAAATATGAATTGCACTTACCACGTTCGATTGTTGTGTCCACAACTGGAGTCAAGGGACGAATCTCTGTATCCAGGATGGAAAGTCGGCGAGTCCGTGAACGAGTTACTGAAAAGGACAAAAAACCAATGTTATCTGACCTTTATTCATGCATAGATTTCACAGAGACAATGAAACAAAGCACTTTCTCTTCGCGTCTGTTTTTAAATTCAAACGGTTTTCTTATTGAAAAATTTAGAGAAGCAACAAGCTCTAAGCGAAGCATTTTCATTGCCACTTACCACGCGGAGTGCCGCTATTATCTTCATCCATTTTAATGTTTTCTATTCCCTGCTTGTCTACGTTATATTTAGCCCAACAATTAAGCTTTGAATGGAGATTTATAATTGCGAAATCCAATCGACGAAGCGGACGACGCCAATCTTAGAAATGAAATAACCAAGCACTGAGAAGCGAGCACCGCCAAAATGACATGTGCCTGTATGCGTGACTTTTTAACAATATACAACACTGCTCACAACGTTGCACAAAACATCGATTGAAATGTTTGGCGCCAATTATTAATATTCCACTATGATTTAAATGTGCTTATATTCGGTTTAAGTTGAACTCTTAATTTTTGATAAATGCGAAATTGAGTGGCCTACTTATATTCATAAAATTTAACAATCAACAATAGTTAAATATCCACCAGCTTAAAAATATTGCAAATTATTTAAACATATGATTCACCATACTTCAAAACTGCCTGACCGGCCTAATTAATTTTTACAAAAATGTTCTTAATAGTTATGGAAGTTTTAATTGTTATATAGTTCCTAATTGTTAGTATAAGTTGATTTTAAGCAGATAAAAATAAAAGTTTAGTTTCAATGTTTGAATTAATTTTACTATTTTATAAGCTAGATATTAAAAGTTTTGATACATTCACTAAATTGCATAGTATTTTATTTCAAGCTAGTCTCCGAAATACATTGCAAACATAACAAATCTGTTAGGTGTAGAAGACACTATAACAACCCCCCTCCAAATAAAAATATATATATATATATATATATATGGCCTTAAAATAATAATGACAGTAAAATCCACCTTGATTTATTTAAAATATTTAAGTTCGACCATGTGATCTTTTATTGCTTTTTACGCATATTAAATCATGTTCTGCTTAGCAAACTCAGGATTAAATTGGCTATTATACTTTTGTACTATTCGTGGCGTTGGAGCTGGTGTGATTACTGCATTAGCTGGTATGGCAGATACCTTAGGCGCGAATAACTGTTCCTGGCGAAGTCGCTCCCGCTCTTCACGCAATAGCCTTTCTTTCCGCAACCTGTTTAATTTATCGCGCTTAGCGTCTTCTACCAGCTCATTTGTTTTCTCAGACTTGCTCCTCTTATGCTTGTGCTTCTTGTGCTTTTTATCATGCTTCCTCTTTTTTCTGTCCTTTTCATTTGCTCTCTGCCGCTTGGATTCAGGCGAACGTTCTGTTACATTCAATGAAACAGCTGGCGAGGGTGACCGTTTTTGTCTTTTGGTTGCTGTTTGAACAGGAGGCTGCTTTTCTTTCGGAATCAACGCATTTATCAATGTAAGCGGATCTTGTGATATTTTGGTTTTCAGTTGGGTTTCAGTAGGATTTTCAGATCGATTAGGAGCCAATTCATACCAGCTACGCACCTTAAGAGCCTCGTTTGTGTCCTGGCCTAAATAGGTGAGGTACCCGATTTGTTTTTCATACTTTTCCTGTTCTTCCTTCTTCTCCTTTTCCAAATCTTTATTCGTTTTCTTTACATGACTTTTATAGTCTGCAAATAGATCTACTGCAGATGTACTACTAGAAGTTTGTATTGCTGTCTCTTCCAATGTAATTCCACTACTTTCTTGCGTTGAGGTTCCTTTTATCACACTTTCAGGTAAGCCTGATTGACGCCTTAGGTAGTTGATACGCGCTTCGCTTTCCTTAATGAGTTAGATTAATAGCGATATGTAGTTGACTTTTTGGGCCATACATTAATAATCTAATAATACTTACGGCCAATTTCAATTTGTCCAGCCGTTTCTTTTCGTCTTCCTGAGCGGCAGCTTCATCGCGACGAACCCGGGCAATATTATCTTTAGTGCGTACATGCCAGCTAAAAATTCAATTAGAATTATTAATAAACAATCAAATTAAATGAAATCCATTTTACCGTTTCTTGGGTAAGATATTCATCCTACTGCATTAGCATTAGCTGAAAACAAATGTGGCAATGTAAACAAAACGCGTTTGGTTGTGAATGGCAAAAACAGTGCTGTGTAACGAATCGATATGAATGAAGCACAAAAGTAAATTATTCTGAAATATATTTATAAATAGTTTTTTTTTGTTTTCATTACATCAAAGTGGCTGATATTTATCTAGCATTTTTATTTTAACACTTAACTTTGAATCTACCCCTACATGCTTACACAACTCTGAATTGCAGTTTTTGACAATTGGCAAACGCTAACGCGAATGGCAAATCAAATATTCATCTGTCAGAAGGAAGAAAAGGGGACACATATAGGAAAAACTGCAGCGCAGCAGCAAGAGTCCCGACAAAAGTAATTTTAATTGTGAAAAAAATTTGTAATCAATTGTGAAACCAATAATCTAAAGCATAGGCAAAGTTCGCGTTGTCATCGAACCGAAACGCGCGCACGACGCCCGCATGTAGCTCAAACATGGAACAGCGTATTCTAAAGCAAGACGGCTACTTGGATGTGGGCGATGATAGCAGCAACGACGGTGTCTTGCCTGGCGGAGCACCAGTGTTTGAAATTCGCAACATAGTGTATCACCCGCAACTAAATGTGCTGCTTGCTTTTGGTGTCAATAATCTAGTGAAAGTTCTAGATGTCAATTCCGGCGTTATTTTGCAGACGTATCAATTAAGTACAAATGGTAAGCAGCACTAGCAGCAGCAGCAGCAGTTTTTTACATACATACGCATACATATGTACATAAATGATTGTATAGGAAAAAATTACTACACAGACTCACAAATACAAATACACGAACAAATGTCAATTTATTGCATTGTGTTTTGTAAATTTGTCTGTATTCGTCAGGTTCCAATATGCATACATACATTTGTATATACACACATGTGTATGTATGTTTGTGCATGTTTGACAGGGAACGTTGAATGGTTGCAAGGATATTCTAAAATTAATATTATTTAATGTTTATGTTGGCGTCATATGTATTTCTATGTTTGGGTAGCCTAAACCGTTTTGGGAGATTTCTATTGTTATTGTTTCTACTTATTACGCAGTTTACGCATATATTGCCCAAATATGGCATACATATAAGTAAATGTGTTTGTATGTATGTGCTTGCTAAATTAAACAAACCAATTAATTGCACACATTGATGAAATTGGTGGCGGACTGTGGAGTGTGAAACTGTGTTTAATATTTTTTTATAATCCTTTGCAGCTGAAAACTTAATCCATGGACGCTACATGCCATTGCAAGATAAAATCTTGTTCTGGGATGGCCACAACTTGGGCCTGCGCGGCGACTACAATGGTGTTTTGCTCTTGGACACCATACTGCAGGCGCCAATTGGTCAAAATGATGATTACATTAAGCTGGAGCTTATATTGTCCGAAGCGATCATCTTTCAGAATTGCATAAACGAACTGGAGAGCGAAGGTCTCGAATGTCCGTGTGATATTAGCAACGAGCTGACACAGAAGATAAACCAGGCTCAGCTGAACACCAAGAAGGGCATTAAAGCGCAACGCGTAAGTGTTCCGCCTATCGGTGTATAAAATAATATTGAATATGTTTAAAGTAAATCTAATTGACCTTGACATTGAAAAAGACCTACTCAACATATTTTAAATTAGCCAGATACAACAAATCATTAATCAGTGTAAAAATTTAAATCATTTTATTTTTTAATTGTAATTAATATGTATATAAATTCAATATTTACATTATTATTACAGTGGAACACTATTTGCTTGGATGTACCCTATTCCAGTCTTAAATTGGTAGCTAATAATGTGGTCATATTGCTGAAGCGTTTGGAACGACACATTCCGGTACTGGCCATAGCATCGGCTATCAATGAACGTTTAACGGACATGCTAATGGGCTCTCGTTTGCCAGACTACGGCTGGAACTTCAGCAATTTTCAGCGCGTACTCATGCATTCGGAAGCTGTTCGCCGCCAAACATTCGAGAAATGGCCGCACATGGACTACAAATGGGCGCTGCCAGATCAAATGGCACAAGCCGGTTTTTATCATCAACCCTCATCATCAGGCGAAGATCGAGCTATGTGTTTTACATGCAACGTGTGCTTGGTGTGCTGGGAAAAGACGGATGAGCCTTGGAGCGAGCACGAGCGCCACTCTCCTCTATGTCCGTTTGTGAAGGGAGAATATACACAAAATGTGCCGCTATCTATCAGTTATGCCACCAATCCGGCAATAACTTCGCCAGGCATGGGATTTGATGTCATTTCTAACAGTGACTATGCCAATGTTCTTTGCACCAGCTGCACTCAAACTGGCGAACTAAGCGTTTGGAGTATTGAACGTCATCTGAAACTTATGCACAGTTTCCATGTACCCACACTGCTCAAAGAACTGTTCGAAGAGAACTTCGAGTGGGCGCGCGTTACTGCTATCTGCGTGCTGCCAAATGCGCGCGCCCGTACTAAGGTCAACTATGTGTACTCGGAGAACTACAGCGGAAGCGGCAACAGCGGCGGTGGTGCGCACGCTAGCAGTATGCACAGCGGTGGCAAGTTTGGTGGCGTGAATGCACAGCACATAACATCTACATCGACGCTGCGAGCCGGAGTAGTGGGCTCAAAGATAGTTCTCGGTGTAACTGTGCGCCAAAGCAGCGGTGAGATGGCTTTGCGAATGGTGGTGCTTAACATCGTGGAGTTGGATAGGCATAGCGAGAACTCAGCCGTCATTAGCAATGACAGTGGGAGCGTCTCTAGCATGGGAGGTCAGCTCAAAAAGACATCTTCACAACTGGGCACCAGTAAGTTCTCTTCATTCTGCATTAAATATTACTTCATATGTAAAATGTCAATGGATAAATTCTTGTTTCTATTAATTGATAATGATTTTCAAAAGTTCTTGACTTAAAAAACCCATTGTAACTATAAGGTCAAGCTTTTATGTATGCTTTACTTAAATGTTAGAAATTTATTGGTTGATTACTTTTGATTTGTTTAAATGTTTAGATAAGCTCTCATGTTTATTTTAATGTTTTACATTCACAGCGTCCAGTGACTCAAATGTTGTTGCTAGCCAAGTGAGTCTTGAATCTTCTAAGGATGATGACAACAAATCGTTGACGCCATATGAAAAATTTGCGGATGGCTTTGACAGCAACGGTTTTGTATCCGCTTTAATGACTTATAACAAAAACAATGATGTTAACCAGAGCGGCAACAACTCGTCTGTGTTGTACGACCTCGATTTGTCGACGTTGTCGCAAATTCTGGATAGTAATCTAGATGATTCTTCCTCGGGGCTAATGGTCTCCTCAAATACTGTAAATGTGAGCAGCAACTTGTTAGGAATGAGCAATGACATGGACAAGCTTTTGGATCAGGCCGATGTTTCACATCAAAACAACAATAACAACAATGAGAACACAATGGGCGTAGTCTCCACTAATAACAACAACAACAACATAATTATAAATGGCAGCAACAACACGAGCGACAAGTTATCCGCCAGTGAAGAAATAGACTGTTTGGTAGAAAGCTGGACGAGCGTTAAACGCATGAATGCCTTGGATGGCGCCCATAGTACTAATGGAGGTCAATTAGATGTGCAGGAGATTGTGGAGATTGCTGAAATTATGACCACCAGTCCGAAGTGCAATCAGCTGCTGGTTAAACTGATGCGTACCAAAGTCCCAGATTCTGAGGACACTAAGATCATAATGGCTACGGTCGCCAAAGAAGAAGAAGATCAACATAATATACCTACGGATGTAGGTAAGTAAAACCGCATTTCCTTTACATATGTGTATCTCTGATTTGTGCAAGGGAGTTCTGGTCCTACTCGATATCGACTCTAAAATAATAATCTCATATATTTGCATAGTATGCTAAATGCTAATATTGTAAATATTAATTTATAAATTATCTACTTTACATAAATATACTAACTGTTTTTAATTTACTAATTTCAGACGACAATAATGCAGAATGCAATGTGGCTGCTCAGTTGCTCCTCTTTGATTATGATGACACCCAAATCTCCAACGATTACACTCTTGCCATGACCTTTAGCCGTGCTAAATGTCCCAAGCAACTGTGCATCCTGCCACCGCATGCGTCGACAGCTTCGTCAGATCTTAAAGACACCGGATCCATTTGTGTGGTGTGTGCCGATGGATGTATTGAAATTTATTCGTTAGCCGATTTTCAAGCTACATCTGTTATCGAGGAAGAGGGCGAGCACTTTGAGGCCGTTGTATATTGTCGTAACTTGGACAGACTTTGCTGCTGTTCGCGCCAGGGAGGGATGCTGTTTTATTCGCTTAATGACGGCGAGAACGACTCTGGTGATGAGCTGCTGGAAATGGAGGATGACTGCAGTACTACCCTGACACATGCTATGGATTTAAGCGTAACTGATGGAGTGCGGAATATGCCAGGCGCCGACTCTGCTATGGGCGATACGATGATTTGCGGGGATGTAGGCATCGATGCGGTGGCCGGGACATCAAGTCAAAATATACATGTGCAGACTTCACCATCTGTTGCATCCCTAATGGGCAACAACGCAAATCTGTTAGCATACAAGACGGGTGACTTGACGCTCGATGACTTACGTGTTTTATATGCACTGACGCAGTTCGATGACAAGTTAACTGTGTACTCAGCAGAAGTGCCAAGCTGTTGGAACGATTTAGGCCAGGTACAAAAACAGCGCAAGCAATCTCAAAATATGCGTCATGGCGGCGATGAGCGTGATTTCACTCGGACTTGGAGATTGCACAACGATGCGTAAGCCTTTACACTGTAATATTTTATTATTTTTTAATAATTGTATATTTTTACATAAGTACCACTTGGGACGAACACATAATTGAGCTGAATCTGGCTCAGCCAGTGTCATTGGGCCACATCGACTTAAAGTTTACTGTGTATCAGCAGTGCTCCAATCCAGCAGCCATTCAGGTCACCTTACTCAAGCAGAATACTAATGGCTTTGGCTACAGAATGAAAGGACCGCATGCTAGCTACAAGCCCAACGTCATTGATGATAACATTGACTTCTCTTATAGTGAGACACAAAATAGTAATCTTTTCATATTCTTGGTTTTATGCATCTCTATATTCATTCGTAACTTACAGTTGCCAGTGAAAATCCTGTTCTCAGCGAGGAATATCTGTTGGCCCACAATGCAGAAGTGCTGGCTGGCCCTATTGAGCTTTCTTCATGCATTGATTTGTGTGATCAGGGCGGTACCGCCACACTCACTTCGCCGAAACTATTCAAGACGCGCACGCGAAATTTCCTTCTTCATATCAAAACTGTATCGGATCCATCCAAGGAGGGGCAGAGTAAAACGAGAGGTTTGTAAGACCCAAAATATGTAAAAAATAAGAAAAGTTTTATTACTTACCCTTGCATATTGTTGCAAACTTTATCCTCACCCTCTTATCTACGCAAGCTAATATTTCCTGCTCGATCTCAGCCAACCGAATTGTTTCCAAGTTTTCTGTAATATAACTGCCCCTAGCAATTTAAGTTGTAACAAAATCCGTGTAGAAATGCCAATTCAATAGGATATTGTTGATGTCGGATCAAACGAAAATATTCTGCAAACTCAGTGTTAATCAGTCGTCCTGTTTAAGTAACCTTCTTCCAGTTTAGTTTGAACTGATTTAAATACATGCAGGGGTATATAATCATCGGTGCACCGAAGATACTTTGCTGATTGTTGTCTTTTGGATATGGCTACGCTTATTACTCACCCAACAATTGCAGTTTTTTCTGCGCGACACAAGAGTCCGCATCAAGTTGAAGATTGTGTTAATCGTACGCGAAGCAGTAAAATAAATGCCCCGCTGTCGAATGTAAATCAAGCACATGTGAAAACGGGAAAAATGAAATTAATTTCAGTTTTGAGCGCTCCGCTTTTCAACAAATATGTGAACAATTTAGATCTACCACATGTTCAAACAATCATCGTACCCAAGCATTCGATGAGGTCTCGGCCAATCGCAGCTGGTCCTTTTGTTCGTCGCAACACCGGGCAACTAATAGGTAGTGCCCATCCTAGCTGCTCCTAGTACTGCTTCCCTTTTAATAATCCCTTCGAATGATAACATTTACTCATTTGCTGCAGGTTGCGATTGGCTACACGAGATATCGATAAGTGTTCGGGCTGTTAAGGCACAAAATCGTATAAGCAATGGGCGCATTCAGCGCATTGCTATGCTTGATAGCAATGGACTATTGGATCAGCTCTTCCGTATAGTGAACGATTCTGACTCAACGCCGCTGATTAAAAATTTGGCGCTCGATGTACTCAACTGGATTTGTTTCATTCGGCTAAATCGCTTTCGTTCGCCGAAATCTGAACGTCTTAAGGACCAGATTAACAAGCAAACTGCAGGCAATATTAATGATTTGCTGGCGCAGCAGTTTGAATGCATTAACTTGTCAGAGAAGCACATCGAAAAACTGATTCGTAACTGCATTCTCTATAGTGAGCGCACCACAGCACACAAGTGTGTCAAGTTGTTGATCATGCTGACAGAGTAAGTAATACAATAGTCTATGTATAAATTATATTACATTCTAACCGTATTTTGTTGGTTAATTTTAGGGGCATGGCTAATCTGCCCCGTGAACTGCAGAAACATGCATCATTAGATATCAGCATCAAGACAGCCATATCAAATACGTTCCATGAGCTGCCGCAGGCTCAGTGCGCCAGCGTAGTGCGCTGGTATGCGATGCTTACCTGCGCTACATCTACTGCTGAGTCACACAACAGCATTTCAGAATATGCTATCAATCTGCTTAAAGATATAACCAACGAAATTGATAAACGATGGGATCCGCATTGTGCGTTGCTGAGTACGCGTTTCGGACTCTATGGCTATCCTTTTGAACCAGAAATTTTTGACTTTGATTTTCCCAACATAAACAGACACGGGTCTAGTTCATCTGTTGCACTTACAAATGTGATACGCAGCAGTGCCACCATTTTGCCAGTAACAGGACTCGATATCAAGCGTTTGAGTTCGATTGGTGGGTGTAAGGCCGTGAGTTGAGGATAGGTAAATGCAATAATAAATCCCTAATTACAGATGGTGTTGATTTTCGAACCTTTCCACATCTAATACGTGGAAAGAGTATTAGTAATCAGTTGCGTGGTCTGTTGGAAGTAGTGCAGCTGCACTTTAATTGTGTACAAACCTCAGAGGCAACACGTATTGATAATATTGACAGCGTAGTCAACGGTGCTGCCAGTGTGGTCATTGAGGATGTAATGATGATGCCAAAGATGGTTGCAACCAAAGGGAAGGATGAAGAATTGGTAAATGACACAGCTCACTGTGTTTGTATAGGGATAACAAAATATTAAAATATCTTGTATATTATTTTAAAAATCTGTGTTATAGCTAAATGATCTGGTCAATGATGTAGAGTGTCTGGTAGAAGAGATGAAAGACAAGGAAGTTAAAACCGCTTTTGGATCTTTTGGCATGGTGAATGGTTTCAAGGATAAAGCTTGTAAGTGTTTTTTGTTAGATATAATTTGATTTGTGTTGACGTTTATCTTATTTATTTCTAGCTGTCTCGTCGCTCACTGATCTGGAACATGCTCTAAAAGAGGAGGTAAAAATCGAGAAGGCCATTGATAAGCTGAAGATATCTAAGTTTTTGCCACAGCTCACACTTTGGAACAGCTATATTCAAAAGAAGTTCGGAATAAATGAAGAAAACTCGTACGACGCCTATGGAGAGCTAGATAACTGGGAAAAGCCGCTAATGAAGTCTTGCCTCGATGCGCTGCCCGAAGAGGTTTCGCTTTCGCAGACGTCCGAGCAGTCGCAACCCACGTCACAACCGGGCGTCAATGACAATACACAGAACATGTCGGATGATGCCGTGGAGAGAGAGAAGATTTTGGAAAACTTGATAGCCAATCCTTGTCCGCCAATTGCTTGGCATAAGCTGCTAACGCCACCTCCCAAGCTTATGATTGTTGTTGACCGCATGCATTCGGGAGCCCGCCGATTTGTTGTACTGGATTTTGGCCAGCACATTTTACTTACCGATGTGGTGATACCCGCCTGCGACGAGCTTACGTCTCTAAATATTGACATTTGGTGCTTCGACGAGGAAACGGATTCCACGCGTCTTGCCCAGGTCACGGACATACAGACAAAAACACTGGTTCTAAGTGATATGCAGCCACCACCAATTTGTCGCTACTTAAAGCTTACTATCGTTGGACGTATTGGAATGTCATCCACCAAGTGTAAGGTACCGCTGGGCAGTTTCTTTGGCCATCCAATTGTATTGGAACACGATGGTTATGGGGATCAGCTGGTGCGTTTTGTTAAACAGCCGGCCCAATCCCTTCAGACGCATCTGAAGTCCCTTAATGCACTTTACGAGGATGTTCATTGCCGTTATAGCTTAGCCAGTTGCAAGTTAATGGAACTGTTATCGCCTATGCGAAATAGCGAGCTATCTAATGTAGCCCATTTACAAGCTTTTATCAACAAGCAACGTGATGAAGAACTCAGTTGTGGTATGGATAATAACAACAAAGTTGTTTCTCTATACGAAGAGTGCATGCTGCTTCAATACCAAATCAACGTTATACGAAATGTGGTCCTACGTTTGGAGCGCGCAATATCACCAAAGTCGCAGCGTGTACCTGCACCACCGAGCCCTGCACTCATCGAAGAGTCGTTGCGCACCGCATCGCGGGATAAACTGCGCGTATTGAGTCTTAGTCTGGTTGAGGTGCTATTGCATTTCTCAATTGAGTATGGTATTAAAAACATACTACCTGTGCATCAGCGTTTCAATGTGGTCACCGCCAAAGCATTGTTTAATTCCTTGGTCGTGTACGGAGAGGCACAATTGCAGTTAACAACATGTTCCCTATTGGTCCGCATGTGCTGTTTTCAGCCTTGGTGGGGTGACTTTTTGGCCGATACGTTTTGTAGTTTGTTCTCAGCTCAGAATTGCAAAGCGTTTCCACAAGATCGGTATGTGAACTTATACATTTGGTCAGTTTTTTGCTTTTATTTACCCGAATTTTTGCAGCATTTTCTTTCTGCTCACATATTTGGGACGTCGCAGCATTGCAATGGGCGCTTGTCGTTCCATTGTCATAGATGCTGTGCTTAAGACGCTAGTTAAGTTGCTAGCACCTATTTCGCCGCACTATAAGTTCCAATCGGAGCAGCCAAGCACTTCAGCGAGTGCAGCGGAACGCAACGCAGCTATGGGTAGCACATCTGATCTTCAACTGATTACGTGGCTTTTATTGTTCCTTTCGGTTTGTTTGGATGATAACAACGAACGCAAGGATAAATGTAAGTAAATCTGTTACTTTAAACAAGTCCATAGACTTATATTGATTTTTTCTAGCGGCAGCACGCTGGGATTTTATGAGTTGCGAAAGCGACTTTACAAAAACCAGACCCAACAATACACCAAACAGCAAGCAATTACGTTGCTTCAAAAAGCGAATCATTCAGCAGAATAAATACTCTGTACAGCCCTACACAGACTGGGGCAAGAAAATCTACATGATTCAAAATGAGGTAAAACGATAGAAACAGCACACTTCTAACAACTGCCCTAAATAATTGACAAATTCTTTAACTCTTAGCACCCCGGCATATTTATGGAACTGTCGACCAAGTCTAAGGCCAGCGGTGCTGGTAAATCAACGTCAACAGCTGGAAAAATTAATATGGTATCCAGTAGTATGTGTGCGCCTAGTACCAATGCCAGCGGTAACTCGGTTAAAGCAACTAGCACTTCTACATCATCGCCAAAACATCTAGATGGCTTGGGAGCTAGTGCTGAAGGAGATAGTAACTTTGACAAGGGGCTGAAGACGCTAAGCATGTCTAATATTAAAGTGGTCATCCGTGGGCTATTCGCTCTGCTGCTGGAGATGGATTTCGATTGCAATATGGATCAGTTTCTGCTAACGTGTAAAGTAATAGCTCGTCTTGTGGCTGCGTGTCGGCCATCAGTACGACTGTGCAAAATTGTGACAACAGCCCAGCTGGAACAGCTGATTCGCCTGGCTGTATGGAACGATCAGCAACAACCCTGGGCTGTACATGCAATTACTTGTTTGCTTCAGGTAATATTTCGTATAAAATTTAAATGCTTTTTAAACACTTCCCCAATATTATAATTATGAAAATCTAGGACCTCTTGGATGCAGACAAACAGTATAGGGATAATGATGCTACGCCCACCAATGATGGAGTTCGGTCCATTGTGACGACAGCGGTGCAGGAGACACGCGATCTTTTCAATGACTATACTTGTAAGTGAAAAAAATTCTGGCAACATTTATTTGATAAATTATATTTAAATTAAATTAAATTGTGACAAATAAGAAAGCTCTACTCAGTGCGCCAGTCTAGAAGATACCCTGAACTCTGTCCGATCTAGGCTCTTAAATATTGTCTATAGCTTGCATGTTGCTTTAAAAATGAAGAAACCCAGATTTAGGTCACCAGGACTTAAAACATCTGCTACGCAACGCGCAGCGCCTCTACCAACCCGAGTGAGAAGTTGCAGGTCTAAAGTAAAGTAGCATCTGAAATTCAAACACAATTCAATTGCAATTGCGATTCTTCGAATAGGAAACAAGTGTACGCTTTGAGTTGTTTGCCACGTGCTTCGACAGCTTGCCCAAACGTTTTGTTTAATTACTTCTGCATAAGTCAATGAATTTCAATGAAATTTTCAGCAAATGATCTTCATATTCTCTTGAAATATTTGTCAGCTTGATTTTCCAGTTGTAAAAGCTACATTCATTAAATTATCATTAGAAATATCATCGCACATATAATTTCTTATTTTATTTGACAATATGTATTGGTTGTTTTTCAAACCTAAATCTTTACAGCTGTCAAATACAATTACCTACCCTCTCTGATCGAGTGCGAGGACACCGAGTTTGACGAAATGCTTAACGATATCGATATGATAGAACGCACAAAGCCGATTACTAAGAAGGAAAGTAATGCACTCTGCAAGAACACGTTTAGCTTCTTTTGCAAGTCCATATCCATTGCGATGGATAGCCGTTTAGATGCTGGTTTGGAATTGCATGTGGAAACCCAGTTGCGTCGTCTAACCAATCGCACATCTCTCGATCTGTACTCTTCGCTGCCGCAAGTACTGACCAATGAGTTTGTGTCCGCCCCGCCGGATGCTGCGCCCTGGCCCGAATATCTTACGCAGCTATGGTCTGGGCCAGATTACAGTGGTCGCAATACATACATCATGCTGAAAAATGTTTTCGATTCTATACTGGCCGATTTGCATTATGAGGATACGTGGGTGCATCTGGAACAAGTGTTGCAAATGTGGCTGACACTTAATTGTGAACTAGCTGACAAACCCTACACCTCAGGCATCACCCAAACAGATATACCAAAAATTCCATTTGGCGCCAATGCTGTGCAAGGCCTTCTACTGGCTCTTGCTTGGCACAATGATATTAAGCTACGGACTTGGTGCTTGGGTTTTCAATGCTTATTCCTTGCTTGTAATTCGTTACCCATTGGCGACGATGTTACGGATTGCACGCGCATCAATGAGGTCATTGTGAATGATGAGAACTTTGAGAAAATGCTACTGCGATTCTTTTCCGGATACGGCATGAGTTCCTCTATAATTACGAATCGCTGTGTAAGTAAACCGCTAGCCGCTCAAAACCAGATCCAATATTTAAATATGTTTCCTAATATGAATTTTTGTCAGGCCGGTCCAACCATCTGTAAGCATTTGCACGAGCTGCTGTTATGGCTTCACAGTAAGAACGAAAGCAGTGGCGGGCTCATTCCATGTAAGCGTCGGCTTAAAGACATTTTGCTACATGTCGTGTTGCAATTAGTGCAGCCCGGCGGCGCTATTAGCAACCAACAAGGCCCCATCGATGCACAAAATCAGCTGGTCCGTGATTTGCTTTTAATGCCGAATGACAAAGGCGATTTGAATATTGCGCTTAAGATTATCGAAAGTGTTTGTAAGTACCGCAACCGACAACAGCCTCACATTATAGTTTTAAACCTTTGGTTTTTTTTAGCCTTTCTAGTCTACAACAACATTTCCAATGGTGAGAAGCTACAATGCCAACGTGGCAACGAGAACAGTAATGCTGGCAATAACTTCAGCAATTTGTTTGCTAATGTGTTGGGTTCCGAGAATCCAAGTAAACAAAATGCCAACATCTGCGACAACTCGTTAATTATAAACCTTCTTAAATTGTCCTCGCACATGGCTCTCACAGAGATGCCCAGGCAGCCTAGTGTATGTTAATCTAGCGAGTAAAAAACATTGTTTATAATGGCTTTATGTACTATAGGAGGTAACTATACCTGAAGAAGAGGAGTTGTCCAATCAAAGCCAAACGGATGAAACCAAAGCAGAGCAGTTGAACACAGAGGGACATCGCAGCAAGGTGCCGTGTATAGCTGATTGGGGTGCGTAAAATAGAAATAAATATAGATATTGGATATATATTTTATAATAATAATACTATTTATTGTAGTGCTACGCCAGTTTCCCACGATGAAGCGATTGTTTGGGGCACTCTCTCAGTGCTCAACAAACACATTTACAATGATGTCTTCAAGCTGCCTATTTTCGCTCAAAACGAACATGGTACTTGATGAGCCACAAACTATTGCAGATGCCGTATTTAGTTTGATGATCACTTTAAGCGAGAGGGCCTCAAATCCACGTCTGGTTGTAGCTCCGATATGTCAATATCTCGAGGAGAGTAAGTTTTAATTTTTGCTTTGTTCAAAGCTTATATTGAGCTTGTTTTTAATGCGTAGCCACCATACAACGCAATGCCACATTGCCACGTCTTCAGCTATCGGAACCCTTCCTTTGGTATATATCGAAAGTGTTGGAAGTAACAGCGGCTGTGCAAATTTTCACTCAACTTGGCGGCATTCAAATAATTTGCCATAATTTGGTGCGGCTCAACAAGACTATTATTAATATGCAACCGGGACTGGTAAGTGGCTGAATCTTTTTTGTCTGTAATAAACTACTTCGCGTACTTCGGTACAAGCTATGCGTAAGCTAATAGATGTATTTGCGTGACTAATTTTTTGCTAATAATAGACAAACAAAATATACAATATATTTTTAATTTTTGTTGTTTAAATTTCATTACCAGATCTCAATGATTATGCAACATATGACACGTAATACTCGGCTCAAGCTTAATAGTCATGTGAGCAATGCTAACGCCTGTAAAAAAACAACTTCAAGCGCAGGCGCGCAAACTACGACAACAGCAACACAGTCCACCAGGAACGGCAGCGCCCAGTACGATGGACTCATCAACTTCGCACCTTTCTCACATATAGTATCGGAAAATGATGCGGCTCAAAGTGCCGAAATGCTTATATCAAATCCTAATGCCACACATAGACGACCACGCTCACCTGCCTGGAGCTATATGTTCTATCCAAATGAGACGCATGTTGATTTAACGATAACTCTGCCCACGGCCATTTTGCTCAAGGAGGTGCAATTGGTGCCGCATACCTCTAGTCTAGCTTCCTGCCCGTCCGCAGTAGCTTTGGAATTGTCTCGTGATTATGGCGTTGGTTCTATTCCCGTTGGCGCGCCAATGGCCACTACTGGACTTACGTGCATACGTCTTAAGCTTGCCAAAGCTGAAGTGGCTACCAGTATCGTACTAAGGCTTTATAAGTAGGCAATCCTTCTTGACATTAATTTTACAATAGCTGTGATAACAATCATATCTTATTTTAGGCCTAAAGATTGTGGCAATGTTGGACTTGTGCAGATAGCTGTACTGGGTCAGACGATATTTGGCAATCGGATGCAAGGATTACGCAGCCAAGGTGCTTTTGGTGAATCATTTATGGCCTCCTCTGCAGCAATGAGTTCGGCCGCATTGTCTGCAATGGATGTCGATGCAATGCCGGAGGATGATGCGTTTGCTAAGACAAGCATCGGTTGGGTACGAATTTTATCTCGATGTTTTCACGTTGCTGCTTTGCAACCAGATAGCAAGCTGTCAGATTTAATTGCCTCGTATCCGGCTGCATACCCCGGATTTTTGGAGGCCTGTTGCTCTCTCTTAAATATCATGCCAATGATACCAAGCTTTGCCCAACAACATCTAGAAACCATTTTGATTAAGCTGGGTGCCTACAACAACGAGCTTAGTTTGCAGCTTTTGCGGACATTGCTTTGGCATACCACACCACAGGGTAATTTGCAATATAGTTGTAATACATAGTACTGTAATAATGTTTGGAAAATTGTTTTTGCAGTGTTCAAGCTCTCCAGCGATGCTGTGTGTGATCTCATTTTCCAAGTTGTCACAGGCTCTACAGAGTATATGCTGGATAAGCTACGGGTTCTACTTGATTGGATTATGCAACTGCGTGATACTTACAGTAAGCAAGCACGCTGTAATAATCCGCAAAGTGGATTTGTCAAGGTAATTGCCTCAATCTTGTGGCAAGTTCACCGCCAACAACAGGTGTCCGATCTGTCGCAACTTATTACACCGCCACTGTTTGAGACCTGTTACCAGTGGATATCTGAATTGGAGCATGATGAGCCATTGAAGAGCAGCTTTGATGCGCTCATGTGTGCGCTGTGCTACATAAAGCCCGAGCTATTTAACCAGCTGCTGGTTAAGTTAGGTGTGAAGCTGGAGCAGCAGACGCGTGGCAAAACGGACGATAGCAAGGTGCAAAGCGGCTGTGCTTGGTTCCGACGGGAGGGAAGTGAAAATCTGACAACGTTGCTCCAATATCCAGCTTTTCTGAAGACACTCGCATTGGCTTGCCAGTCACCCGTGGCCGTTTATCAGATGCTGGACTCGGGTCTGCCCAAGTTACTTGCGCATGCCATTTACGAATACTGCACTCACATGATACCAACAACAGAGGTGCAACCTGTAGAGCTAACGGCCAAAGCCTCTTGTAGCAATCAAGCAGCTGCTGGTGGAGATTCTTCGCTCACGGATTTTGATAAGGCGGAAGCGAATTTCGGAATTGGCACAGCGCCGCTGCTTAGCTGCGCTAATGTCCCTAAAGTTCTGGACTTCTTCTCAGAGTGCTGTGCAGAGGGCCCCATGCGTGACTGGCTGGGAACTTTGCAAGGTTCCTTGTTTTGGAAGCCGTTGTTACAGCTGCTTTGCAACACACACTTGGCACAGTTCAGCAAAACATTGCCCATGCAACAGACGTTTATTCGGCTTGAACGGGCAACGATCAATTTCTTTACACGTGTCAGTGCATGTCATCCAGCTAATCAGGAAGTGCTTACCTCGTTGCTTATTGGCGCCATTATCTGCAAGCCATTACGCTCTGCTGGTGGCAGTCGTCCAACTATTTCTGGATTCACACGGCAACTGGTACTACAGCTGCTACTTGAGAACGAGCACATCACAGTTTCTGTGCGCAGCCAACAGCCATTACAGCGCCGGGATACTTTGTCAGCCATAATGGGCGGTAGTTCTACCGGAGGTCCCAGTAACAGTTTACCTATTGCGGCGGTCAATCATCATCCGGCGAAGCGAAGCAGCGCTCATCAAATGCTATTTAATGTAACCACGAACACCACCTGCCAGGAAATCATGCAGAATTGTGTTAGTGGTAAGTAGTTGTACTGGCTTAATTACAATGAATTATTATTTTGAATTGCCCACTCGTTTTCATGATTTTCATACAAAATCATCCGATTTGCTGTGGGCAATTAAAATTACAATAAGCTAAAAAAAATTAGATTGGTGTACTTTCAAATTTATTATACCCTGATCCCATTAAAAATGGGAAATCAGGGTATAATGGTTTTGTGCAAATGTATGTAACAGGCAGAAGGAGGCGTGGCAGACCCCATAAAGTATATATATTCTTGATCAGGACGACAAGCCGAGTCGATTGAGCCCTGTCCGTCTGTCTGTCCGTCCGTCTGTCCGTCTGTCCGTCTGTCCGTCTGTCCGTCTGTCCGTATGTGTGAACGCGTGGATCTCAGCATCTATAAGAGCTAGAGACTTGAAATTTTTTTTGTAGGTCCGTGTATAGCACGCGCAGGTCAAGTTTGTTTCAAATATTCGATAACTATTCGCATTTAATTGTTATCGAATAAAAACATTATTGAAATGCAGTAAATAAATTATATCTCGAAAGTCTTAAGAGCTAGAGCCTCCAAATTTTGTATTTAGTCTTATGTATATTTTATGCAATTTTGATTTTTGTTGGATTTTGGATACCGGCTCCAAATTCCCCCAAATTCTTAGAATTTAAGTTTAGTTGGAGCTAGGGCCATTATGTGAAGGCGTTTGCATCTCAACCAAGCCAATAGGATATGTAGATCATATGCTGAAAGTTTCATTAAAATCCATTAAGTAAAACAGAAGTTATTAAACAAAACGTTTGGCCAATTTGCAAAAGCACATGTCAGCAGCGCCACGCGCACGCATTTTTCCTATGCGTGTGCACACATACATTCAAATGCGTGCATTCTTTTCTATTCCAAGAATTGAAATTGCGATTGAATTGTGCTGAATTATTAGCTGCTACTTATGTTCAAATTTGCAACAACTCGCGAAAGAAGGGCAGTGGCTGCGTTGGTATAGGCGCCGCTCGTATGCAGCTTGGTCCGGGTTCGAGACCAGAGGAGATGAAATGTTTTTTATTGTTTTATTTTTTTTTTTTAGTTATGAAGTGGCGGTGTTGGTAGAGTTTGTGCACGTTGCGCAAATAATCCGGGTTCGAATCCTGGTCTCGCAATGTCGATTTTTATTTGTTTTCTTTTTTTTTTAATTCTCGATACAAACTACGGAAAATATTACAAAACTCAAAGGACTAGGATCAGGGTATCTCCTAGTCGGGCACCCCGAGTAGAGCTTTCTTACTTGTTTTTTTATTCTACTATTATATTCTAAAAATTATTTTGTAAGTCGTGATTCTTGTAAAAATACTGGAATTTTTCCTGCATTTTTTCTTTTTCTTTAAATTAATTTTCAATTTTTGTTTCTTAATTTCGTTTTTGATGCCGTAGTTTATAGTAACTTAGTGTATCAACAACCAACAGATCAGCGCACTGGAGGTGATGCTTCGGGTGGTATTCCGTCTGCCAAGTCAAGCGAAACAAAGCTCGACAAATCATGCTTCATTAACTTCAACAACATGGAGGCAGGTAGCATGGAGTTTTTAACAGTTGGCGCTGCGGTGGCTGCTAAGGACAAGCGCATTAAGGATGCCAAGAACCAGGCAGCAGTAAATAAGGACAAGGAGACGCAGACAACAGCCATGCAACTGCTACCTATTAGTAAGTTAAATTTCACAGTTCACATTCACCTCAGCTAATCAAATATACTTTTTTGCAGATACCTTTAATATTGAGGAATTTCTATTGCAAGCTGCACATGCTGGCACTGGTAGCCAGTTGGTGGTAGCAGAGTACCCAGATATAGTGCTGGCTGGTGATGCCACTATCTCACAGGTGTTAGCCACATTGCAGGATGCTGGGCACTCATTATCCGCACCCTGCCTTTCGCTGGATTTGGTATTGCAGCACTCTGTGGGCGATGAAGCTGCCGAATTTAAGAAAGTTAAGGCTGTTTGCACAGAACCTTTGCCATCTCCGTTGCAGCGATTCTCTAGCAGTGGTGGTTTATCTCTGTTAGCACACTATTTGCCAACTGTCTATCCTGAGCACATGGGCCGTAAGGCTACTGCGGTAGCGACTGAGAAGGAGAAGAGTCCACCACTATCCGATTGGGTTAAGCTCGAACCCAATGATGAGATTTACGAAGATCTGGAAGATACCATATGTGAACCGGCTACCAAACAAATTACTGTTAGTTCGGTGCCCCAACATTCGTTAGCCGCTTTTGGCTTGTTTCTACGGTTGCCTGCCTACTCTGACGTCTTGCTAAGGGATAAACAGCGTGCGCAGTGCCTGCTGAGACTCGTACTAGGTGTCACCGGCGACGGCGATGGCAGTAAGTGCAGCTTCATGTGCAGAATTTAATATTTACTAAAATTTTCTGCTTGTTTCACAGACGACATTTACAGCCTGTCGCTGGCACCTTCGTTACCAACGTTACCATTTGAGGTTTTCCGCCAGCTGCTTGATAGTGTGTCGCTATCTACGGACGACGGCGTACTTTTGCGGCGCGTTGTCATTGAAGTGGGGGCCATGCATCTTGTGCTTAATTGTCTTGGCATATTTTCGCATCAGTCTCATAACAACAAAATAGGTGCATTAATAAGTGAACCCTGCACAAGCGGAAATAGTAATGGCAATGGCAACGGCAGCGGTGCTGCAACTAAAAACAGTACAGCAGAAGAACCCATTCCTAGTGCGGCATCAGATGATAAAAGCCACATATACTGGGCTAAAGGCACTGGCTTTGGCACAGGTTCTACGACGCAGTCATGGAACGTAGAACAGGCGCTGATGCGTCAGAAAAGTGAGGAGGAGCACGTAACGGTGCTCTTGCTGGTACTATCAAGTTATATCAATCCCGGTGATTGTATACCCAGCGAAATGCGTGGAGAGGATATACTTGCTTATCACGATGTACGCGATGTAACTGGGGAACTGCCACCCATATTCCAGACTCTTCTACAGCAGTCGTGTCTCATACCAGCGCTAAGCTCTTACCTGCGTAACGACTCAGTTTTAGATATAACAAGACACATTCCTCTCTATCGTGCCATTTTGAAGCTGTTGCGAGCACTTTCTCTGTCGAAGAATTTAGTTTCGTTGCTGCAGCCGAGTGTCAGCGGAGAGTGTACCCCACCAATTTCGGAGCTTCTAAAGAACATGAAGACCTGCGTTGATACGTATGCCAAACGGCTCAAGTGAGACTAGAATAGCTACATAACAACTCCAATTATATAACATTTATTTTCATTTTTACAGAGTCAACAAAAAGTCAAACATTAAAGGTCAAACGCATCAGCTGACCTTCAATATTGATGATGGCGACGACGAGGGTCTCGCACTGCTTATACCGGATATACATGAGACTTGTGTGCTGGTGCAAAAGACGACTGATGCAGATGCACTGATTAACATGTTGAATACGCATGAGGATGGCATGGGCTCATTGGAGAGGCCGATCAGCAAGTCAGTTGAACAGCGTTATCTGGAGCTGATGAAAAAACGTCAGTTCGATACATACGATATGATTGTGGAATCGGACAACAACAGCTTTCGATTTGTGGTATCGCATCATTTTGAAAAAATGGTGCGTTTAGCCGGAGATCGATACCATCCCTCACGTGTCAAACGATTGGCACAAGAAGCGGTTACGCTCTCCACCAGTCTGCCGCTGAGTTTCAGTAGCTCTGTATTTGTGCGCTGTGATACGGACAGATTGGACATAATGAAGGTGGGGATATATATATAATATATATATAAATCTTATTCATATATAAGATAGATATAAGATGTTTGTAAGATATTAAGTTACTAAATGATTGATTACTAGGTGCTTATAACTGGCCCAGCGGACACGCCTTATGCCAATGGTTGTTTCGAGTTTGATGTATTCTTTCCACCGGATTATCCCAACTTGCCCATGCTTATCAATCTAGAGACCACGGGTCGTCATTCGGTGCGTTTCAATCCCAATTTGTACAATGATGGCAAAGTGTGTCTGTCAGTGCTAAACACCTGGCACGGACGACCTGAGGAGAAATGGAATGCGCAAACGTCCAGTTTTCTGCAGGTTCTAGTTTCCATACAGTCTCTAATACTCGTGCCTGAGCCATACTTTAATGAGCCGGGATTTGAGCGCAGTCGGGGTACACCTAGCGGCACCAACTCATCGCGCGAGTATAATAGCAACATCTATCAGGCGTGCGTGCGTTGGGCAATGTTGGAGCAAATACGCAACCCGAATCCATGCTTCACAGATGTAAGATTTATTTCTTTATATCACCCAATTATTATTTTTTAATATCACCCTATAAAACCCTATTTTTAGGTGATTCACAAACACTTTTGGCTCAAGCGCGAGGAGATTTGCACACAGATAGAGGGTTGGATAGAAGAGCTAAGTAAGCCACAGTATACCGAGCGCGCTAGTCGCACTATATCGTTTAACTCGATGGTGTTGCGTCGGCAATATCGGCATCTCCGAGAAGAACTAGCCAAGCTGAAGCCTCCGCGGGGTCTGGAAGATTTGGATGCACCCTTTAATCCGGTAGCTACTTTGCCACCTATGGATGTGTCTACAACAACGTCAGCTAGTACAACGACAAATGCACAGGTTGACAACGAAGACTCACTGGTGCCAGAGTTAAATCTAATGGTTGACAACGGGGACAGCGATATGTCTATGCCAGCTGATTTCTTCAAGGACATGAAGGAAGAAGGGTTGCTGACTGGCGAAGAGGAGGTGGTCGAAATTCTAAGTGATACGGAGAATGAGAGCAGCGTGTGGCAAGATAAAGAGGAGGACACACCATGAATTGGTCCTTAATGCCGCTTGCTAGTGCGCACTAGACAGTTTTATTTATCGTTATAAGTTTTGTTTAATGCTCTTTTGTTTTGTTTAATTTTTGTAAGAGAGACTGCAACTGCAACAGAACTTGGTGTGCTTTACATAAAGAAAACTTAATTATTAATGTTATCGATGGAGATCCCTTTGAAAAATTAGTTAAAAATATATAAATACATATTAATCAAAGTTCCATATAAAAATCACCTCCACAAATGCATATTAAGAAATAAATCTTTTCACTAAACATAGCCTAACACCGTCTAAAAATCTATCGCGACTTATATAAATGTTTCATGAAATGGATCTATCGGTATATATAATGAAGTAACCATATGTGTATAGCATAAAATATCACAACTTTAACTACACCACCAAAACTAAATTAATGTGTATTAAACTATGTATGTAGTGACTTAGTTAAATATTTACAAACAAAATATGCAGAGTTACTTTTACAATTAAAATGCAACGCAAAATAAATTTTGTTTCTTCATGAATACATCTGCTTTTCATTAGTATGCGTGAATGCTAAACTTAATTAAATTTCTGAACTGCCGTTTACATATCCATTTAATATTTTAAAGCTTTATTTCAGCTATGGCTATTCAATTAAATGTTCCGGCGTTTCACCCTTGATATTTAAATTTATTTAACAGTAAATATTTTTTATTTTTAATTTAATAGAATTTCCACTTTTAAATCAACGCAGACGCGGTCGTTAAGTTTTGTTCAGTTTGTATACTATATAATCAGACCCAAGCTAATTTTAAATCACTAATTAAACTACTTTACTAATTCTTTGCTGCCTGTTTGATCTTAGCGTCTGAGAACGAAACCAACCGCACATATAAATATTTTTTTTATTTTTTTTTTAAATTAAGTGAACTTAGTACTTTATTTAAATGCTGCCATATACTTAGATAAGTTTAGGAACGTTCCATATCCGTACACATGCGAGATTTGTGATTATTTGTTTTTCCTAAAAACGTTGTTATATATCGTTTATCAAGCCCGTCGAGCCATATCTATATGGCGATCTTTTCGACACTTTTACAGGGTAGCAACGTTTTTATCTTTTACCTACTCAAATAATAAATAACTTGGATAAGAGTAAAATAAGAAGAGTAAAAAATACACACAAAACCAATTGATTGCCAATTCGTAATTCATTTTTTATTGAATCGATCAGAAAAGATCTGCTCAGAATTGTACGGATCACACTCTCTTTTATTACCGTAGCTTTTGCTCTTTAACCGTGGGAATGCTACGAATGCCCAGCAATGCGCCCTCTCTCTCTAACGCAGTACAGTTAGATTGTACAATCAATTGAGCAAATTTCGACAGCCTTTTGCTAAGATCTTCCCCAGCGCTGCCTTCTGTCGCTATTTACTGTAGCTTGTTTCTTTGCTCTTTCTTCAGTCTCTTCCGATCGGTCGACTGCAGCAGTTCACACCAATTGCAGCAGTGAGGACCACATTGTGCACAATTGTAGTAGCTCGATCGATGCTGAGCATAAAACTAACTTCGAATAATGGAGCTGAGCAATGTTGCAATTGGGGATGGGGATGGAGCTGCAGTAAGTAGTTGAATATTGACTTTCGATTTGAGTGCCTTTGTTTATATGTACATGTGCGAGCTGCTCGGTTTGGCTGTTTATGTAAGTGGTGAATTTTCAAAGCTAATTCCAATCTCTATTGCCCTCCGTTCTCATTTTTCCTCTGCTTCTATTGTGATTCTTATCATTTGTTTCTTTATTGTAAGCTTGCTTGATTGCTAATCAATCTTTCAGGATCGGTTGCATAAATACCCAATTTGGAGCAGAGCGAAGCCCATGTAACAATTGATAAAATCTTATTAGCTGTGGCCCGTAATTTGTCACATTTTTTCAGCAAACAATTTATGCTTGTGATTTATTGACTCAGCACAGTTCAGTATTTGTGAATCGTAATTTATTAGTTTATTGAAATTGAATGCAACCTAACAAGCTGAGACCCGTCCATTTATTCAACAGTTTCTGGTCTTCAACTCACACTCAATTAATCAGAATTCCAACACGAGTGTTAATAATATCTGTCTGGTCATAACACGGCGGGGATTGGGAGTTACTCATTAAAGCCCACGATCTAGCTAATTCATAATGCTAATCAATTCAGTATACTCTGAACCGATGGAAAATGGGAAGTCTGGGTATAATGGTTCTGTTAAGCTGCATGTAACAGCAGGAGGCGTGGCAGACCCCATTGATTTCCTGCTGTACATGTGGATCTCAGCACCTTTAAAGCCTTGACACTTTTAATTTATACATTTTTTGTAGATGCCTATAAAACATGCGCGTATCAAGTTTGTTTCGAATAAGCGATAACTATTCCCGATTTAAGTTATCGATTAAAGCCGTTATTGAGCTACAGCTATTAAATTATATCTCGTACGTCTTTCTGGCTAGAGTCTCCAAATACACTTTAACTTTGCACTTCACATTCTAAACAATTGTTTGTTATATTTTGCACACCAGAAACAAATTTAACACAATTGCTGAAATTACATTTCAATGTGTGAAATTGAAATATATTCTGTATAATCATTGATAATATGATGTATTTGTATTACACATTCGCTTAGTAACACGTAAGTTATTAAGCAAAACGCTTGATGCTTGATTTGGGAAAAGCACGTGGCAAAGTAATACCAAATGTAGGTTTTTTTTCCTATACCTGTGCCCACATGCGTTCATTCTATATTGAAAATTGCCAGCTGCAGTCGATTTGAATAAGCTCTTTCGATAGGTTAATAGAGAGTGGACTGTTGAAACCAAAGATCGCTCGGTGCTCAGGGAATCTCCTAGTCGGACAAGCGATTTCTTGCCAGTTTTATATAAGCTTATTGTTTTAAATTAAGCAAAAAGTGCACTCCCCTCGTTGATAGACCAGAGCCGCAGGTAACGACGCGAATTATATGTTAGTACTCAACTTTCCTGATTACCATAAGTCAATAGAAACTGATTTAATATGCTGTAGGTTTAAGTTCAATTTATAGCTGCATTAATTAACGGCAATATCTTAATACGTTTATACTTATTTGTTTCAGTTCGAAGCAGCCAAGTCAAATGATTTTAACGGTAGGCCAACGCCCGTGGGCGGTGCACCCAGTGAAAACCCAGCACCGCCACGCGTTGAAAGATCCAAGCCCCAGTTGCTGTATGCCATCAATGAGAATCCTGGTAGGTATTGGCCACTATCAATGGAGACGAGCTCCACCTCTGTAACCAATCCATTTCAGTGTGGTACCTGAGCATATTCCTCGCCTTCCAACATTATCTGACCATGATTGGCGCGATTGTATCGATACCATTTATACTCACACCGGCACTCTGCATGTCCGACGAGGATCCCAATCGCGGCATTATTATATCCACAATGATCTTTGTGACCGGCATTGTGACATACTTCCAAGCAACATGGGGCGTGCGCTTGCCCATAGTCCAGGGTGGAACAATATCCTTTCTAGTGCCGACATTGGCCATACTCGCGTTGCCTCAGTGGAAATGCCCGCCTGCAGCCGAGCTCGAGGCTATGAATGAGGACCACCGCAATGAACTCTGGCAGATACGGATGCGCGAGCTGTCCGGGGCGATTGCCGTGTCGGCAATGGTGCAGGTCATCCTGGGCTATACGGGACTAGTTGGCAAGATCTTAAAGTATGTAACGCCGCTGACCATTGTGCCAACAGTTTCCTTGGTCGGCCTAACACTCTTCGAGCACGCTGCAGAAACGGCGTCCAAGCACTGGGGCATTGCTGTGGGGTGAGTATCAGCGGGCATAGTAATCCCTGAGCTTCATTGACAACGACATATATGCTTACAGAACCACAGGCATGTTGACGCTGTTCTCGCAAATCATGTGCGATGTTTCTATTCCAATCGTTGCCTACCGAAAGGGCCACGGGTTGGAGGTGCGCAAGTTTCAGCTCTTCCGTCTGTTCCCCGTACTGCTGACCATCATTATTATGTGGGGTCTGTGCGGCATTCTAACAGCGACAGATGTTTTTCCGCCGTCGCATCCATCACGCACAGATGTACGTCTAAATGTGTTAACCAGTGCCAAGTGGTTTTACGTGCCGTATCCGGGCCAGTTCGGATGGCCTTCAGTTACGTTGTCTGGCGTGCTTGGTATGCTGGCGGGCGTGCTCGCTTGCACAGTGGAATCGTTAAGCTATTATCCCACAGTTTCCCAAATGGCCGGCGCCCAAGCACCCCCGCTGCACGCGATTAATCGGGGCATCGGCACAGAGGGTCTGGGCACGGTTTTGGCCGGTCTCTGGGGCGCTGGAAATGGCACAAACACTTTCGGCGAGAATGTGGGCGCTATAGGTGTGACCAAGGTGAGCAGCGAGCCAGACTCATCAGATAAACGAATAGTCTTTCAAGGATTGCCTTTCTTTTCAGATAGGCTCTCGACGTGTCATTCAGTGGGCCGCTTTCATAATGGTGCTGCAGGGCATTATAGGAAAATTCGGCGCGATATTTATTCTCATCCCCGACTCGGTGGTGGGAGGAATATTTTGTGTCATGTTCGGCATGATCATAGCATTCGGTCTATCCACACTGCAGTATGTGGACTTGCGCTCTGCGAGAAACCTATATATTCTCGGTCTGTCGATATTTTTCCCCATGGTCTTGTGTCCCTGGATGCAACAACATCCGGGCGCCATCAACACGGGCAATGAGACCATCGACTCCACGTTGTCTGTGCTGCTGGGCACGACTATTTTGGTGGGCGGCCTGCTTGGCTGCCTTCTGGATAATATAATTCCAGGTAAGCTAAAGTCAATTTGTATCCGAGCTCGATGACTACAGCTCCACTCTCGCAGGCACACCAGCTGAACGTGGGCTCATCGAGTGGGCCAATGAGATGCCCCTGGGAGACGACAATGTCAACGACGGCACTGCCACCGATTACAATTTTCCCTATGGCATGGATGCCATAAGGAAATGGAAATGGACCTACTATGTACCTTTCATGCCCACCTACAAGTTGAAAAAACAGAACTGAGTGATGCTGGAAAATACACTCAACGCAGGACGGCTAGATTAAAGAAAGCGCTGTACTTAAACAATTGTGTTTATACGTGATGTTTATTGATTTTGTTTAAAATTTTTATGTTTGCACTATTTGTCATGCTTTCTTACATTTTCGTACGTTCAATTTTCTAACCACTAGTTTTTAAATTCGCTTATTGTTTTCGCTACACTCGAATCTTTTGCTCTCGTTAAGTCTACACGTATCTTCTATTATTTTGCAATAACATCAATAGTTCTAGTTAACGAAAGATGGCTCCAATATAGTTTCAATACCATCGCAAACTTTCCAATTCTCAAATCATCGTTCAGTACTGTTTTGCAAAAAATTTTAGTTAAAATTATTGACAAAATTTTAACGCATTTTTCGGCGCGGGGCTCTTAATAATATCATATAAAATATTTCTAAAATATTCGTTAAAAAATTAACATTTCTCAACTGTCCCTCCCCCGTAGCTTTACCTGCTTACAAATTAAATCATCTTTATGTCTAGGGCTAAATCTAAAAACGTCGAAGGAACCAAGGCACAATTATTGAAGAATCCTATGCGACAACTATGTGTATGATTGGGCATAAAAACACCGTGGGATAACATTTTGTCTCATGCTGCTACGGTTTCTTTTAATGTCTAGTTGTTAGCTGAAACGTTACTATGTATATCTGACTAGTTAATGGGACAACTACAAGCAGAGCTCGAGGCAACCTGCACTAGATTTTAACTTTGGCTATATAAAACATATCAAAAATTAGTTATGCCTAAATTGGTGCATTCCGAATTTCTCATATCTAAGTTGTCGGGATGTCGAGGCAGCATCAATTGATCGATTTCCTAGAACCTATGCTGGTTATGATGGGCTTGTGCGGATTGCATTAACTTCTTGATGCCGCCACTGCTGGCGCGCGAGGATGAGGCCGAGGCTGACGAGGAGGCAGTTGTATTGGGCGGCGTAGCCATGGCTGTGCCATGAGCTGCCTTTTTCCGTTTTGAGTAGTAGCAGAAGATGCAGAAGCCATTCTGCGGTGTGGAACATCAAATGTTTGTAGGGCTGCGCGTAGCCGACGAGGTACGGTAACGCGATCCAGAACTGTAAAAGCAGAGTAAAGTCTAGTGCTTGCAAGAGGTATTTGCCAGATGTTTACTACTCACCGCGAAATGCTAGATGTGTAGTCCCGAACTGGAGTGCGGGCTTCTCGCCTGTGATAAGTGCCAGCTGCACTGCTGCCGCTTGTTGCTGGTTCCAGTAGCGACATGGTACGATGGTCATAGGGTCGTATCGAGCGACGTCCCAGCGTAGCATAGCCATCCAAATGACTGCTGGCGCCTGCGCTGCTGCTGGTGCCAGAGGGCAGGGTGCCGTTCAGCGTGTACGAGGAGCGACGCTTGGGATTGTATGTGTTGTAGTAGCCATTAATGCCGCCAACGGCGGTATTGCTGGGGCTAGAGCTGGAGGAGCTCTTGTAGCGCATGGGCACGGAGCTGTAGTCGTGCGACTCATAGCGTTTGCTTAGGAACGATGGCGATGTGTTGCGAATGTCGTTAAGACTCTTGCGAGGCTTGCTTGTTGCACCCGCCGATGCAGATGTTGAATAGTCCAGCGGAGAGCGATAGACTGGCGGCTTGAGCTCAGTGCCCACAGGACTCAGCTTCAATGGCCTGAAAAACTGTTGAGTAATGTCCGGGGAATGAGCGCGCGTCTCCACCTCTGGCGCATGCAGCTTTTGGCTGGAGCGCGCTTTCACTGCTGCTTGTTGCTCTCGATAATAGTCTCGAACCGCCGAAGGACCAACAATGCTGCTGGTGCGCCGCGGCTTCTGTTCATTGAAGCGACTGTAGAAGCTGCGACGCTTAATGCGATCAATTACACTCTCATTTGGATCGGAGCTCTCCGAGCAGCGTGTGGGCGATGACAGCTGCGAGGTGCGAGAGAGACGGGACACAGTCGGTGACGGTGTTGCATGCAGCATGTAATTGTCCTCGGAGCAAATGGACCAGTTGTCAAAGTACAATTCTGGCTCCTCGGTGGGCGACATGAACGTGGAAGTCGAGGCACAGTCATCCTGATAGCTTCTCGAGTCCGACGAGTAGTTGGCAATATTCTCGAACGAGGGCGTCAACAGGTTATTCCGATTGATCTCATGCGCGGAGGAGGTGCGATAGCCCGACGTCTGCGAGCTGCAGTTGTTATTGGTGTTGACCGAGTTGTTGTTGGTGGCATTATCCATTGATTGCTGACTCGAGCTGTTGTTGGAGGAGGCGCTCTTCATGGCACCCGGATACGGCGGCAAATTGGAGTAGAGACCGTTGCCATTGATCAGCGCCGGATTCGTCTTAGCGCCACGATAGCTACCACTGGTATTAGTTGTGGTTGTTGCAGTGCTTGTAGTCGGCCCCGAAGTACTGCCACTCGTCGCATTGCTCAAATCCAGCATTAGACCTTTTCGCTTCTCCTTGTTGCTTTGAGTATTGCTGCCAGTCAGCGTCGTTGTCGCTGTTACAGCTGCTGGCGCCTCTGTGCTGCCGATGGCTGCACCCTGGTTCTGTATGCAGTCTGGGCATATTGTCTCGCAGTTGCAATTCTCCTCAACAACCGGGTTTTTGGTTTTGGTCACATTCTGGTAGATGGGGGACGTCGGCAGGGATATGTCCTGTTCCTCGCGAACCTGCCGTTCAATGTTGCTGGACGAACGCGTACTCCGGACGCGTCGTTGCTCGCTGCTGTCGCGATCGAAGCGTCGCAAAAGTCCACCCAACATTTTGTTAACTGTTCCGCTCTGCTTTCCACTGCTGTTGCTGTCAGCATGCAGCTCTTCTACGCTGGCGGATCGCTTGGGACTGGCACTGCTTGCGGGCTGCGTGCGCGGAACAGAACGTTCTCGTAACGAGCGGAGCATGGTATCGAAGCGGGATCTCTTATCGACCTTCTTGTCGTCTGTAGCTGCTTCCTGTGACTTATCCGCATCATTTGATTTCTTCTTTCGCTGTATCGTAGACGAAGACTTTTCTGGAGAGCTGCGCTCTTCTGACCAGCCTTGTTTCTGTGCACAATTCAGAGCTGTGCTGGACACGCTTCCTTTCTTTTCTTTGCTCATGGCAGAGTCCCGGAGTTTCTCAAACTTCTGTCCTATGGCATAGAGCAGTCCCTTGCTGGGTTTCTTTTCAGGCGACTTCTCCTTGGACTTAATAACCGGACTGGACTCCTTGGAGCTGTTCGCTGGAGTCGTTGTTGTTGTGGTTGTGGGTGTAGATGGAGTCACTGGGGTCGGTGGCACCAGCTTAGATTTCTTGGAAACTTTTACAATTTTCTTAAGAGTCGTCGGACGTGGTTCCGTCGATGAGGATCCAGTGTCTTTTTCAGTCATTGTGCTCATTAAGCCCGTGTTTGATAGCGACTTCTCTTCCGACGTTGACTTTGAACTCGATGCTGTGGTCGTTGCTGACGGAGTCTCGGCTATACTAGGTATTGCCGCGCCGCTGCGCGTCACCTTTCTGATATCTTTGGGCATAGCCAACTTTGTGGCTGGGTAGCTCTTGGGTCGCATCAGTCGACTTTCTCTGGGTGCTGCATCAACCGACGCATCCGCTGTTGCCGTGACTATTTTACTGGGCAGTTTACTTTGCAGCGCTGCAGCTGTCGTCTGGGGCAATGGCAAATCGGTGTTACCTTTGAGACTTAGAGCCAGGTCCTTCATGGGATACGATTTAGGTCGCTTTAATTTGGTGTCCATTGGCGCGGGCTGCTCGTTGAGCTGTGCTTCCACACTGAGCAGTGGCTGCGTTGCCGCAGATTCTTCCGTCGGCTTCTTGATTACCTTCTTGACTTTTCTCACCAGCTGGTTTGTTGTCGCAGTTGTTGTTGTGATTGATTTGCCAGCCTCGGATTCATTGCTTAGCTCAATGCTCTTCTCTTTCGATTTGATTTTCTTTAACTTCTTGATGGTGGAAGTTTCTTCGGTTCGGTTACCTCTAGGTGCCTCGACGGCTGCTTGCTCGGCGGTCGAACGCTGATCGGTCTCCTTTTGAGTTCGCACTGCGGACAGTAGCTGAAGCTCCTGCAGTATTTTGTTGGCCAGGTCATGTTTATCGAGTTCTGTTTCTATTTCACGTGAGCGTGATTGGCTTCGTCTCTTCTCAGTTTGCTGTGCGATGTGCTGTGGCTCCGCTACGGAGTCAGAAAACTGTTCCATGCTCTTATTGCGCGCGTGCTGTTTTGTTGGACTTGGCTCTATTTCGGACTCCACATTGGGTAAGCTGTGCTTGCGATGGCGCAGATCCGACGCTGCTTCTAAGCGGTCACTAGACTTTTCCCGTATCTCACGGAGCACACTTTGAGAGTCGCGCTCGCGTGGCTCGTCGAAGAAGTCGGGCCGCAGAAAGCGTGAGATTCGGCGCTGCGAGGAGCGTCTACGCAAGGAGCTGCTGCCGTCAGTCACGGCCACGGCCACACTCGGAGTTTGTGGCGGTGGCGACAGGTAGCCGCTTGGTGGACGCCCCACAGCAGCGCTATAACGCTTTTCCGGTACCTCCTTGGTCAACGCTGACGTATTGCTGGACTTGCTTAGATATGGCGAGTAGTACTTATACTTGTCATTGATGTCGCTGGTGTAGCTGCTGCTGCAGAGCGAGGACTTGCCATAGTCATCTCGACAGACGCTGCTGCTGCGACTCTTGGTGGCCACCGCAGCTGTAGTCGTATCTTGGGTGGGTCCCTGGCTGGGCGCGCGACTTAGGCTGCGCCGATAGATGGCTGTGCTGGCCGACGTGGTCTTCGGTGCATCCGTTAATGGTTTGCTCATGCTATTCTCCTCGGGCTGTTCCGGTAGATAGCCACGGCCACTGCTCTGGCTTCGTTTGTACACCTTGATAGCTGGAGTGGTTGCAGCACTGCTCTGAACGCTCAGAGTGCGAGACAGTTTGCGGGCCTGCGTTGGCGGTAGCTTGGCCAGCAACTGCTCCTGGAAGCACTTGGGCAAGCCTGGCGTAATGCTCGACAGTGTTTCGAGATCTTTTTTGCTCAATCGCAAGCGCGATAGATCCAAATCGGCCAGATCCAGTGGCTCCTCGCCACTGGCATCCGCAGTCGTTGTACTCAAAGTCTCCTTTCCATTTTCCGCACTTCCTGGCGCTGTTTTGGGCTTGCTGGAACTGCTCTTGGAGTGATGCCCTGTGAATGGTAGAGGTAAGGGAATGGATTAAGTCTCGAGCATGGTCCGTAGACTCACGGGCGTAGAGGGAGCGGGCGCTAAATGCTGCTGGGCCAGTTTGCAAGCTCACTTACCTGGCTTCAATGCATACCATTCAAGCATCTTACGTTACTTAGTACCTGTACTCCGCGACGCTGCCCAGACGCACCTGTAAACATTTTGTATGTTTGCAACCAAAAGAACTTTGCACACTGGATCGATCTAGAGTAACATAGCGGGGTTAGCTTGTTAAAGCAATTGGAATTAAGAAAGTATCAAAAACAGTAACAACAATAAAAACATACATCAATTCGTGCCAATCAACAATGATTAGCTCACGTGCAGGAGGACATAAAAAATAACAATTTTTGGGCTTTATTTTATTTGTTTTCGTTTCAGATTTATGTATTTAGCAATTCAACAAGTTTAATGACTTTTGTTTTGTTTTTTGTATTTAGTATTTAAATGTATTTATGTACGATAATTTATGTATGTAAGTGTGTGTGTGTGCGTGTGTGTATGAATATAAAAATATTGCTTATTTGTAATGCTTGCTGCAGCATTTGCGCTAGAGAAATTCCTGCTCGAGTGGCAGATTTTGCGTTAGTTAGCAGATTTTGCGGAATATCTTAAGTCAAACTCAAACTGAGCAATTACATAAATAATTAAAGCTGTTTACAAATAATTTAAAATCACAATTTGTGCCAAAATCTATAACAACGTGTTTCCTCCTCGCATAGACAGTCGTCGGAGCTTGAAATGTTTTTAAATTTGTTTTTAATTCTAACAAAACAAAAAAAAGTTAGTTTGCTTTCAGCGTTTAGTTAACAGCATTTGGTACGTTCACTGCAATATGAACGTTAAATGTGCGGCTTATTAGATGCGTTGTCAAAACCAATTACAGGTGAATGTAAATCAACAATAAGCAACTATGTAAAATCCAATTTGAAAACAAAAATATTATTTAATTGTGCTAATGGCTGCGACGCAAAACACTAGACACTGAACACCAAACAGCTTCCAGCAACAGCATCAGCATTAGCATTGGCATCGACATCAGCATCAGCAGCATCCGCAGCATCAGGATCAGCGTCAGGGATTGCAACAGATTTAGTGTTATGGCTTCTTGAGGTTTCTTGTGGTTGTGATTGTGGCTGTGGTGGTTGTGCTGATGGTTTTTGCCGTCTTGGGTGCTTGTGCGGCTGTTGTCGTTTGTTTGTTCTGCTGCTCCTGGCTGATGGTTAAATGCGGCGCTGTGGCGATGGCGACTTTAGTTGACGTTCTTGTGGCCGTGGCAACAATGGCGGGCTGCAGTTGCAGTTGCGTGTTGGTTTTGCTTTTGCTTGTTGTTGTTGTTGTTGTGGATTTTGTATTGAACGGGCTGTTGTTAATAGTTATAACATGCTTTGTGGGCGTGGTAGTAGTTAAAGATAAACCAACTGTAAACGAAATAAGCACGAATTGTGTAAAACGGCCAACAAATTGCGTATAATCAAATAATTAGTTAGCTAATCAAATATATATTGCTCTAAATAAGTAAGCCAACAAAGTGGGGCCTAGTTAGGTATGAGAATGAAACAACAGTGAGCAGTGCAGTGCAGTAAGATTCGAAATATAAAGAAATAAAGTAGTACAAGAGAGAAAGAGAGGGGTAGAGAGAAAGAGACAGAGAGAGAGAGAGAGAGAGAGAGCAGCTCAAGGTTTGTGTTGTTTGCTGATGATAAAAAATATGTTTGCGCTTCAGAGAATGACAACAATTAGTAGCTGAATATTATTATTGTACATTATCGTATTCAAAGTTTTGGACATTTTTGTTTTAGTTTCGCTTAACTTTGCTAAAATTGTTTGAAACAGCGTTTTCCGTTTATTGATGGATAAAATGCACAGATTTGTTTTTTGTTTGTTTGTTTACATTATTTCAACTGCTATAAACAAATTCGTATTAAAGACAATTTTATTTCTTGATTAAAAATAGCCCAGAACTCAGAAAGTTGTTTTTGGTTTCGATTTGAACTTGTGTTTAGATTTGAAAGTTTCGTTTGGTGTTTGTGCCAAGTTAGTTATTGTTGTTGTTGCGGTTGTGGTTGTGGTTGTGGTTGATCAGCTTTAACACAGCATTAAACAGCGTGGACAAAATTAACTACATCGATAAGCTTCAATTGCATGTGTGTGCTTGTGTGTATGTATGCGTGTGTGTGTGCTTAGTGGTGTTATAAATTAATATGTCGTACAACACAAAATTTGGTTTAATTATTATTCAACTAAAACATAAACAAGAACTTTGGAACTCAAACAACTTGCTTGGTTAGCGAATTTCCTTTTTAATTGAGTTTTTTGTGATTGTTCTTTATGGTAAAAAACGAGAGAGGTATATTTATATATATATATGTAGAACTAAAACAAATTTAAGGTAGCGGGGCCATTTGCAAACTGTACAACAATAATTAAAGTATTATGTATGTATATGTAGATATTTATTAAACAAAATTCTTTTGGTTGTCAAACAATTTGTAATTGGAAATAAAAGAGCCATGGTTTATTTTATTTTTTTTTCATCTGTATTTTTTCTTTTTTTTTTGTTTTGTTTCTTTCTAGATTTCTAAAACAAATGTGGATCGCTTTATTGTCATCAAAATTGTTCTCACTGTAAAATGTAATAAAATTAATTGTGGGTTAAATTTGTTCATTTTTGGATTGTTGTTAAGATTAAGTACATCCTTCTTTTCTTTTGTTTTTAACAATTTAATAATATTATTATTTTTCCTCTTTGTTTATTCTTTCTTTTTTTAACAATTTTTAATAACATACGAGTCAAAGTAAATTAATTGAAATTTCGTGTGGTTTTTGTCAACTTCTCCTGCTCCTAATTTATTTGTGCATAATTTGTCGTTGCTGTAAAACATATAAATATATATACATATACATATATACATATATATATATATGTATAAGCATGTATATGTGTGTGCAAACTTGTTCTTTGTTGAGCATTTTGTTTTGTTGGCCAAGCTATAAACGTTCTATACAAATAACTATTTTGTTGCGCAGATATTCAAAACTTTGAATACGATTTCATATTTCATGTTTCATTTTTCATACTTCACAATTCATGTTTCATTTGACCTTTGACATTTTTTCTATCATCATTGCATAACATTTTAATACTTAATAAAATAAAAAGAAAACCTTGTTAAGCAAATAATGAAAAGAACTCAAATTAAATAAATTAAATAGATAAATAAATAAATAATTAACTGTGCAAACATTACGAAGAGAACAATAAGAGGCACATTTAATTGAGTCGGTTGGGTTCGTTGGGCTACTAGAGCTTAAACATGTCTCTGATGAGAGGTATATAGCAATATATATATATACATATATGTAAACACACATATATATATTTATATATTATGTATGTATTCTTGTAAATTGTAAAGCGGCAGCAGCATTATAGGTTAATAACAAACGTTATTGTGCTCTAGGACAGGTAGCAATAGATCGATAGATATATATATTTATAGATAGATAAATAGAATAGATAAACATAGATAGATAGATAGATAGATAGATAGATATATAGATAGAGTACTACTTTCGATATAGTTTCACATCTTATTTTGATGGATATGCTATTAAATGGATGTGCGCACACACAAAATATAATAATAAAATAATAAATAAAAAAGTCAATCAGAAGAGAACAGAAAAGGATTTGTCAAAGTATTAATTGGCATTTTCATTTGATAATTACAGTAGACACTTAATTAATTGCTTAATTTGTTTGTTTGTTTTTTTGTTGGTTTTTAGGGTTGTTTTTTTCAGGCTGCACAAACTTGTTTAGACTAAATAAGTATATATAGTAGTAGTACTTGATTTGATTTGTTTTGTTTCTGTTTTTGTTGTTTCTATTTATGTTTTGTTTTGTTGTTTTTTTAGCATACATCAACAACTACTAGAATGGTGTATACAAGTATATATCGAAATTGAAATTTCTTATTTACGTAGCATACTTTTGCCGCTGATATTTTAACGATTTACGTTCTGTTCGGTTCGAGAGTTGTAGTTGCTTCGCTTGCATCGCTTGGTATCTTTTGCCTGATGTCTGCCTACTGATCTAAATATTTACTCTTTAATCTGTGATATTCACCTCTTGGCAGCGTGGCGCCCGTGCGAGAGAACATCGATTCCATATCGCTGCCCAAGTCCCGAGACATGCTGTGCCGCCAGGGAGCACCCAGGCCGCTGCTGTTGGTGGCGCTGTTCAGACGACTGTCAAAGAGATAGAGAGAGAGAGAGAGAGACAGAGAGCCAAAGGTGTTTACTTTCAGTTTACATTTATAAATGGTTGTGGTATGCGCATGTTTAACATATCTGACTGTGAGGCATGTCGGACAACGTTTAGCTAAAGGACTTGCACATTGAATGGGCCAACTTACAGGCAGCACTTGGAGCCAGAACAATCGATCAACCAATCGCGTATGCGGTTCTTAATGCCTAAGCCCCTTAACAAACGTTGTCCGCATCTAAGAAACAGAGGCGTATATACCAGGGAGTATGCAGCAGTTAATAACGCTATCATAATAGTAAACAGAGGGGGATTTACAATAGCTGCAGGAAATATAGTCTGTGCGGGTTAATATCTCAGATAGCTCTGCTTACATGTTTGCATTTTATACTTACACTTGCTTCTTTTCAACCGTTTGAGTATAGCTATAACTGACTTGTGATCTATGCTCGCTGCTTATGTTTGGTTAGTTGAGCAGATTATCAAATGAATGCAGTTGTTAATTAGGGTTTAGTATTGCGAAAGCAGCATGTAAGAAATGTATAACAAAAATATTGTAATCGTTAACGTTCTTTACTATTGACTATTACTAACTATGTGCTCGAATCGATTGCTGTTGTGCATGACCTATTTTCTAGGGGCTGCCCGCTGGGACCAGTCACTCACCTGCCGAAGGGTCCGCTCTGGCTCCAGAATGGCCTATGGCCCTGTGCCTGCCGCGAAATGTCTGTTAGCAGGCGACTAGAATGACTGGGAAAACGGGCTGTCAGGTCACTGTTTACGTTCATGCGATTCGTTAGCGCACGCACCTGAAATTAGAATACGAATTGTGATTGTGAAATGCGTGTAAAGTCGCGACAAGAGTTCCCACTTACGCGTTGCAGCAAAGTCGAGAATAGGTTCTCCGCGGTAAGTATCTCAAAGCCATCTTCGTCATCCTCCTCGCCAGAACTTTGTGAATCGTTGTCCTGGCTAATTTTCTTGACAGGCCTCGAGCTCCTGCGCAACAAAAGCATAAAATTTAGATGATTTTGATTTGATTTAATTGGGTTGGTTTAGGCATTCACGAACCTTAATCTGTGCGGAGTAAAGAGCGAATCCTCGTCAGCGCCATCACGAGTAATAGAGGTTGTGCGCATCTTCTGGAATGGCGAACTCTCATCAAACCCGGTTTCGCTGAGAAGTGATCTGTGAGCAGAGTTTAAAGGTTTAATACAGAGCTGAAGGTGTCTGGCGCCTGCTGCGACTTACCCAATCCGATGTGCTGGGCGCAGTCGGCTGAATGTTGAGCGACTGGAGGCGGTTGTGTGACCGGACTCAGATGGCTCAATGCTGCGCTCACGTGGCGTGATAAAGCCACCGCCCTCCACAGCAATGGGTATAATGAACTCGCGTGGACTCTTCTTAATAGGCTGCGAGATGCCCGGTCCGCCAGTAACAGTTGACTGAGACATGGTGGCGGTGGCAGTTGATTCTGCCTCGGATTCAGCAGTGGATTGACGGGACAATGAACCAGAGCTGCAAAGATTGATAAGTCTTAGCGACAGCAACAACAACGCTCAGCGCTGGCGGCACTCACCGTGTTGTGGTGTTGGAGTTGGTGCGTCCATAAACTTGTTGTGTGGGTGGCCGCTGTATGGTTATGATGTGCTCCTTGGGCTCCAGGCTTGTGGCGCGCGCCTGCAGTGAGGTCTTAATGGGGCTATACGGTATGGGGCCCTCACGTGGTGGCGCACTGCGCAAGTCGGCAACTGGATGTTGCATCTCGGTGCTGAAGCGCATCGCCGGCTGCGGCTGCTCTGGAACGCGCGGCTTAATCTCCAGCTGCACCTCTGATTTGGCATTGATTTTGCGGCGCGGCAACGTCGCCGATTTGAGCGTAATGGAGGCGGTCGATGTTTTTACGGCGCCACCCACTGACGCATCTCCGCCAGGTGAAGCTGTGTATATGGAATTATAATGATATTCAGCATTTAGTGAGGCGCTTTTACTGCGGATCACATTGGAACACGAGCAGTTAAGTGAAGAAGCATAAAAGTAGCAAGTCGGGCAGAGGATGTTGGCTTGGAAGTATTTAAGGGCCACACGAATAGGGGTAACTTTGTGTCTATGTGTGTGTGTGTGTGTGTGTTGGCAAGCTAAGCGTTTGCAGCGACTGGCAGCAGCAGCTAGGCAGCTACAGATACGAATATGCACTAACTACAACGAGCAACGAGAACAACAACAACAAGAACAACGGCAATAACAACAGCAATGAATGAAACAGTAATGAACAGATTCTACGAGCAGCAGAGATAAGTAGCTTTGGATTTGTTGTGAGTTCCATTTATGGGCGAGAGGAAAGCAGAGTAACAACATAGAGAACAACACCGAGTACGGCAACAAGTAGGTTCGACTTCGAGACAGATTAATTGAGAGAAACTACGGATACTACAAACAGAGAAACAACACACACAAAACGCTGGACACTTTGAGGCTGGTTAAGCTGCTGCCGTCTGTCCAAAGATCATTCCTGATGCGTTTGAGGCATCGATTGCTAACCAGCCCCAAAGCGTCTGCTTAAGGAACGCAACGGATTTGGTTGACGGCAGGGCAGGCAGGCAGGCAGGCAGACAGGCAGACAGGCAGGTGGGCAGTTGGGCGTCGCGTGGCACAGTGGAGCCGCTGCCAAGACTTACATTTCAGCCACACAGCCGCAGGCAAGGCAGATGTATTGAGAGTGTCTTGAGCTTGATTATGAAATGGTCTCGTACGCGAGCTGACATTGTAATTGATAATTGGCGCCGGGTTGTTGCTGTTGTTGTTGATGTTGCTGCCGGCTTGCACGTGGCCATGGCTGGGGGCGTACAGCGGCGAGGGCGGTGGCGTAAACAAAGTGCTGCTTGCCGATCGTAGTTGCTGCTGCTGTTGCACAGCCTCCTGGCACTTCTGTTGGTACTGCTGCTGCATTTGCCGGAAGGGACTGCTTGTGGCCAACGGCTGGAATATGCTCGCCGTGCTATACGCAGTCTGTGGCTGCCAAATGACCGCTCGTTGTGGCATCGGCGTCGGTCCAGGCACACCGCCAGAAAACAGACGTTGCTGTAATGTTTGCTTAGCAGCTGCCAAGGCGTTCATGGACGCGATGGCTGAACTGCTGCTGCTGCTGCTGTTACTGCTGGCATTGCCTATGAAATTGATGCCACTTTCAGTGCGCATCGGTGGCACGGCACCGCCCCCAACACCGCCGCTGCCGAAGCCATTGCCCATGCCAAACAATGGTGTTGGCCTGCGTATCACTAAAATTAAGATGATTCAATGATTATGATGAGAATGTTTGTGAATGTATGTGTTTGTGTTTGTGTTTGTGTGAGCGAATGGAACCGAGCACCACAGAGCAAAAGAAAGACATGGAGAGAAATAGAGAGAGAGAGATAGAAAGTACAAGTGACTCTCAGACAATGCTCAGTATAGTAAGGAGAGTGGCACGTGCTCTGTTTACTTTGGGACCATGAACTGTTGGCATGAATAAGCGAGATGCATTCGGAATCGATTCAACTTATAATTATGAGTGTGTCAGAGTATATTCCAAAAGCCAAATGTAATCCATGCAGCACTCTGCTGGCAAACGTTTTACATACACAACAACAGGGGAGAAAGTTATGTAAATACTGGAAATACAAGACGCATAAAACTGAAAGCTATGCACAAGTCTCAATCAGTTGGCAGCTAAGAACAGACTAAATCATTCGTAGGCTATACTTTTTTGTGTATAATTAACTAAAGATTAAATAACATAAGTTTTCTATGGATATTTGACAAATGTTGAACACTGACTCGAAAGACATTGAAGAAACATTGAGCTGAGCTGATGCTATTTAGGATGGCATCAATAACTTGATATATATACAGATATGTATATATGTATAGTTAGTGCGACTTTTATAGTATATTTATATATTCAGAAATCTAATGAGCATCAATGAACGGCTCTATCTATAATTATATTAGTCAAAGTTATCAAAAGCTTAAGCAAAACAAGAAATAATTCTGAAGAATTCAGAAATATTAAATAGCACTTAGAGTGAAAAACAAACATAAAATATATGTATATAAAATACATCATTTTGCAGAAAAAAAACTAAAGTCTACCTAAATGATTCTTATCGATTCTATATTTCCTATACAATTTTCGTATTGTTTAGACTTAGACTTTTTTAAATGTTATCAAACTAAATTTGTATAATAATATTAATTTTTCTTCTATTTAGCATAATCTATCTTCTATCTTTAGAGGACCTGCGCATCGATCTTTGTTGCCCTATGAAATAACGCTTAACTGCTTTGCCGCTAGACTTGTGCCAGATGCTAATGCTTGGTAATAGATATATGTATATATAGAAGTGCTGGTAGTCAACTCGAAAGCGCTGCGGGCTTAGCTTAATTATCATTATTAGATATTTTCGTATATGGGCATGCAGTTGCACTGGCCACTTACCCGGCTGTATGGCGTTTCCGATTATGGCGCGCGCATTCTTCAACTTACGTTCGCGCTCATCTGCCGTTGGCTCGCTGACGCCGATTGTCTCTGTTTGGGCGCAGAGCTGATCCAGTTCCTTGTTGGACTCGTTCTGCGCCTGTCGCAGCAGCGCAATCGAGTTTTCCATGGAGCGACGCGCCTCTTCTAGCGATATTGAGGCCACCGAGTTCTTGGAATCGCTTGCCTCTAAAGCACCAGTAACCGCTGGCGAAGCTGGTGGAGTGCCTAAGGCTTCCTGCGCTTCCGCCTCTTGGGCCGCGGCTGCTGCGGCTGCCACCTGCTCTTGAGCGCGACGCTCGCCTGGGGTGGGCCCGGTCACAGGTGTCGGATTTGTGGCTTTGCGTTCGAATTCCTTTTTAAAGCTGCCCACGCTAACGCCGGGAATACTCAGCTTTTTAGGCTTTTCCGGCGCTAGAGCTGTCGACGGCGGCGGTGGTTGAAACTTTTCAGCTGTTTCTAGAATGCGCGACTTCCGGCGCTCTGCATTGAACTTGTTGAGTGTGGACTCATCCTGCAAGCTACACTTGCGTACAAATGGTGCCGATGGTAGCGGATGCGAAACCACATTGCCGCTGGGCGTGGCCTTGCCGGTTGCGCTCTCATTGATCGCATTCACCAGGTCGGCGGTCTTGTGCTTGTTCACAAATTTCTTAATCACTTTGGTGGCATCCTTTTCCTCGGGTGCTTCGACGACAGCATCCAGTTTGGCACGTGTTGGCTGCCGCGGCACTGCATTGGCGGGTGGTGCAACTGGTTCACCAATGAGTTGCTCGCATAGATTGCCAACTTTTTGCATATCCTGTGGGGAGTAATTGGGCGCCGTTGTGGACGTTGGCTGCTCGTCGGCAGGGGCAACGCTCTCAGTCTCCATGGCCTGGGGCGCCGTCAGTGGTGCTGTGAGTGTTGGTGGTGCGAGTGATGGCACTGTTGCTTCGCTGATGACAAACGAACTGTTGGCCGGCTTCTCCTTCTTTTTGGCCGTGATGCCAGCGGCGTTCTCGGTAGATACCGTGGGCTGCAGCTTACGCTTGGCCTGCACGGGGCTCTGGGCGGGTGTTATGGTGCGCGTAGGAGATGGCATAAGTGCAGCCTCGCCACCAGCTAGGAAAACGTGAAAAGCAGAGAGATCGAAAGAGAGAGAGAGAGAGAGTGAAAGGGAGGCGTGGTTTAATGAGCGTGGTTAAATGGATTGATTTCAAGTTGTTTAGTGCACTTGAGTGTTGTCCGTTTGATCGTTAGGCGGGCCGTGGAGTGGGAACAGGGAGACCGCATGAGCAGCAGTTAGTTAGGTGGTGGGCAGGACACATTGTTGTGTATGCGAAGTTAGTTCACAGCACTTTACAATATATATATACAAAATTGTGTGCGGAGGAGCTCTAGGGTCTCATGGTCTTTACAAGCATGAAGTATTTCACACTCGATATGCGTCAACTCACCAGCAACCATGTCCAGAATGCGACGCTCTGCCTCTGTGCTGGGCGCTCCTATGTCACGTATTGAGCCCACTGAATGCGAGCGCTGAACGCGTTCATTGGCAGCTGCCTTGGCGGCGGCTGCTGCGGCCGCCGAGCTCTCTGCCGATGGCACAACCAGTTGATCGGCTGTGATCGCAGCCGGTGTCAGGGATAGGAGCACGTCGAGACGCACCGGCGTTTGATTCGCCAAATCCTCGGCCAAATCAAGACACGAGACATTGTCGTTCTCGTTCACCCACCAATGCGAACAAATCTGCTCGATAGTGGCTCGCTTCTGTGGACTAACCGTCAGCATATCCCGAATGAGTGTCGACGCACGCACAGGCTGCCGCGGCTCGTAGTAGTCGCCCTGGCTGATCTGTTTGACAAGTTTCTTAAAATTTGAGCCATCAAACGGCATGGAGCCGTAGACTAGAGTATAGAGCAGAACGCCCAAGGACCAGCAGTCCACCTCGGGTCCCTGATACGGTGTGCCCTCCACGATCTCTGGCGAGGCATACAACGGCGATCCGCAGAAGGTGCCGAGCAGGCGCTGATCGTCGAATACATTAGACAGGCCAAAGTCTGCAATCTGTTAAAGAATTCCGAGAGACACAATTAGCTATTAGCTATCTTAATTCTTATTGCCTTTATATAGCGCACAAACTGTAATCAAGAAAAACTGTTTTCATTTATTGTATCCGTACTGAAGCCAGTATGGAGCCACGCATTGAAGTTAAGGGGAACAAGACTCTCAGAATGATTATATGTGCACCCTGGTATGTGACTAATTATAATATCCACAAAGATGTTAAAGAAGAAATACAACTATATGCAAAAAGATACATGAATAAGCTACATAACCACGATAATGCTCTAGCTTTAAGTCTACTGGATGACTCAAGCGACTTAAAAGATTTCATGTCCTAGACCTGCCCGACAGAAATAGATAAATATGTTAAGTAGGTAAATATATGGATTGATCTCATTGCAGCCCAAGCCATCCGGTTATGTAATATTATTGTTGAAAACTTTAATTATTGTCTAGTATTAAAAAAAAAATTTATCGTATATTCTTTATCTCATTGATTTGATCATGTTATCTATGTTAAACAAGTTTCTTATTATGTTGTTTACTTGAAGGCTTTTAAAGTCTGATGCCCATGAAATCTCTTAAGTTGTATGTAATATCCTTTAGTTGGTTAAAACCATTCTGACTCTTATCTATTTTTAGAAGCATAATAGTGCTGCCAAGTGAGCTGGTAAATCAACTCAACTCATATCTCTAAAATAAGGCATTAAATTCAAAAAAAAAAAAAAAAAAAAAAAAGTTTTGAAACTATTCTCATAAAATATTAAAATATTTTAGTCCTAATCAAGCTCATATCAATATACTGATCCACTATATAATGATGATATTTTCAAAAATGTCTACCCTTTGTTTACTCATTTCAAAGAGATCATAATCCTAGCTATATTGTAGTTTATGCTAATTAAGTTAATAGTTTTCGATTCTACCTTTGCATTGCCCTGCTCATCGAGCAATATATTTTCCAGCTTCAAATCACGATGGCAAATTTTGTGTTTGTGACAATAGTAGACGGCCGTAGCCACCTGGCGGAAGATGCGACGCGCCTCCTCCTCGCTTAGCACCTTACGTTCGGACAGGTAGTCGTATAGCTCGCCGCCAGCGGCAAACTCCATGACTAGCACCATTTTCTCGCGGTTCTCAAATACTGTAAAAGAGTTATTGCAAAATAAGCTGAACATTTCAATGTTAGTAGAAGTATCGCGTACCTTCGTATATGTGTATTATGTTGGGATGCTGCACTGAGCTCATGATTTGCACCTCTCGTCGGATGCGCACCAGGTCCGCCTCCGCTTCAATTTTGCATTTCTTTATCGTTTTAATTGCCACCTCCTGGCCCGTTTCCTTATTAATACCAAGCTGCACTTTGCCGTAAGTTCCTTGACCTAATTTCTTAATAATATCAAATCTGCAAGGAACGTGAATCGAGAGTAATTCAAATTGGGAGCGGCCATAGAACTTACCTTTGTCGCAGCTTTTTGCGATGATTGTTCATTTTGACGTTCCCCGTATGGGCAATGCCGCTCATAATATTGTCTATTTGATCCTGTGGTATGCCCGACCGATGCGCCATGCTGTTCGCAGCAGCATCCAGACCAGCCGCGGCCGCATCACCAGTGCCCGCCGCCGTCCCATTGGGCGTCGAATCGGGTTTGCTTATCACCATGGCTATGGCTGCGACTGTGAATGTGGCTGTGTCTGTTGTCGAGGCCAATTACTGCAAAGGATATAGCGAAACGATGGCCCACGTTAGTAAATAGTTCACCGGCACCAAAAGCAAATATGCACACATACGCCACTGCACTCATCCATCAAACGTTCAATCAAATGGGCAATCAATTAATTATCCACGACGCGCGACAGCGATTCATCGGAATGCTGACGACCCAGCCTAAGATGAAACTAGCGCACTGCACATAAAGCGATGCCAAGCTTTTCAGGGCCGCTCAATATCCACACTCGACCTACATAGTTTGTAATTATGCTTACAGCAGGCAACAAATGCGCTCAGCTACGAGCGCATTTCTAATATACTTTAAGTTCCCTTTCTGGTTTTTGGGATTATTGCAATCACATTTAACATTTACAAAATTAAGCACAATATATTTAATTACGTATAAAAAATAAGGTACAAATGAAAATGATAATAATTTAGATATATAAAATTATATAATACGAGTAAGGCTTAAGAAGTTAGGGGAATAATATATACATCATATTTTTTTTGAGCAAAATAAATATTTTTTTTCATTTCATATTAATCTTACAATCTTTCCATATTATAATTAATAACTCTCAAACTATAACCCCAACCATTGAGTATTATATAAGGTCACTGTTGCCTACAAAATTGCTAGAATTATATCGCATATCATATAACATTTTATTTTATTAAATTATATTATATTTTACATAAAGAAAAGTTTCCAACATTCTGTTTTCTGAGGCTTCTGTAGCTAACAATTTTAGAACCATTTTTCCATTTTCAAAATCAAAAACAGAAACAATGTATTATCCTTTTAAATTTATGAAATTTATGTTTATAATTTAAGAGAAATTTACTTTTTTTTGCAGCATATAAATTCAACAACATTTTCTATTATTTTATTTTGCATCTGAGGTTCTAAGAGCCTCAAGCCAAGCCAAGTCAAGTGACATTTCGATGGCTGTTTTTTTGCTGAATGCTCTTCATACAAACTGCGACTTTTATTCTATAGACCTACAAATTTCCTTTAATTACGAATCTTAAACGTTTTTAAGGTCCTTTGCACGCATTGCGAGACTTAAATAAAGTTGAGGTCTTGACTTCAGCCACATGAACACGTCACTTAAGAACATTAGCTCAATTCAGAAAAGATTACGCTCACGATAAGCTGTGGCTTAGCCAGCGACACCGAGGAAAGTCTGAGCATCGCTTAAGGAACATTTATACAGCTTTAGTGTCACGACCAGAAGAACAACGCCCACACTCTCTAAACTATTCTGTGTGCCAGTTTGTCTGGCTTTTGCCACTGTCTAGTAGCAGCGGTGCGGGGCGTGGCCGGGTAGGGAAGGGGCGCTGAAGAGTCAAGTGTCTGACTTGTAGTGGTCGCCAGAATCGGTATCGTCCTGAGTGCCCCTATTGTGTGTTGTCACAGATTTTAGCTAACTTATCTATCAGCATTGTGCATGAGCGCAGCTATTAGATACAAGCACGATACGATATGCTATAAATGTATGCAGGCGGTATATGTGCTGTGAATCCAAGCGCTTGACTGTGACAGTTATGACTTGAGCCACAGTGCCACAGTGGCTGCCAGAGAGAGATCGACATGCACGCTCGTTGGCAGTGCTCCAATTATAAATGTGCATTTGATGGCCACTAAATTAGAGTGTAACCACAGCAAACGAGTACAAAATACAAAAATAATAAACTAGTTAGCTTGCTTATGTCAATTATGTCTTCGACTGGGAACTACCCTGTCTTGCAACGCCGTTGCACACATACGAATGTATGAATGAGCCACGTCTGTGCCCAGCTATGCGTAAAATAGCAATTTTTATCAATATCAAAGTCGCACGCTAAATGCTGAGTCAGGCCAGCGATTGGTGTAATCCTCTTAGGCATGTCACATGGATGTGCACAAATCAATTATACCCCTTTTATTTAGAATCAGGTTAGGGAACTACAGTGAAGTATAACTCAGTACACAAAAGCCACACAGACAAGGAGCACGCCAGGCAGACGCAAAGGCATTCGAAGCACTGCAGTTCCCTCAGAAGCCATATGCCTCGCCTGGCACGAGGCACACTCACACAGACGCACACACCATTGCACTGATATAGCGTATAATACTGGGTTTATCTTTGAGATAGTGGCACATGCATTACAAATGCGTTGGGGGCGCGTGCTCAACGGGAATAAATAAATTAATCTTGGCACGCAATTGTATTAACGTCCATCTATCTTCGGTCATCTGGGGCTCTTTAAGCGGTTGTGCGGTGCAACGAACAGTTTTTAAAGTGCGCTGAACTCGGTTCGTTCATTTTCACTTCAGGCAATTCAATTTGTGTATCTGCAAGATACAATAACAATGCAGCGGCGTCCAGTGTGCTGCTGCCTCGTTTTTTGGCACACAGAACTCAGCACATGTCATTGAGCAGATAGCGTAACAACTAACTACGTGCCAAGCAGCGGCCGGACGACGGGCGAGGCAATGTCGGACGGATGGACTGCCCGCCAGCCAGCCAACCAGTCAGCAGAGATAAACACGAGCAACCAGCCCCAGTCCCATCTCATCGCAAGGCAAAGTTGCTTAAATATCTGCGCTTGCTTTTCCGTCAGTTTGGAATTTCTTGCATCGTTGTCGTTTACGTCAGGGGAAAATATTTTCCTTGTTTTCTTTTTTTTACTTTGCTTGACGCTGCCGGTATGCTTGCCTCACAGCAGGAGCAACGACAGCAGCAACAACAAAATGACAATACGAATTATTACAGGCGTCCAAATAAATATGCAAATGAAATGTTATATCTGGGTCAAGTGAAGCGCAGTATTTGCCAATGTACGACTTTTTTTCTGAGCTATATAACCATATTCCTCTTACTTTTGCCGCAGCTCAATCCTCCACACACTCAATTGGCATTTCTCTACGCAGATACACAGACAGAGACAGACACAGAGACGTGGACATTTCCGTTTTGCACTGATGAGCACATCAATCCAAGCGAGAAACGGTCACATATAATCGCATAAATTAATCTAGGACCAAAGCTGTCATTTAAAACTTTGTGGTCGCTCTTGATGGTCTGCAAAAATAAATCAATTCCCTGATATAATTGAATGAAAGTTCTGGCAAATTATTTATTTATGCATACGCAAATTGAACTATCATTGTGAAGCGAATCCTTGTCCGATACTACTCAAAGAATAATTAATTATTATGCAAATTCTGGTTAGTTTATACTGAAATCAAGGTAATCAAAAGACGTTGATTGGCTAAAACGAAGTTTTTGATTTCATTCCTGCAGCTAGACAAAATAAATTGTCAAAAAATTAAATTTGTTTCTGACTTCTCACTAAAAACGGGGTATCTCAGCGCCGACAACTGCAGACGGTTCTACTTGCTGCTGGTGAAATCATTTACAATACACAAACAGACGTTTTGGAATCATTCTTATATTTATGCATATACACAAATACATATAAAATTTTTTTTGGGTTTTCGATTAATAAATGAAATGTCTCTTGCGACAATTAAACCAAACAACTGGCAATTTTATGTGTCAATAAGTCAAAATATCTTGGCCTCGACTGGACGTTCAATGTACGCATAATAAACCAAATAAACATGGACATTAATTGTGTTAAATAAATCAAACAATTTATTGTTATTATTATTTTGGCACTGTACGAGCCAAAATTCTATTTTCAGTGAGATGAAAGACTTCCCAAGAAAGCAGCAGCGCAGGATTTGTCTGGAACTGAATTAAAAATACCTCAAGAACAATACAAAGAAAAATTCTGATACGCGCTGCTACCTCGCAAAATTAAAGGGAGGAACGAAAAATGTATATAAATATGAGGGATATTATTATAAGTTGTGAACAAAGAGAAAATAATGTAATAAAATACAAAATATGTTTGCCAGTGCTTGCCCAGTGGCTAAAAAAATAACTAAGTGAAAAGACCAAAAACAAATAAAATAGCAAAAAGAGGAAGCAGAACGAGCAAGATATGTCAAGCATTTCCTTTCCTTGCACTAAAGTTGGCACACCAACACACACACACACACATACACCCACAATTGACGTGAAATAAGCGGCTGCTATATGCTGAAAAAAAGTTTTTCTAGCCCTGAGTATAACAGCAACAAAAAAGCAACAACAACGCCGTCAGCCGCCTCTGTTGTGTTGTGTTGTGTTGTGTTGGAGTGTGTGTGTGTGTGTGTGCGTTGGTGTGTTCGGAAAACAAGAATTTTACGCTCCGCTCTTTATGCCGGTGCAAAAGCTGCTGTGAGCAACATTTTCATTTTGCATGCACTATATTGCTCTTGTCGGTATTTGGATACCCTGTAAATGGTTAAAAATATACCCTATCGTTTTTTCTTTATTTATATATGTAGGTTTCCTTGCAGCAAATAAGATATACACATCTTCATGATAACATCTAATAGACATTATTTTGAAACGTCATCATTTTCAGACTTATTTAAACGATGTCCGTGCCACAGTAAATAGGTATCGACAAGGACCTAATAACATATACTTAAATAAACAAAGATATATATATATATATATATATATATATATATATGTCCCTAAACATGAAGTCAAGTCTTAGGAATTCTTCAATTTATATGTCTAAGCTCGCTGAAGGCCTTGCAAATCTCGCAAAAGTTTCAGATACCAAATTTTTGAGATATTTCACTGAAATGCAACTGAACGAGTATTACGTAGCAACTCACAATCATCTCTTGAGCATCACGAATAGTTTCTGTGTAGAAACAATACAAATAAATAGTTTTTGTATAATTCGAACTATATTAAAGTAAATATCAGTCAATATTTAGCTGCGTATAGGGTATCTTGAAGCTTGGCATTATTCAATTAAGCACTGTTGTTTCTGCTTGATGTTTTTGTGCTTTTGTTGTTGCTTGCAATTTGAATTTTTAATGTGCGCGTTTTATAGTTTCGCGTTGGATTTCCACTTTAGTTATGAGCTGTTTAGTGAGAAGTTGC